GTATTACTCCACTAATAATAGCAGCAATACTACCACTTGTATTACTCCAATAATAATATTAATAGTAATACCACTACCACTACTATTACTCCAATAACAATAACATTATTAGCGGTAATACTAGCACTAGTATTACTCCAATAATAACAGTAAAAATAGCAATAATAGCAGTAACACTACTACCACTTATTACTCCTATAATAGCAGTAATACTACCACGAGTATTACTCCAATAATAATTATTATAATAATAGCGATACTACCCTCACTAGTATTACTCCAATAATAATATTAATAACAGTAATACTACTGCCACTACTATTACTCCAATAATAAAATAATAATAATAGCAGTAATACAACTACTAGCATTACTCCAATAACAACAAAATTGATAGCAGTAATACTACCACTAGTATTAATCCAATAATAACAGTAATAATAGCAATAATAGCAGTAACAGTACTACTTATTACTCCTATAATAATAGCAGTGTTACGAGTATTACTCCAATAATAATAATAATAATAATAATAATAATAATAGCAATGCTACTATCACTAGTATCACTCCAATAATATTAATAGCAGTAATACTACTGCCACTACTATTACTCCAATAATAGTAATAATAGCAGTAATACTACTACCACTAGCATTACTCCAATAGTAACAATATTAATAGCAGTAATACTACTACCATTAGTATTACTTCTATAATAATAGCAGTAATACAATTACCACTAGTATTTCTGCAATAATAACAATAACAGTAATACTACCACTGGTATTACTCCTATAATAAAAGCAGTACCACAACTATCACTAGTATTGCTCCTATAATAATAATAAAGTAATACAATCACCACTAGTATTACTCCTATAATAATAATAGCAGTAATACTACCATCAGTAGTATTATTCCAAAAACAACAATACTAATAGCAGTAATACTACTACCACTAGTATTACTCTAATAATAATAATAATAATAATTTGTCATGGTGATGAACTTATCTAAATTCTCTGACCGAATTATTTTACACTCGCCACTCTCCTCCCCCTGCTTTCATCTCCTAATTTAACCCCATTTTACCAAACATATTATTTTTTCAAGTTTTATTGTGTCTTAATTTAATTTAGTTAATCATTATAGGAGTATAGTGATTAGCTTCTATTTGTCTCTGTGTTGTTTTCTATCTATTACTACTACTACGACTACCAACAACACCCAACAGAGCTCATCTTCTCTGTGGGAATTGCCTCTACAAACCGCCAAGGAATCGATTCACGGACTGGCCTCGGCTATAGTTATATAAGCAGACTCCCTTTTTATTGATTTCCCCTGTTATTAGGACAATAGGGAGCTTGGTTCCGACCGACTTGGTTCCCTTTTCCCCTCCAAACACTTTGCAGGATGAGTTTTCCCGAAGCCTGTCTATTCATCACTGGGTCCTGTGCTTCCCTTTGATGGAAAGCTTACCAACAGATGAATTATTTACTCCACTCTCGCCTAAAAGGGCATTAACAAGGAAAAGTAGGGCTGAATTGGACAGGGTTCAGTGGAGCAAAGCAACACAGCATTATAGATTTAGGAGAGACCCCCAAGGGCCATCTAAACAATCCCCCTTATGCCAGGCAGGAAAAAGTACAATCAACAGACAACACGCAATTCCTTCCAATGGGATAAAGAAGCCTTTCACTCCAGTTCTGATTGACCATGGTTTAATATTTGGAAAGTCAACTGAACCAAGATCCGTTGAACAATGGTCAACTAAATTCAGACCCGTTTGAATGATGGTTTAACATCTGGAAAGTCAGCTAAACCCAGATCTATTTGACTGGTGGTTTAACATCTGGAAAGTCAGCTAAACCCAGACCCATTTGAATTATGGTTTAACATCTGGAAAGTCAAATGAACCAAGATCCATTGAACAATGGTCAACTAAACTCAGACCCATTTGAATGATGGTTTAATGCCTGGAAGGTCAGCTAAAGTCAGACCCATTTGAACAATGGTTTAACATGGGCATCTTCAAACTGTGGCCATCCAGCTGTTTGGCCCTCCAACTCACAGAAGCCCTAACGAGTTTGTTCAATTGTTGGGAATTCTGGGAGTTGAAGGCCCAAACAGCTGGAGGGCCACAGTTTGAGGATGCCTCGTTCAACATTTGGAATGTTAACTAAACTCAGATCCATTGGAACGATGGTTTAATGTTTGGAAAGTCAACTAAACCCAGTTCCATTGGAATGATGGCTTAACATTTGGAAAGTCAATTGAGCTAAGATCCATTGAACAATGGTCAGCTAAACTCAGGATCCACTCAAATGGTGGTTTAACATTTGGAAAATCAGCAGAACTCAGATCCCTTTGAGTGATGGCTTAACATCTGGAAGGAAAGTAAACTAAATCCAGGTCTATTTGAACAATGGTTTAACATCTGGAAAGTCAGCTGAATCCAGATCCATTTAAATGATGGAAAAACATCTGGAAGGAAAGTCAACTAAATCCAGGTCTATCTGAACAAGGGTTTAACATCTGGAAAGTGAGCTAAAATTAGATCCCTTTGGGCACTGGTTTAACATTTGGAAAGTCAACTAAACTAAGATCTATGTCAACAATGGTTTAACACTTGGAAAGTCAGGTAAACATTTGAGTGATGGTTTAACATCTGGAAAGTCAACTAAACCAAGATCCACTTGAAAAATGGGCAACTAAACAGATGCATTTGAACGATGGTTCAACATCTGGAAAATCAACTAAACCAAGATCCATTTGAACAATGGTTTATTTTGGATTTGGCACACTAAACTAAGATTACTTTAACTATGGTCTGCTTAAGCAATGCAGTTTCAGAAACAGTGATCTGAAGTCGGCTCGCTGTGAACAAACGGTGCCAGCAATATAAATTGGGCGTTGGTTATAAAATACCAAAACAACGATAGTGAATACTGCACTAAACCATGGTTGATTTTGACTATGGCTGATTAATCTTAATTTTAACGACAAGTCAGCATCATAAGTGGTGACATAAAGATGGTTTGTTGCAATTGAACCACAGTTAGCATCAATGAAAACACTCAGATTAGTGACTATCCAAAACAATCTCCTTTCCTTCCCGCTGACCTATGGTTTGTATGGCACTGATGCCATTCCTACCAAATGGAGACTACAGCTCCCTATATGGCCAGTTGTCACACAACGTGACCTTTTATTCACCGCAATGTACATCAACAAAGATCGATTGCCAGAGGAATTACGGGTTCACCACTAACAGCGAATGCAATTTCCTGTTGGGTTCTTCTTCCCCCAAAACACAATCCTTTTCCCTGATATCCCAAAAGGAAAGTGAGATTCATGAGGAAACAGCACCCCCTTGAGTTGGAACATGGGTACTGTTTCCCCATTCCATTTCCACTGGGAAAAATGGTCCTAGAAATACATAATTTCACCAAGTGAACTAGAAAAGGAAATGAATTATGGAGGAAGACTCTTGGAACCCGTTGGAGGAAGATCTCAGCCACAGCTGGACAGCAGTTATTATTACATAAGACAACGACAATGGGAGGAAGACTGTAGTCAAAGCTGGGCAGCAGCTACTACTAAATATGATGACAATGATGATGATAATAATAATAATAATAAGTTATAGATCTTAAATTCCAAATTATATTGCACTTTCTAAATATTTCACTAATAACAATGATAATGATGATGATGATAATAATAATAATCACTTCTAATGGGCTGTTCTATTTTAATATTAATGTTGTAAATTGCAGTTTCAACAACAACAACAATATAATCCCTCCTTCCTTTCCTTTTTCTTACCTTTCTCCTTCCCTTCCTCTTTCCTTCTTCCCTTTCCCCCACATTTCTTTCTTAGACCAAATTTGTTAAATATTTCCTAACAGTTCTACCTCAATCTTCATTTACTTCATAATTAGTTACCATAAATTACTCTTCTCCTTCCTTTGTAAACATTTTTTCTTATGTTCTCCGATTAAAAAGGTGATTAATTTAGTTTTTTCTTATTATTTATTCTTTCTTTCTTTCCTTCATGCTTAATGCAATTTCATTAATTTTTCAATTAATGATTATCAAATAATATTTAAATCTTTTACCAAACCTTTCTTGACGGTTTATATATACCAATTAAACTTTCTACCTTTATACTTCATTAATTACGTCGCAGATAAAAATAGAGGTGAAAAAGTATGTTCTCCTCATCAATAGTCCTACATTGTGCAACTTGATTTGTTAGGACTTGATTTTATCCATAACGACATAAAGTTTCTAAGAAAAGTTTTCTGGAGTGGAGCAGGTTTCAGATTAGCCCAGGCCCTGTTCACATGCCCCTTCTTAGTCATCCTTTTAAACCCTACCTCCAATATCTTTCTTTCCTACCTTTCTTCTTTCCTCTTTCCTAGCTTTCTCCCTCACTCCTTTCTCTTTTGTTCTTTAACCCCTTTCCTTCTCTCTTCCTTTCCTCTCCTTCCTTCCTTTCTCCCTCCCATCTTCTTTCTTTCCTCCCCTACTTTCCTTTCTTTCTTCCTCCCTTCCCTTTTCCCCACCTCTCTTTCTTCCTCCTTTTCTCCCTCCCTTTCCTTTCTTGCTCCCTCCTTTCTTTCCTACCTTTCTCCCTCACTTTCTTTCTTACTCCCTTTTTCATGTCCCTTCTTTTTCCCTCCTTCTCTCTTTCCTCCCTCCTTCCTGCTTTCCTTTCTCCCCTTTTCTCCCTCTCTCCCTCCTGCTTTCCTATCTTTCTTCCTCCATTCCCTCTTTCCTACCTTTCTCCCTTCATTCATTTCCTTCTCTTTCGTTCTTCTTTACTCCCCTTTGCTCACCTCCCTTTTTTCCTCCTTCTCCCTTCTTCCCTCTTTCCTTCCTTTCTCGCTTCCTCCCACGTTTCCTTCCTTCCTTCTTTCCTCCTTTTCTTCCTCCCTCCCTTCTATTTCTTTCAGCATCCACAGAAGAAATGAGGCCTAGGCACAGACTTACTTTCGGAGGTGTTCGTGCTCCTTCAAGAAGAGCTCCGTCCGCCGGTTGTTGACGCCACTCCCGCTTTTGTAGGATCTGAAAGATCGAGGGGGGCAAATATCACCGTGGGCAGAAACGGCCTCAAGGACCTCTCTGAAACCCAGAAGGCCCTGCTAGCCGGACCCCCGCTTCCCGATGAGAAAAGCCAGGCTGAAGATGCAGATTTCACTCACTCGATATCTTTCCGCACCGAGCCGAGGAGGTTTTCTCTTTCGCGGACGGCGAGGAAGTTGGTTTTGGTTTTGTGGAATTCATGGGTGTAGTCCTGCCGTGAGAATGATAACAACCATGATGAGAACAGTAAATAATAATAACAACAATAGAGATTCCAGGCTGGTTCAGCCCTTGGTGAGATTCCCAATGAAGTATTCACTGGAAGCCTATCTGAGCCGTTTGAGCAGAAAATGCAATTAGACTGACTGAAAACACTGGCAAGGGTATTGAAAATACAGCAGGCATTTTAAATACCCTACATTTCAGGGACAAAGGACCCAAGATTGTATGCCCCTCATATACGGGGTTGTAATGTAATAACAACAACAACACAACATCATACAATGTTGTACTGTAATAATAATATACAGGGTTCTACTGTACTAATATTATTATTACTAATATATAGAGTTGTACTGTAATAATAATAATAATATACAGGGCTGTATTGTACTACTAATAATATTATTAATATAAAAGATTGTATTGTAACCGCTATGAGTCGCCTTAGGGCTGAGAATGGCGGTATACAAGTGAAGTAAATAAATAAACAATAATAATAATACATAGGGTTGTACTGTTATAATAATGGTAATAATATGCAGGGTTGTATTGTACTAATAGTAACATTAATAATATACAGGGTTGTACTGTAATAATAATAATAATAATAATAATAACAACAACAACAACAACAACAACAACAATATACAGGGTTGTACTATACGAATAATAATATTTATAATATACAGGATTGTACTGTAACAATAATGGTAATAATATGCAGGGTTGTATTGTACTAATATTGTATATTAATACTAATATACAGGGTTGTACTGTAATAACAACAACAACAACAACAACAACAACAACAATATACAGGGTTGTAGTGTAACAATAATCATAATATACAGGGTTGTATTGTACTAATAATATTAATAATAATATACAGGACTGTACTGTAACAATAATCATAATATACAGGGTTGTATTGTACTAAGAGTAACATTAATAATATACAGGGTTTACTGTAACAACAATAATAATATACAGGGTACTAATAATAATATTAATAATATATAGGGTTGTACTGTAATAATAATAATAATAATAATAATAATAATAATAATAATAATATACAGAGCCATATTATACTATTATTATTATTATTAATAATAATAATAATAATACACAGCATTGTACTGTAATAATATTAATAATATTATACAGGGCCAGATTGTACTAATAATATTATTAATAATAATATACAGTATTGTGCTGTAATATAATAATAATAATATACAGGGCTATACTGTACTAATATTATTATTAATAATATATATAGAGTCGTACACACCAATATTCAAAACACACCAGTATTCAAACTTGGGCATATTGGGTATGCATGTCAAGTTTGGCCCAGATCCATCATTGTTTGGGTTCATAGTACGCTCTGGATGTGGGTGAACTACAACTGTTATACATCCCTCCAAAGACCCCCCAGTATGTTTTGTTTGTCATGGGGGGGCTCTGTGTGCCAAGTTTGGTCCAATTCCATCTTCGGTGGAGTAGAGAGTGCTCTTAGATTGCAGGTGAACTATACATCCCAGTACCTAAAACTCCTTTAAATCATGGTGAATTCTCCCCAATCCTCTCTAGTATTTTCAATTGCTGATCAATTCCTCTGTTTGTTGTGTGTCATAGAAAATAATAGGAAAGGGTTAAAGGAGAGGCAGTGGGCGGGGTCATGGAAAGTGCACACCAATGGAGAGAGAAAGAAACAATGGGATGTCTGTGGTGGAGGAAACACATAAAATCTAGGATGAGCTGGTCCACGTATGAAAGCCTTCACTTGGGTGGTGGGCAGTATTGTGTTGGTGTTTGAGTTTGCACTAGCTTCGGCCCGGCCTTTTAATTGCTCTGAACAGGCAGGATTATTTTTAATATATATGTGTTACTGTGATAATTTTATGCTTTTGTTGTTTACCGGTATGTTTTGGTGATGTTACTTGGAAACCGCCCTGAGTCCCCCTCAGGGAGACAGAGCAGTGTATTTTATTATTATTGTTATTGTTATTATTATTATTACTACTACTACTACTACTACTATTATTGTTGTTGTTGTTGTTGTTAGGGGTCTTGGACATGTTCATGGCACTCACTATAACTCGCCTTTGGTGACTCCTGAGTGTTGGGAGTTATAGCTGTTTGTGGAGAGGGAGCTTGTCTGTGTCAGTGGACACTCCACCCCGACACACATACATATTTTTACTTTTTTATGTGCATAGATATTTTAATATTTTTTATATTTTAATATTTTAAATATTATTTTAGAATTCAATCCGCCCATCGCGTGTTGCAATGAATGTGCAAGATGTGTCCGCTTGACTGACAACCTTAATTGGGGCTTATTTTTGGGGCAGGGCTTATATTACGAGTATCCTGACAAATCACGCTAGGGCTTATTTCCTGGTTAGGTCTTATTCTGGGGGAAACAGGATGCAATTGAGGAAAGCATGGGAATTCAAAGCAGAAATGATCCAGCATCACGAAAGGGAATTCGCTAAACAAAAAGTGGGAGAAAGTGGAGAAGCATTTCAAAAAATATGTCTCACAACAAGAAAGGTCGGAAATTCCTACCAATAATTGGATAAGAATAGGGAGTAGTCATAGAAAAAAAGTTTGACTCTGAAGTGGTGTCTTTATATTTATTGTTTAGTTAATAAATACATTTTTTGAAAGGGATCACAAAAGACATGAAGGTGGACAGTCCTACCTGCAAGATGTCTCTGTGCCGCTGCAAGGTGTGCATGAGTGCTGCGTTGAGGGAGGGCACACCGGCGCTGTTGGCATACTCTGACATCTTATCGTTGATCCCTGTGAGCTGCAACACAGAGAGAGAGAGCACAAAAGACTTTCTTTCTTACTTCCTTATTTCCTTTTCTGTCTCAATTCCTCCACCTCTTTCCCCCCTCCATCTCATTTTCTTTCTTCCTCCCTCCTTCCTTCTTTTTCCGACTTTTCTCCCTCCCTTCCTATCTTTCTCCCACCTTCCTTTCTCTATTTAAGTTATTAACTAGGGTTTTTGGTAGTTTAATTACTTTAAATATTTTTTATTTCATTTCTATTCATTTCATTCTCTCTTCCTCTTCTGCCTCCCTTTGTTCCTTTCTCCCTCCCTGTCTCTTCTATCTCCCTCCCTTCATTTCTCTTTTTTCCTCCTTTCCACTCTTTTTCTGACCATTCTTCCTCCCTCCTTCCCCTTTCCCTCGCTTTCTTCCTTTCTCCCTCCCTTGTCTTCTTCCCTCCTTCCCTTTTTCTCTTCTATCTATCTCCCTCCCTCTTTTCTTTTTTCCTCCTTTCCACTCTTTTTCTGACCATTCTTCCTCCCTCCTTCCCCTTTCCCTCGCTTTCTTCCTTTCTCCCTCCCTTGTCTTTCTCCCTCCTTCCCTTTTTCTCTTCCACTTCTGCCTTCCTCCTTCCCATTCTTCCTCTCACCCCTTTTTCCTCCCTTTCGTCCTTTCTCCCTTCACTCCTTTCTTCTTCCCTCTTTCACTTTCTCTTCTATCTTCCTCCCTCTTTATCTGACCATTCTTCCTCCCTCCTTCTCTCTCCCTCTTCTGCCTCCCTCCTTCCCCTCCTTCCTCTCTCCCTCCCTTCTTGTATTTCTCATTCCCTTTCTCTTTCTCTCCTATCTCCCTCACACTTTTCTTTTTCCTCCCTCCTTTAAACTCTTTTCCCAAGCTTTCTTCCTCCCTCCTTTTCTTCCTCCCTACTTCCCTTTCTCTCTGCCTCCCTCCTTCCCTTTCTTCCTCTCTCCTTTTCCTTTCTTCTTTTCCCCTCCCTTCCTGTCTTCTTCTCTTCCTTCCTTCCTATTTTTCCTCCCTTCCTCCACTTTTTGTTCCTTTCACTCTCCCATCCTGTTCTCCTCCTTTCCTTCCTTTTCCCCTTTATTCCTTTCTCTTCTGCCTCCCTTTTTCCTTATCTTTTTCTTTCCTCTCTCTTTTTACTCCCTTTGTTTCTTCCTTTTTCCTTCCTTCTTTTCTTTTTCCTCTCTCCTTTCCTTGTCCTTCATCTCTCCCTTCTTCTCCTCCTACCCTTCCTTCTTTCCTTCTTCCTTCCTTCCTCTTTCTTCCTCTCTCCTTCCCTTTCTTTCCCTCCCTCTCTTTTTTCTTTCTTCCTCCCTCCTTCCTCTTCCCTTTCTTTCCCTTTTTCCTCCCTATTCCCTTTTGTTCTTTTTTCCTCCCTCTATTTTTCCTTCCTCTTTCCCTTCCTGCTTTCCTCCTGCCCTCCTTTCCTTCCTCTTCTGCCTTCCTTTCGCCTTCCCTTCCCCCCTCTTTTGCCTCCCTTTCTTTTCTCCCTCCCTCTCATTTTTCTTCCTCTTTTTTCCTCCCTTCTTCCCTTTCTCTTCCTTCCTAGTTTCATTTCCTTTTCCTTCTTTTCTCCCTCCCTTCTGGCTTCTTCTTCTGCCTCTCTCTCTCCTTATAATAATCTTTATTTCTATCCCGACCCATCTCCCCGAAAGAACTTAGGGCCGCTTTCCTTTTCTTTTTCCTCTCTTTCTTCCTCCCTCCCTTGTTTCCGTTTCCTTCCTCCTTCCTTCCTTGGTTCACTGTTAGGGTCTGCCTTCAAGTCAATTCTTACATCAGGCCTAGAGGCACAATCCAACACTCCAACAAGGGTGGCTCTCCCTCAGACAGATGATGTTCTCCTTGCCTATGAATTGGTCTCAGAAGCAACATGGAGTTTCCAATACTGGGGACAGGTATGGGAAAGTCAAGGGCTTTTCCTAATTGGTGGTGGAAATTCCTCACCTTCCCCAGGAGCTGCTCAATCTCCACAGCCATCGTTTCAAACATTCGGTCTTGGCTCGATCCGTTCAGGAGAGGAGTTGTGTCGGAGCTGAGGAATACATGGACGAGAGGCCGAGAAAAAGAGAGCTTCGTTGTAAACATGCCACAATTGCAAGAAAGTAGATTTAATTTTGACAGGAATCTGATAAAATCACAGATTGGAACCCTATATTTTGACTATACCATAGAACACTCTCCTCGGGACGACACTAACTTTGGCCCACTGACTCTAACAGGCTTCGGCCTACTCGCTCTCCTCAGGTCAACACTGGCTTTGGCCCACTGACCAACAGGCTTCGGCCTACTTACTCTGCTCAGGACGACACCAGCTTTGGCCCAATAACTCTAACAGGCTTCGGCCTACTCACTTTCCTCAGGACGACACTAGCTTTGGCCCACTGACCAACAGGCTTTGGCCTATTCACTTTCCTCAAGACGAAACTAGCTTTGGCCCCTGACTAACAGGCTTCGGCCTACTCGCTCTCCTCAGGACGAAACTAGCTTTGGCCCACTGACCAACAGGCTTCGGCCTACTCACTCTCCTCAGGACAACACTAGCTTTGGCCCACTGACTACAGGCTTCGGCCTACTCACTCTCCTCAGGACAACACTAGCTTTGGCCCACTGACTACAGGCTTCGGCCTACTCACTCCCTCAGGACGAAACTAGCTTTGGCCCCTGACTAACAGGCTTCGGCCTACTCGCTCTCCTCAGGTCAACACTGGCTTTGGTCCATGGACTCTAACAGGCTTCAGCCTACTCACTCTCCTCAGGACAACACTAGCTTTGGCCCACTGACCAACAGGCTTTGGCCTATTCACTTTCCTCAAGACGAAACTAGCTTTGGCCCCTGATTAACAGGCTTCGGCCTACTCACTCTCCTCAGGACGAAACTAGCTTTGGCCCACTGACCAACAGACTTCGGCCTACTCACTTTCCTCAGGACGAAACTAGCTTTGGTCCCTGACTAACAGGCTTCGGCCTACTCACTCTCCTCAGGACAACACTAGCTTTGGCCCACTGACCAACAGGCTTCGGCCTACTCACTTTCCTCAGGACGAAACTAGCTTTGGCCCCTGACTAACAGGCTTCGGCCTACTCACTCTCCTCAGGACAACACTAGCTTTGGCCCACTGACTCTAACAGGCTTCAGCCTACTCACTCTCCTCAGGACAACACTAGCTTTGGCCCACTGACTCTAACAGGCTTTGGCCTACTCACTCTCCTCAGGACAACACTAGCTTTGGCCCACTGTCTAACAGGCTTCGGCCTACTCACTTTCCTCAGGACGACACTAGCTTTGGCCCACTGACCAACAGGCTTTGGCCTACTCACTCTTTCAGTGCTGGACTCACACTTTTGTAATAAAAATATGCAGTTAATTTTTAATATTTCTGATAGGAGAAAAGGAAGAAAGGGAGGAAGGAAGGATGAATGGGGAGGAGAAAGAAAAGGAAATGGCGGGATGAAGACTGGAAGGGATGGAGAGGGAACAAAAGAAAGAAAGGAAAAAGAGAGGGGAGAGAGTAGGCCGAAGCCTGTCGGTCAGTGGGCCAAATCTAGTGTCATCCCGAGGAGAGCGAGTAGGCCAAAGCCTGTTGGTCAGTGGGCCAAAGCTAGTGTCATCCCGAGGAGAGCGAGTATAAAATTCAGATTATCCTCTCTGGATTACATGGCAGTGTAGAGTCATATAACTCAGTTCAAAGCAGATCATGTGGATTATCATATTTGATAATCTGGATTATACGGTAGTGTAGATGGGGCCTACAGCTCTGAACTCACTGGGTACCTTTAGGCAAGTCACACTCTCTCAGCCTCAGAGGAAGACAAAAGCCCATCCTCTGAATAAATCTTTGACTTGCTCGCCTTGAAAGCACACAACAACACAATCCTAATTAACAATTGGAAAGTGAGGGGCTAAAATCCTATTTGTTGCCTTTAGGTGAAGGCATAGCATCAACACCACAACTCTAATTAATAATTAATTATCCCTTTTATGGAAAGTGAGGTGCTAAAACCCTATTTGTTGCCTTTAGGCCTGCCATAGGGCCACCCTGGAAGACAGAAAGAAACCCACAAACACTTCCAAGGGAGAACGTTTGGAGACCAAATGAACTATAGGATCAGATAGTCATAATGCACTTTTATATACACACACACACACTTCATATTTGTGTCCTAAATTTTGGATTATTTCAGTGCGTTTGTTCTGGCCTTCCGCCTTTTCCACCCAAAAGGGAGAGAGAAAAAGGTTCATGCGGTAGTACCTATACCTGTCGCGCCTTCCGTCTCTGGAGCTGCCATGGCTGTAGCTGGTGCAGAGCTTGCTGAAGGAGACTAGCTTGAGGTCCAGCTCGTTCTCCAGCTGCCGGGCTTGCTTCCGCAGGTCTACACAATGGGGAAACACAACGGCCGGACAAACAAATTATTATTGTGTTGTCAAAGGCTTTCATGGTCAGAATAACTGGGTTGCTGTGAGTTTTTGGGGCTGTTTGGCCATGATCCAGAAGCATTCTCTCCCTCCTGACATTTCGCCCACATCTATGGCAGGCATCCTCAGAGGTTGAGAGTATTACTATTACTATTATTATTAGCACCTGTCTGGAGGTTTTATAGCCTTTCAAAAGGGTCTAGTGCCAATATAAGTTTTGTCAGTACCTGTTTAAGGGAGTTTAGGGCCTTCTGAATGGGTCTAAACCAATGTAAGGATCTTCAGCATTCATTTAGTGGGGCTTATGGCATTTATATGGGGCTCAGTGCCAATGCAAGGCTTTATAACCCCCAATTTATATGGGCCAGAGTGAAGAGAGAGGGGGTCAGGGAATAGTTCCACCTTGTCTCCTGTGCTATTCGAATAATATAATATAATATATCGTATATACATATATTTATAATATTATAATGTAATGCAATATACTACTACTATTACTACTACTAATAATACCATATTATAATTATATATTTATATTACATGTAATATTACTAATAATATTACAATATAATGGTATAGTACAATATAGTAATATTTAATACTGATATTGTACTATTTATTTATTTATTTAAAATATTTATATTCCGCCCTTCTCACCCCGAAGGGGACTCAGGGCGGAGCACAGCATATATACGGCAAACATTCAATGCCGGGACACCAATTCTTATATACGTACATAAACATTAAAAACATTTATCAAAATATTAAAATACATCATTTATTTTGACGTCATCCACGTCAAATCTAATTGGCTTGGTAATCTTTCCTATTGCTGCTTTATTGCCCTGTCCCGAAAGCTTGGTCCCACCAGGAAGGGAGTTCCATAGCCGGGGAGCAATCACCGAGAAGGCCTTGTCTCTTCCCCACCAATGGTGCCTGTGACAATTGCGGGATGGAAAGCAGGGCCTCCCCAGAGGATCTTAATCTCCACGATGGTTAATAGGGAGAGATCCGTTTGGATTTTGTTAATAATATAATATTGTATGTATATATACCTTGTAAGCTGATCTGAGTCCCCTTCAGGGTGAGAAGGGCAGCATATAAATGTTGTAAATAAATAAATAAATAAATTGGGGGGGGGGGGGTTTTAGGGCCTTTTGAAGGGGTCTTTATCACCTGTTTGGGGGTGTTATGGACAGAATATAAATGTTTTAAATAACATTAAATATTGGTCTAGGTGCCAATAAAAGCATCATCAGCATGAGTTGAAGGGGGTTTAAGGCCCTCTAATGGGGTTTTAATGCCAATGTAAGGTTTTCATTTCATTTCATTTCTTTGACTTGTATACCGCCACTCCTAATTTGGCTCGGAGCGGTTTACAGCAGTAGATTAAAACAATATAACCAACTTTAAAATACAATAAAAACGAGAACCGACATAGTCCCGAGTTATTCACCCATCGAAAGCTTATTGGAAAAGAAAGGTTTTACAGGCTTTCCGAAAAGTAAGTAGCTCTAGGATGGTTCGGGTTTCAACTGGCAAGGCATTCCATAAATAAGGGGCCACCATCGAGAAGGCTCTCTGCCTAGTAGAGGACTGATGATTAGTCCAGATGTTGGGGACTTCAAGCAAATTTTGGTCCTCGGACCGAAGTAATCTCTGGGGTTGGTAGGGGGATAAGCGGGCCCTCAGGTATGCCGGCCCCAGACCATATAAGGCCTTAAAGGTTAGTACCAGCACCTTGAAAGTAATCCAGTACTCAATCGGAAGCCAGTGCAGCTGTTGTAGAATTGGGGTGATACGACACCTCACTGGCACCCTGGCGAGAAGATGAGCCGTCGCATTTTGCACCAGCTTCAGTTTTTGGATCACTAACGAAGGAAGGCCAATGTAGAGGGCGTTACAGTAGTCAAGCCTCGAGATGACCGTCGCCTGGATCACCATAACCAGGTCATTCCTAAATAGGAAGGGAGCCAGTTGCCAAGCCTGACATAGGTGGAAAAACGCCGATCTGCTCACAGCAGAGACCTGGGCCTCCATAGTGAGCAGAGGGTCCAATAAGACACCAAGGCTTTTTACAGGAGGTGACAGACACCATCCAGGGTAGGCAGCTGGATCTCCCTCCCACCCAGATGGCCCAGCCAAAGGATCTCCCTCTTCACTGGATTCACCCTCAACCTGCTGGCACGCAACCATCCAGTAATGGCCTCAAGGCACTGATGGAATTTTTTGGGTACGGAGTCCGGAGTACGGTTTGTGGCACTTGTCTGGTGGTTGTCAGGCCTTCTGAATGAGTCAAGTGCCAATGTAAGGACTTTTAGCATTCATTTAGCAGGGTTTAATGCATTTCTATGGGGTTCAGTGCCAATGAAAGGCTCTGTAGCCCCCATGTAGGGAGTTTCAGGACCTTCAGAAGGGGCCTAGTACCAATGGAAGTGTCTTAAGCATCTGTTTGGGGATTTCTGGGCCTTCTGAATGAGTGTAGTGCTAATTTATTTATTTATTTATTTACTTTGCTTGTATACCGCAGTTTCTCAGCCCGTAGGCGACTCAACGCGGTTCACAACAAGAGCAAAAGTCAATCATAACAACATACAATTTAAAAACCATTAACAGCATAGTATACAAAGTAATGACATATCAATAACAACACATTAACGTCTCATAACTAGAGTCGTGATCCAATTCGTCAGCCATAATTCCGTTCCTATATTCATCATATTCATTGCGCTGTTTATCCGAATGCCTGTTCAAACAGCCAGGTTTTTAGTTTTCTTCGAAACACCATTAGCGAAGGAGCTGATCTAATGTCCATGGGAAGGGCGTAAGATTTTTAGCATTCATTTAGCGGGGTTTATGGCACCCCAGTGGCGTAGTGGGTTAAAGCGCTGAGCTGCTGAGCTTGTTGACAGAAAGGTTGCAGGTTTGATTCCAGGGAGCGGCGTGAGCATCCGCTGTCAGCCYTAGCTTCTGCCAACCTAGCAGTTCGAAAACATGCAAATGTGTGTAGATCAATAGGTACCATTCTGGCTGGAAGGTAACRGCGCTCCATGGAGTCATGCTGGCCACATGACCTTGGAGGTGTCTATGGACAACGCCRGCTCTTTGGCTTAGAAATGGAGGTGAGCACCACCCCCCAGAGTCAGACATGACTGGACTTAATGTCAGGGGGAAAACTTTACCTTTGTATGGCATTTATATGGGGTTCAGTGCCAATGGAAGGGTCTGTAGCCCCCGTTTMRGGAGTTTCAGGACCTTCTGAAGGGGCCTAGTGCCAATGGAAGTGTCTTAAGCACCTGTTTGGGGGTTTTCCSGGCCTTTTGAAGGAGTTGAGTGCCAAAGGAAGGWCTGTCGGCCTTCTCTGAGTGGAGTTTTTGGCATTTCTATGGGGTCCAGTGCCAATGGAAAGGCTTCGAGGCCTTTGGAGGGGCTTCGGTGCCAAGGCAAGGCTCCCTGGCGGTCTCCCGGCCTGCCTCCTTCCTCGGCCTCCCCTCGTTCCCCGCTCCCCAAACGGGGCCTTCCGCCCCGRCAGCCCGCTCACCTTCCCAGTAGTTGCTGCTCCCACTGCTACCGCCTCCGCCTCCCGCCGCCATCTTTGTTGTGTCCAACGTCAGCCGCGCCATAGAGCGAGTACGGCCAGAGCGCCGCCGGGAGCTTCCTTCCGGTCGGGGGCTAGGCTAGGCTTCTATTCCGAGGGAGCATAGAGAGGGCGCTAGAGCGGCAGGCCTCCAACCATTCCGCAGCGACACCCAGCGGCTGGAGGCCAGGCTTCCCTTTTAGCTTTCTTAATTGAAAGCAAGAGATAGGGCTCGACTATATATATGTATACGGATATGTGTATACTGTATATGTGTATGCATACGTATGTGTTTATATAAGTGTGTGGGTTTATATGTACATGTGTGTATATGTATGTACAGGTATGTGTGTATGCATATATACACATATACATACACATATATACATACATTTATTTACATATACATACATATGTATTTGTGCATGTGTATGTACATGTGTGTATACATATATGCACATATCCATTCACACATATACACATACATACATTTATTTATTTACATATACATACTTATACATATGTATGTATATGTTTGGGGTTTTACATATACATACATACATTTACATATACATACATATGTATATGTGTGTATATGTATGTACCTTTATGTGTGTATACATATATACATTCACATATATACACATACATACATTTATTATATATTTACATATACATATGTGTATATGTATGTACATGTATGAGATTTAAAGATGGGCAGGAAAAGAAATGTAAAGATGGGCTCAAAGCCAACCTTAAAAACTCTGGCATAGACACTGAGAACTGGGAAGCCCTGGCCCTTGAGCGCTCCAGCTGGAGGTCAGCTGTGACCAGCAGTGCTGCAGAATTCAAGGAGGCAGGAGTGGAGGGTGAAAGAGAGAAACGTGCCAGGAGGAAGGCGCGTCAAGCCAACCCCAACCGGGACCGCCTTCCACCTGGAAACCAATGCCCTCACTGTGGGAGAAGATGCAGAGCAAGAATAGGGCTCCACAGCCACATACGGACCCACAAGGAAACCCATGATGGAAGACCATCTTACTCGTCCAACGAGGGATCGCCTAAGTAAGTAAGTAACATGTATGTGTGTATACATATATACACATATACATTCACATATATACATTTATTTATTTATTTACATATACATACATATACATCTATATATGATTATATATATATATATACGTGTGTGTGTGTGTGTGTGTATATAGGTTATTGACACGATCAATACCCTAATAATATTATAGTATAATGTTATAGTACAATATAGTAATATATAATATTAATATTATGCTATGGAAATAATAGAATATATTGTATTTACATTTTGCTTCTGAGTATTTACATTTTGCTTCTGAGTCCCCTTTGGGGAGAGAAAGGTGGCATATAAATGTTGTAAATAAATAAAATACATGCATATAAATATTAGTTTACATATATACTCTGGGGGGGGGTCACAAGGGGGTGTCAGAGGGATCGCCAAAGACCATCAGAAAACAGTGTTTTCTCTTGGTCATGGGGGTTTTGTGTGGGAAGTTTGGCCCAATTCTACCATTGGTGGAGTTCAGAATACTCTTTGATTGTAGGTGCACTATAAATCCCGGCAACTATAACTCCCAAATGTTAAGGTCAATTTCCCCAAACTCCACCAGTATTCACATTTGGGCATATTGAGTATTCGTGCTAAGTTTTGTCCAGATCCATCATTGTTTGAGTCTACATTGCTCTCTGGACGTAGGTGAACTACAACTCCAAAACTCAAGGTCAATGCCCACCAAGCCCTTCCAGTATTTTCTGTTGGTCATGGGAGTTCTGTGTACCATGTTTGGTTCAATTCCATCATTGGTGGAGTTCAGAATGCGCTTTGGTTGTGGGTGAAGTATAAATCCTAACAACTACAACTCCCAAATAACAAAATCAATCCCCTCCAAACCCCACCAGTATTCAAATGTGGGTGTATCGGGTATTTGTGCCAAATTTGGTCCAGTGAATTAAAATACATCCTGCATGTCAGATATTTACATGACGATTCTGAACAGTAGCAAAATTACAGTTATGACGTAGGAACAAAAATGATGTTATGGTTGGGGGTCACCACAACATGAAGAACTGTACTAAGGGGTCGTGCCATTAAGAAGGTTGAGAAACACTGTTTTAGAGAGTGGTCTGGGAGGGGTTTTTTTTCAGCAGCCAAGATGGGCAGCGATCAAGGAAGCGAATTGTCCACACCTTTGTACTCAACAATTGAGACTGATCCAGTGTAATCCCACTCACAGAGTTGCTCGACACCTCATTGTTGGCCTCTCTCCAATGACAGTGTCAAAATCAACTCTTATATGAGACATTTTTCACTGTGAAATGGTCGTGAAAAGCATCACATACTGAAGGTTCAAATAAAGAGTTTAGAAGGGAGAGCACCCGAGTTAAACCTCTCACCATCTGAAGTTTGTTTTGCTGCAAGTATTGCCAACTTATAGGAGCAGAGTTGCCCTCTAGACAGTGTTTTGCTGCATAAAACAAGTCGATGTCTTTCCCCTTTCATTTTCCCAAGGATCTCTGTATACCAGAAAGCCTGATTTGTAAATGATCAGAGAGGTTTGGAAGCAATCGTGTCAGTAACCCTGGTTAGATTTGGTTCCACTTATTGACCAGGGTTTCAACAGGATTGTCAATGGTGATGCCAGCCACAGAACCCCTAAAACCTCTTGGAATCTGAAGGATCAATTAGCCTTTGAAGGCTGTCCCTTTTAGTAGGTCCTCCATCTCTGCAAGGGAAGGTTGAAGCTGTGATACTAGCCTTGACCGGAAAGTGATCTGTCCATGACAACTTGAAGGAATCACCTCCACCCAGAGATCCATATGTTCCAAGCTGAAAATCTATTATATATGTATATTTCTATATATAGGTATATAGGTTCTACACAGACTAATTACATATGTGTGTGTGTATAGGTTCCATATACAGATGAGTTTCATCTATGTATGTGTGTGTGTGTATATATCGTACACATATATATATTGGGAGGGAAAGAGAGTATACAGGTGTGTGTGTGTGTATATATGTATATATATGCGTGTGTGTTACATATATATACCCACATATAATAGTGTATGCATAATGTTATATATAAGTCTATTATGTATGCATAATATTATATATAAATATATGTAGGTTCTGTCTATATACAAACAACTATTATACTTGTTTACAGGTTATATATAGATATATGGTTTCATATACATGTGTATGGGAATTATGTTTGCAGGTTATATTTATAGAGAGAGAGAGAGAGAAAGAGGGAGAGGGGTTACATATGTATATACACAATATATATAGCTTATATGTGTGTTATATGCAAACACTATTATAAATGTATACAGGATATATAGTTTCCTCCCCCCCTCTCATACACACACACACACATACCTATATAGATATAAGTTCTATGTGTAGGTTCCATACGTGCACACACACACACACACATTATATATGTGTCTGTGTTATATACAAACACTATTATAAATGTATATAGGTTATATATAGTTTCTCTCCTCTCTATATATATACCTAGAAATAGGTTCTATGTGTAGGTTCCACACACACACATATTGTGTGTGTGTGTTATTTACAAACACTATTATAAATGTATAGAGGTTATATGGTTTCTCTCTCTATATATATCTATATATACTTATATAAATATAGGTTTTATATGTAGGTTCCATTATAGAAGCTCAATATACTCAAACATTGCTTCCTGCTCAAAATTATTAGAAATATTGTGTAAACCATGGACTAATGAGTTGCTTACCTGTAACTGTGATTTTTTTTAGTGGTAGTCTGTGAAATTTGCTCATATGAATCACATATGGGTTATCTGCTGTGCATGTGCAGAAGATAACCCATATGTGTGTCTTTCACAGACTGCACAAAGAAGAATTCAGGTGTATATGAAACATCCAATAATCTTCTTTTTAGGTCCCATTTCCTGGGGATCTAAGGATGTACTCCAAAATCCAAAAGGATATCCTCCACGTGCATATTTGTCTCCATGTAGAAGCACTTACATGATGTAAACATAATGAACATGGAGGTTTTGTGCACTTTGGAGAGCGTCAACAAAACGTGCGCCTCACATAAGGTTTAATGACTTAAATGCCAAGGCACACTCTCTCAGCCTCAAAGGAAGCCATCATGAACGAAGCAAACCAGACACAGGGAGGGGAGACCTCGTAAAATAGCTTTATACAGATTAGAGCTCAGTGTACATGTTAAAAAAACACACCCACGCGCGCACACATGCCAAATGCACTCGGCTTGGGCAGAAAGAGAGCCACAAAACGAGGCGTTTGCTTCGGAAAAGGCACGGACCCCAACATAAACGAAAAGAAAGACGGCCGTCGGTGAGAAGGCTTTTATGCCAGGCCTGGTTCCCTTTACAAAAATAGACATCTCTGGCAAACGCTTCCCAGAAGAGAAGGGCTGCTTGGGATCAGGACGAAGAAAAAGCTCCTTGAAAGCAAGTTAAGAGCAAGATAGAAAAGATTCAGTGGGGAGGAACTGAAACTGTTATTCTCATGTCAGATCAATCATTGGAAGCAAAAGGTCCGAGAGAACGAATTCTAAAATTTTGCAAATTTAGTACAGTAGAGTCTCACTTATCCGATATAAACAGGCTGGCAGAACGTCGGATAAACGAAATGTCGGATAATAGGGAGTCTCTGACTGTTACCTGTCCGACGCAGTGCTAGACACCTAAAATACTAACGACGGAGACTCAAAGGATTAAGGCAAGGCAACGCCTCAGGGCTAGAGGGCCCAGCAGGAAGTGCCCGGATGCAGAAGAGCGTGGAAATCACAGAAGGAAGGAGGGAGGATGCTTCCACTTCTGGTCCTGCCTCTTTCCCCACTTTCCTCCCTCCTCCTCCTCGTCTTGCCTTTTCCACTTATTGGGAATGGAGAGAGAGTTGGGGAGCGCTCCTTTAATTAGAGAGGAAATGGTGGAGGAAAAGGGGGGCATCGGATAAGACGTAATGTCGGATGAGCGAAGGTTGGATGAGCGAGACTCTACTATATTGGGAATTGAGACAAACTTGGGGAGTGCGCCTTTAATTGAAGGGGAAATGCTGGACATCGGATAAGACGTAATGTCGGATGAGCAAAACTACTGCATTGGGAATGGAGAGAGAGTTGGGAAGCACTCCTCTAAGTGAACGGGAAATGCTGGAGGAAAAGGGGGCGTCAGATAAGAGTGTCAGATAAGACAGAATGTCGGATGAGTGAGGGTCGCATAAGCACGACTCTACTGTATTGGGAATGTATTGCACTCATTGAGCCTGAACCTCAACTATGTTCCTTTTCTCAGCCATATTGTTTTGATGTTGTTTACGATTGTGATTGTTTTTATATTTTATCCGATGTTTTTAATTGTTTGTGTTTTAATTGTAACGTTTTTGGGCTTGTCCTTTGTAAGCCTCCCCAAGTCCTTTTGGGGAGATGGTTGGCGGGGTATAAAAATAAGGTTGTTGTTCTTGTTGGGGAGCGCTCCTTTAATTGAAGGGGAAATGCTGGAGGAAAAGGGGGTGTCGGATAAGACAGAATGTCGTATGAGCGAAGGTCGGATAAGCAAGACTCTACTGTAATTAGGAATGGAGAGAGACTTGGGGAGCGCTCCTTTAATTGAAGGGGAGATGCTGGAGGAAAAGGGGGTGTTGGATAAGACAGAATGTCGGATGAGCGAAGGTCGGATAAGCAAGACTCTATACTGCATTGGGAATGGAGAGAGAGTTGGGGAGTGCTCCTCTAATTGAAGGGAAAATGTTGGAGGAAAAGGGAGGTGTCGGATAAGAGTGTTGGATGAGGAAGAATGTTGGATAAGTAAAAGTCGGATAAGCGAGACTCTACTGCATTGCTGAACAGAAGGCAAGAGTAAACTTTTGCTAGAAAATCCAAAGGGAAACAAAGCTAGCAAGATGAAACAGACACTTGTGGGGACTTTTCCTCTGCCATCAAATCCAATCTTGTTCAATATCAGCGAAATCCTGCGCAAAGCGACTCAATGCACATGAGGCTGTCATTTGCCACCATTCAGCCTTTCTCTCCCAATCTCTTTCTTATGGATTACCTTACAATGACCCAACAATGAGCCAACGTCCATCCCTTCACCAACATATTCCCCAATCCAAAACAAAGAAGGCTGGGCAGCATAATGCAATGTGTTAAGAAACCTGCCGTCCTGCATTACAGAACTTCAGCTTTCGCTGAGTCGTATCCATTTCACCCAGGGGCCTCTCTCACACTGAGGCCTCTCTCAAACTGAGGCCTTTCTCCCACTGAGGCCTTTCTCCCACTGAGGCCTCATACTGAGGCCTACTAACACATCACCCCATCATTCTTGGGCAGCGGCTTGGTCTCCATCCTTCATGAGCGGGAATCTTAAGACAAGTCAGTCATCACCAAATCTAGTCTCAGGAGAAGAGGACTGCGAGAAAGAAAACATAATTCTGGAAAAAAGAAAGGGATTTTCTAATCCTTTTGGGGGAGGAATAACTCCCAGAATCCCCCAACTAAAGCGGTAGGTTGGTTTTATTTTCTGGGATTGAAGTAGTGTAAGTACTTATTTCCTCCCCTCCAAAGGTTCAAAGGTTACGGAGCGTCAAAACCAAACCCTTTGGCACCAAACCGGGGAATTCAGTACCTGGCTCTTTGGAGACATTATTATTGTGAAACATTATTCTTTCCAGCTCCAAAAGGGAGGGAGTCGAAACTCTGCATCCTCCAAAATGGCGCCAGGGAGGTCGCCTCCAACAAGGTCCGTGTTGTGTGTCATTTTCGGAGGCATGACGAGAAATAGCTCTGTTTGTTTTGATCAGGTAACAGTCAGTGTCTCCCAGAAAGGACCCAAAAGGAATCCTTCTGAGCGGAAGAAGGGACAGGAGCCAAGATGGCCGTCCCTGCAACCAAAACACACTGGAGACCAAAACGGAATTTGGGAAAGACAGGCCCTGTAGTGTCCTTTCTCCCCCAATCACAGCAAGAGGGGTTCGTGCAAACGTTGCTGAAGGAAGAGACATGTCTGTGTCGGAGGCAACCTCGTCAGCCATCCCAGAGCCTTCCCAGTTGCAAGCGGCCAGGGCCCGGGACCAACCCCGGGGTCAGTGCTTGCTGGAGTAGAGTGTCTCCTCTTCGGTGTCTGTCTCGTCCTGGAACTCATGGCTCAGCAGGGACTTCTTGGAGCCCGCCGACATCAGGCGGATCTCGTCCTCGTAGTCGTCCTGGTGCTGCCGCAGCCGGTGGAAGCCGTCCTTGTGACGGTTGGACTTGATGGAGCAGACGCACCAGATGATGCAGGCCGTCAGCACCAGGGCCGTCATCGTGGCACCTACACACACACATACACACAAAAAAGGCTTAGGACTCAACTGTCAGAAATATTAAAAACTTGCTTGGGTATTTGAAAAGACACTGTTTTGGGGTGGTTTGGTAACATCATTAAGTTAATTAGTAATACTACTATTAGGAAAAAGCCAGAATGCAATTTCATTTTTTATGAATGCTCCAATTAGAAAATATTATTTATTATTATTATTTCAAACATTTTTACCCCGCCCTTCTCAACCCCTAACAATGTGGGTGAACTATAGTAATAAAATAATAATGAAACTTTATTTATATACCGCTGTATTTTAGGGACTAAGGGCGGTTTCCAAGCAACAACATCAAAACATACAGAGTCACAACATGAACAAAAATTAACAGTAACAGCAACATAAGCATGGAATTACCCAACAACACATCAATAAAAAATAATCCGGCCTGCTCTTCATGTCTATTTGTTAGGCATGAACTACAATTCCCAGAATCGTGGGTCAATTTATGTATTTATTTATTTACTAGCCATCCCCTGCCACGCGTTGCTGTGGCCCACATGGGGGGTTCTGTGTGGGAGGTTTGGCCCAATTCTATTGTTGGTGGGATTCAGAATAATCTGTGATTGTAGGTGAACTATAAATCCCAGCAACTACAACTCCTGAATGTCAAGATTCTATTTTCCCCAAACTCCACCAGTGTTCACATTTGGGCATATTGAGTATTCGTGTAGAGTTTGGTCCAGATCCATCATTGTTTGAGTCCACAGTGATCTCTGGATGTAGGTGAACTACAACTCCAAAACCAAAGGACACTGCCCACCAAATCCTTCCAGTATTTTCTGTTGGTCATGGGAGAATTGTGTGCCAATTCTATCGTTGGTGGATTCAGAATGCTCTTTGATTGTAGGTGAACTATAAATCCCAGCAACTACAACTCCCAAATGACAAAATCAATTTTTTGAGTGAAGGACATACATTGGGTTATTAGATGTCTTGTGTCCAAATTTGGTGTCAATTCGTCCAGTGGTTTTTGAGTTCTGTTAATCCCACAAACGAACATTACATTTTTATTTATATTTATATATATATATCCCCTTCTCACCCCGAAGGGGACTCAGAGCGGCTTACAAGATATATATACATACAATATATTATATTATTAGCATAGTACAATATCAGTATTATATATTACTATATTTTACTATACCATTATATTGTAATATTATTAGTAATATTACATGTAATATAAAATATATAATAAGAGTATTGTATTATTAGTAGTATTATATTGTATTACATCCTCCCCAAACCACACCTGTATGCACAGTTGGCCATGTTGGGTGTCTAGTTTGGTCTAGATCTGTCGTTGGCCGGGTTCAGTGCTCTCTGGGTAAGGGTAAACTAAAACTCCCATATGCCAAGGGCAGCCACCCCTAAACCCTGCCAGTATTTACAGTTGGCCATGTTGGGTCTGTGTGCCAAGTGTAGTCCAGATCCGGTGTCAGCTGGGTTGAGTGCTCTTGGTGAACTACACCTCCCAAAATCAAAGTAATTTCTCCCAACGCCCTGCAGTATGTACTGGAGGGGTTTTAGGGGACTGACTCACCATGGTGGGAGTTGTAGCTTCCTGTACACTCAGAGAGCACACTGAACACTACCCATGATGTATCTGGAGCATACTGGCCCAACGTAATAACAAACTGTAAGTACTGATAGAGTTTCAGGGGGTTAACCTAGCATGATGTGAGTTGTAGTTCACCCACAACCTTACTGAGATACAAGATGTCTGCTGCTGTGTTCTTTACATAGCTAAGCCCTGTCTGAACTTTCCTATCTAGTTCTGTAGTTCTGTAGACAAAGCCTTCTTTAACTTATAAAGCTTGCCTCTGCTCCTGAATTGCTGAATCTCAATGGCTCTACTGCTGGCACTGGAAGCTTCTGAACTGCTGCTCTGTCATTTGAAATGCTTGAAATGAAACCTTGACTCTGTCTGCTTAGGATGTTAGGTGACGGGGAAGCGAAGGGAAAGTTGGGCAGTTTCCTTACCTGCCACGGTGACCACCAATTCCCTGGGGAGCCCCAAAATCTTGTTGTCGATGGCAAACTGGATGTGCAGGAAGCTGGGCACGTCGGGACGGACCAAGACCTGGAAATGGACAGCAGTCTTTTAGAGTAATGACTTCCATTCCAGTTAAAATGGGATCAATACCCTTTTGTTTTTAAGCTGCTCTGCCTTTGAAGAAGGAAGGAGGGAGGAGAGAAAAGTGGAGCTCCAGAGACCTCCACTGTGTTGTTTTTAAGCTGCCTTGCCTTCGAAGAAGGAGGGAGTAGAGAAGAGTGGGGCTCCAGAGACCTCCATTTTGTCATTTTGCCTTCAAAGAAGGAAGGAGGGAGGAGAGAAGAGTGGAGCTCCAGAGACTTCCAGTGTGTTGTTTTTAAGCTGCTCTGCCTTTGAAGGAGAGAAGAGTGGAGCTCCAGAGATCTCTATTGTGTTGTTTTTAAGCTGCCTTGCCTTCGAAGAAGGAGGGAGGCGAGAAGAGTGGAGCTCCAGGGACCTCCATTTTGTCATTTTTAAGCTGACCTACCTTTGAAGAAGGAAGGAGGGAGGAGAGAAGAGTGGAGCTCCAGAGACTTCCAGTGTGTTGTTTTTAAGCTGCTCTGCCTTTGAAGGAGAGAGGAGTGGAGCTCCAGAGATCTCTATTGTGTTGTTTTTAAGCTGCCTTGCCTTCGAAGAAGGAGGGAGGCGAGAAGAGTGGAGCTCCAGGGACCTCCATTTTGTCATTTTTAAGCTGACCTACCTTTGAAGAAGGAAGGAGGGAGGAGAGAAGAGTGGAGCTCCAGAGACTTCCAGTGTGTTGTTTTTAAGCTGCTCTGCCTTTGAAGGAGAGAAGAGTGGAGCTCCAGAGATCTCTATTGTGTTGTTTTTAAGCTGCCTTGCCTTCGAAGAAGGAGGGAGGCGAGAAGAGTGGAGCTCCAGGGACCTCCATTTTGTCATTTTTAAGCTGACCTACCTTTGAAGAAGGAAGGAGGGAGGAGAGAAGAGTGGAGCTCCAGAGACTTCCAGTGTGTTGTTTTTAAGCTGCTCTGCCTTTGAAGGAGAGAAGAGTGGAGCTCCAGAGATCTCTATTGTGTTGTTTTTAAGCTGCCTTGCCTTCGAAGAAGGAGGGAGGCGAGAAGAGTGGAGCTCCAGGGACCTCCATTTTGTCATTTTTAAGCTGACCTACCTTTGAAGAAGGAAGGAGGGAGGAGAGAAGAGTGGAGCTCCAGAGACCTCCATTGTGTTGTTTTTAAGCTGCCTTGCTTTCAAAGATGGAAGGAGGGAGGAGAGAAGAGTGGAGCTCCAGAGACCTATTTTTTTATTGTTTTTAAGCTGCTTTGCCATCAGAGAAAGAAGGAAGGAATGTGCTTTAAGTCCAAAAAAATTCACAGCATAACGGACTGCCTTCCACCACTCTTTGCCCTCCACCTCCCAAGCCAGAAAGGAGAGCGAGCTCCCGCTGTGCGCTCACCTGGACCTGCTGCCGCTGATACCCTTCGGCCATGGCGTGGATCTTGTGGTACCCTGGAGCTAGCAGCACATGGAAATAGCCCCCTTCCTTAGTCAAAACCGTCACTCCCTCGTTGAGCACGATTTGCGCTTTGGACACCGGCCGGCCGTGCCTGTCCTGGACATAGCCATAGACTCCTTTGTGAACCTATGGGGAGGAAGAGCAGGGTTTGAGGGATGGGGTTTAGGAAGAAGAGGAGCATTCCTGCAGAAAAGGACTCCCTGTTTTGTGAGGCACACATCCTTCTGGGAAACAAGGACAAAGGACGCTATTGGACAGTTGGAAAAATTCAGAGAGATATGAGTGAGATACAAGTCCATCAGAGTTAGAAACAGAAGTTAGAGAGTGTTTTTAGTTAGACTTAAGTCACTTTGGAGCTGGTTCATTGGTTAGTTAGATGCAGAAGGGAGAGATGCAAGATAGGTCAGTCATGATGTAGGCTTTTTAAAATAAGTGATCTTTATGTTGGTTTTTATGATGGTGCGTTTTAACAATGTGGGGCCCTGCCTTGAGCTGTGAGGAGAGGTGGGTAAGAAATAAAAAATATTATTATTAATGTTACTCCTATTATACACTTGTGCCTCTGCCAAATATTATTATACACATTATTATTATTATTACTATTATTATTATGCACGTGTGCCTCTGCTACATTTATTATTATTATACACTTGTACCTCTGCAAATCTTATTAATATATATATATGATTATGTACATTATCATTATTATACTCTTGTTCCTCTGCAAATCTTATTAATATACTTATTATTATTATTATTATTATTATTATTATTATTATTATTATTATCAGGTACATTATTTTTATACTCTTGTGCCTCTGCAAATCTTATTAATATACTTATTATTATTATTATTATTATTATTATTATTATTAGGTACATTATTTTTATACTCTTGTGCCTCTGCAAATCTTATTAGTGTACATATTATTATGCACATTATTATGTACATTATTATTATTATTATTATTATTATACTCTTGTGTCTTTGAAAATCTTCTTAGTATACATACAAATCTTATTAAAATACATATTATTATGTAAATTATTATTATTATACTCTTGCACCTCTGCAAATCTTATTAGTATACTTATACTTATTATTATTATTATTATTATTATTATTATTATGTGCATTATTGTACTCTTGTGCCTCTGTTATTATTCTACTTCTTGAGTTCAGACCCAGGGCACCTCATTCTTATAGACTTGTGTCACTGCAAAACTTAGTATTACACTTATTATACTTCTTATACTTTTACTGACACAAAATCACAGTATGTCACAGCAAACAAGATCTATATGCTGGATTTAGTATACTTCTTATACTTATACTTATTATTATTATTATACTTATACTTATTATTATTATACTTATTATTATTATACTTATTATTATTATTATTATTATACACTTGTGGCTCTGCAAGTATTATTATTATTACTTATTATCAACATACACATAAGATTATTATACGCTTGTGCCTCTGCTATTATTGTGCTGCTTTAGTTCAGGCCCAGGGTGCCTCCCAAACCCGATATTACACTCCTTCATTGCATTTACTTATCAACAAGTTGCTTCAGGAAGTTAACTCCATTGAAAACCATTGCTAAACAAAGATGTCACCCTATTTAAGCAGACACGTACCTCGACCAGCATGCTAAGAAGAGACTTCTTGTTCTCTGCCCAAAGAGCATGGAGCTGCCCAGCGCTGGGGAAGTAGCAACAACCGGTGTAAACAGTAATCTCTGGGCAATGTCCATAGGAAAGGCTGAAATCCTGCAGAGCCCAAAGGACAAACAGGTCTGAGATAAGTGATACAGCAGGGGTTCGCCAACTATGGCCTGCAGGCCTGATCCAACCATTTCTGGTCGGTCTGAGAGAGGAGGGCAACATGCTGGACAGAGGAAGACTGAAAAGAGAAAGAAAGAAAGAAAGAAAGAAAGAAAGAAAGAAAGAAAGAGAAAGAAAGAAAAGAGAAAGAGAAGAAAGGAGGGAGGGAAGGAAGAGAAAAATATGAAAGGGAAGAGCAAGAGAAGGAGAAAGAAAGAAGGGATGGAGGAAAGGAGGGGGGAAGACAGAGAAAGGAAAGGCAGGGGAAAAGATAGAAGAGCTAGAGAAAGAGAGGGAAAAGAAAGGAAAGGAGGAGGGAGAAAGGAGAAAGGAAAGGCAGTGGGAAAGATAGAAGAACTAAAGAAAGGGAAAGAAGAGAAAGGAAAGAAGGAAAGATATAAGAGGCAAGAAAGAAAGAGAAGAAATTAAAGAGAAAGAGGAGGGATGGAGGGAAGGAAGACAGAAAAAGGAGAAGAGCTAGAGAAAGAGAAGGGGAAAAAGGAAAGGCAGGGGAAGGAAGAGAAAGGAAAGGCAGGGGGAAAGATAGGAGGCAGGGAAAGAAAAAAAAGGAAAGAGAAAGAGAAAGAAAGGAGAACGGAGGGAAGGAAGGTAGCTAGAGAAATGAAGAGCAGGGGAAAGATAGAAGAAGCAAGGAAAGAGAAAGAAGAAAAGCAAGAGAAAGGAAGGAGAAGGGGAAGGAAGAGAAAAGAAAGGTGAGGAAAAGAAAATAAGAGCTAGAGAAAGAAAAAAGAAAGAAGGAAAGAGGAAGGAAAAGGAAAAGGAAAGGAAGGGAAAAGAAAAAAGCAGGGGGAAAGAAGAAGAGGAAGGAGAGAAGAAGAAAGGAAGAGAAGAGGAGGAGAGAGAAAGAAAGAGAAGAGAGGGGAGGGAAGGAAAAAGAAAAAAGAAGGAGGGAAAGAGGAAAAGAGAGGAAAGAAAAAAGAGAAAGGGAAGAGAGAGAAAGAAAGGAAGAAGAAGAAAAGGAGAAGGGAGGAAAGGAATGTGGGAAGAGAAAACGAGGAAAGAAAATAAAAAAGAAAGGGAAAGAAGGAGAGAAAAGAAAGAAGGGAGGGAAGGAAGACAGAGAAAGGAAAGGAGGGAAAGAAAGGAGAAGGATGAGAGAAAGAGAGGGAAAGAAAGGAAAGAAGGAAGGAAGGAAGAGAAAGGAAAGGCGGGGGTGATAGAAGGAGGAAAGAAAGAGAAGAGAAAGAGGAGGGAAAGGAAAGGAAGAGGGAGAGAGGAAAAGGAAGAGAAAGAAGGAAAAAGAGGAAAAGAAGGAAAAGAGAAAGGGAAGAAAGAGAAGAAAAAGAAAGGAAAAGGAGGAGGAAGGAGGGAGGAAGGAGGGAAGGAAGGAAGGAAAGAAAAGAAAAAGGGAGAGAAGGAAAGAGGAGAAAAGAAAGGAAGGGAAAGAAAAGAGAAGGGAAGGAAAGAAAGAAGGAAAGAAAGGGAAGGAAAGAGAAAAAAGGAAGGGAGAGAAAAAAAAAAGAAAGGAAAGGAAAGGCAGAGAGAAGAGAGAAGAGGCAAGGAAAGAAAGAGGAAAGAGGAGAGAAAGAGAGAGAAAAGAAAAGGGAAAAAAGAGGAAGGAAGGAAGAAAGGAAGAAGGCAGGGGAAAAGATAGGAGAAGAGCTAGAGAAAGAGAAGGAAGGAAAGGAGGAAGGAAGAGAAAGGAAAGGCAGGGGGAAAGAAGAAAGAAAAGGAAAAAAAGAGAAGAAAGGGAAGAGAAAGAGGAAGGAAAGAAGAGAAAGAAAGAGGGGAGAAAGATAGGAAAAGAGGCAAGGAAGTAAAGAGCAAAAAGGGAAGAGAAAGAGAAGGGAAAGAAAGGGAGGGAAGGAAGGAAGAAAAGGGAGGGAAGAAAAGAGAAGCAGCAAAGTAAGAAACAAAATAAAGGAAAGAACAAGGAAAAGAGAAGGGAAAGAAGGAAGAGAAAGAAAAGGCAGGGGGAAAGAGAAGAAGGGAAAGAACGGAAAGGAGAAGGGAAATAAGTTATGTGCCCTGCATTGAGGAATTTATTCATTTTTTTCCAAACTACCATTTAACCAGGCATGGGCAAACTTCGGCCCTCCAGGTGTTTTGGACTTCAACTCCCACAATTGTGGGAGTTGGAGTCCAAAACACCTGGAGGGCCAAAGTTTGCCCATGCCTGGCTAAACAAACTAAGGGACTTTGGACCAGCCCTCAGCTTGTTTTGAGGACTCAGAGAACAGAGCGCCAAACACCAAAGGGAACTCTCCAAAAACGGCTCCAAAATACCTTCATGCTGCCCAGGTGACTGTACCATTCAGCCCCTAACAACACCCCACCAGGAATATTTTCGTCTGTAAAGAAAAAAAAAGATGGGAATGAGAAGCACTTCCGACAAATCCACAAACAACACAACTGAACGGTCTTGGAAAATGTCCCCCACCTGATTTGTTGGGGCAGCCCGGCTGGCCCAGATGCATCGTGGGATGGTTGTTGGCATACACTGAAGCCAAGTGCCGCAAAGTCTCCTTGTATTCCACTGTTTGGGAAAATCACAAAGAGAGAGTGGGATGACTTCTAGGCATGGATAAGAGTTGCACGGATAACTCGTTGCTCGTAACAATTTCGTTAAAATTACCTTTATGAAGCAATATTGAAGCTTTTTTAAAAACCAGAAGTCCCTTTGCCCTTCCGAAGCTTTTTCTGCCATTTTTGTTATGACTCAGGAAGTGAGTTGGAAAAGATTCAGATTTTCCCCGCTTCTTGTCCCTGGCCTCGGCTCAAGCCAGAGAAGCCAGTTTTAAAGCCAGAGAAGGAAGAAATTTCCTGGCCTCAGCTAAATCCAGAAAAGCCAGTTTTAAAGCCAGAGAAGCTAGTTTTAAACCAGAGAAGGAAGGAATTTCCTGCCTCTGCTCAATCCAGAGAAACCAGTTTTAAACCAGAGAAGGAATTTCCTGGCCTCGGCTCAAGCCAGAGAAGCCAGTTTTAAAGCCAGAGAAGCCAGTTTTAAACCAGAGAAGGAAGGAATTTCCTCCATTTGCTTTTCCCCGCTTCTGGTCCCTGGCCTCGGCTCAAGCCAGAGAAGCCAGTTTTAAACCAGAGAAGGAAGGAATTTCCTCCACTTACTTGCTTTTCCCCACTTCTGGAGTAAAACAACTACTTTCAAAATAAAGGCCACCCAATGAAACAGGAAATAACACTTTCAAACCATTAATGAAAGGATTTGGAAGTCTTGGAAGTTTTGAAAAGTTTTGAATTTTTTTTCTGTGAAAATCGGAATTGACTTTAGAACTTAACCACCCTACATCCGAAACGAGTTTTGAACCATTTTTTTGATCAACCAAGCCTAATGCCTTCACTTATAGATACGTCGGTTATAGATATATCGCCTGTTCTAAGGTGAGCGTTGTCCTACCTGTCTGCACAGGTTTGTCGTAAGGGTACGTGGCAAGCAGTGAGCCGCCGTCCAAAGCGACCGAGAGGCTGAAATCCCCCTTCAGGATCAAGTTCTCCATGATGGCTTTGGTTTCCGGCTCTCGGGCCGCAGAAGAGTTGCCTAAATACAGGAAAAGATACACAAGTGGGATCAAGAGAGAGAAGAAGGCTCTGTTAACCAAATATATGATTCCTGCCCCATATATTGAAACTCTGAACTCCACAAATGATGGACCTGGAACTAACTTAGAAGCCCCAAGACCAGCAAAACATACTGGAGGTCTTTGGAGGGGATCTATAGGAGTTGTAGTTCACCTACATCCAAAGTGCACTATGAACTCAAACAATGAGGGATCGGGACCAAACTTGGTATGCATACCCAATATGGCTCTGGCCCATCCTCTATTTGGGTATCAGCCAGGATGCCAATGCCTTAAATCAAGAAACAGCTTCCTAAGAGACACTTGCAGGAACACTTCAGCAAGCGAGAGTCCAAAAGTGGCAGGCGAAAACTCTGAATCTCAATCAGTGGCCGATACCAAATATTATTATTATTTCATATCAAAAGCATTGCATAAATTAGTATTAATATAAGAACCGGTCTTGTTTTCAGGGAAATGTGGTATCTCTCGGGAGACACCTTGCCTCTCTCCATGCTCACAGGAAAAGAACAAAATAGAGGACTCGGGGGCTTTTACTTGTGAAATCCGTATCCAGGTCTTTGCCGTTGGCGTTGGCCAGTCCCATCTTGGAGGTGCAGTCTCCTTCCCGGGCAACCTCTCGCCCGTCGGGGTTCAGGGAGGGCACAATCACAATCCGGGTGTTGTCAATCAGCTGCAAAGGAGACACAGGGAGCGTCATAGAAGGGACCTCTAATGGCCACCTAATGGCCAGGCAGGAAAAGCACAATCAAAGCACCCCTGATAGATGGTCATCCAACTTCTGTTTCAAAGCAAAGAAGGAGCTTCCACCAGACTCTGAGGCAAAGAGTTCCTCGGCTGAACAACACCTTACCTTTGTGATGGCGGCATTCTTCTTGTAGTTCATGCAGAGGAACTCGGCCAGGGCCAAGAGCAGCTCAGTGCCCACCGGGGCGTTGCCGTGGAGGCCGGCTACAAAGCGGATCTTGGGCTCCTCTGGCTCCGAGCGGTTGGGCCGGTCGGAGATCTCCAGGGAGGAAATGTAGCGGTATTCACGGCTCTGGCCCAAGCTATTGCAGAGAGGCAAACAAACAAAACACCCAGAAGAGAGTGAGGCTGCTTCTGCGGCCAGGGGACTTTCTCAACAAAGGAAGAAGAATCTGATACAGGAAAAATGGTCCCAACTCTGACTCTCGGAGCAACACCTTTTAGAGGGCCAGGCATTTCAGAAACCTAGCAGAACCAGCCCCAAGAAATCACAGAATACTATTCATCTATCTATCTATCTATCTATCTATCTATCTACCCACCCACCCACCCACCCACCCATCCATGTGTCTGTCCGTCTATCCATCCATGAGTATATATTTCTTTCTATCCATCCATCCATCCATCCATCCATCCATCCATCCATCCATCCATCCATCCATCCATGTGTATATATCTTCTCTCTCTCTCTCTCTCTCTCCATCCATCCATCCATCCATCCATCCATCCATCCATCCATCCATCCATGTATATCTCTCTCTATCTATCCATCCATCCATTTATATCCTATCTATCTATCTATCTATCTATCTATCTATCTATCTATCTATCTATCTATCTATCTATCTATCCCTCCCTCCCTCCCTCCCTCCCTCCCTCCCTCCCTCCCTCCCTCCATCCATCCATGTGTATATATATTATCTTATCTATCTATCTATCCATCCATCCATCCACCCATTCGTATATATCTCTATCCATCCATCCATCCAACCATCCATCCATGTGTCTATCTATCCATCCATGTGTATATGTCTCTATCTATCAATTCATCCATCCATGTGTATATATCTCTATCTAACCACCCATCCATCCTTCCACCTACCAAGTGTATATATCTCTATCCATCCACTCATATATAATCTTTATCTACCTCCCCATCCATCCACCAAGTTTATCTCTCTCTCTCTATCAAAGTGTATACATCATATTTATCTATATCTATCCATCCACACACACATATATATCCATCCATATATATCTATATATCTATGTATATAATTATATCCAGCCATCTGTGTGTATATATCAGTATCAATTTAGTCATCTGTATATATCTGTCTATATCTAACCATATATGTGTATATATCTAAATCCATCAATTCATGTATCCATCTATCTGTATATCTCTATCCATCAGTCTGTATAGATACAATACCTCTCTCTCTCTCTCTCTCTATCTATCTATCTATCTATCTTACAAATATCTATCCATCTCTGTATATATATCCATATATATACATCTATCTGGATATATCTAGCCATCTATGTGTATATATCTATATCCAGCCGTTCATGTCTTTATCTTTCTCTCTCTTTCTGTTTATCTATCTAACTATCTGTGAGCATATATCTGTCTATTCAGCCAGCCAAACCTTTTCTGCAATGTAAGAAAACACAGTTGAAGTCATCCTGACAGAAGGCCATTCAGCCACTACTTAAATATCTCCAGAGAAAGGCTCCAAGCAGTCTATATTCCACTGAAGTTGGAAGAGACCCCAAAAGGATATCTAGTTCAGCCCCCTTGTGCCAGGAAGGAAAAGCACAATCAAAGCCCTCCCAACAGATGGCCATCCAGCCTCCACCACACTGAGGCAGAGAGTTTCCCTGCTGAACAGTTCTTCTAAGAATCAAAAGGTAGGCTAGAAAACAATCCTGTCTAATAATAATTACAATAATTAGTAGTGGTGTTACTGTTATCATTACAGAGTTGATAATATTAGGGAGGCAATGTAAGGCAATCTATATTCCAAACAGTGCTGCCTAATAGCCCACCTGGAGAGATTGGTGATGTGTGGATAGTTTAGGTTGAGGCCCCGGAGGAACATGGAGCGGTCATCGTAGAGGCGGAATCGCGAGGGCTGGACATCGGCCGAGGAGGAGAGCAGCAGGCGCTCCAAGCCGTCCTCGGCTGAGAGGTCCTTGATCAGGGTCTCAAACTCTTTCCGGACATCGTCCATGGCATCGGCCACATTCAAATCTGGTGCCTTTCCCTCCTCTGCCTTGGAGTCTTTGGGGCTCAGAGTAAAGTTCACCTGTGTGGCGGATTTATCCCCAACCTTCACCGTCTTGGTTTCAGAATTATACCTTTTTAAAAAACCAAAGCAGAAGATGGAGAATGTGTGAATATGAAGGAATTAAGAAATATCCTGAGATGCTGATGGGGATAGCAATCCTCTGGAAAAGTGGATATAACAACAACAACAACAACAACAACAACAACAACAACCTGTTATGCTTTCTGTTCCAAGGAAAGACAAAGCTACTCCCACACAAATAATAACAATATTACTAATAATATAAACACAACCTGTTATGCTTATTGTCCCAGGGAAAAATAAAGCTATTCTTTCACATAATAATAATAATAATAATAATAATAATAATAATAATAATAATAATAATACACAACCTGTTATGCTTATTGTCCCAGCTATTCCTTCACATATTAATAATAATAATAATAATAATAATAATATAAACACAACCTGTTATTCCTGTTCCTGTTCCAAGGAAAGACAAAGCTACTCCCGCGCAAATAATAACAATATTAATAATAATAATATAAACACAACCTGCTATGCTTATTGTTCCAGCTATTTCTTCACATAATAATAATAATGATAATAATAATAATATAAACACAACTTGTTATTCCCGTTCCTGTTCCAAGGAAAGACAAAGCTACTCCCACACAAATAATAACAATATTACTAATAATATAAACACAACCTGTTATGCTTATTGTCCCAGGGAAAATAAAGCTATTCCTTCACATAATAATAATAATAATAATAATAATAATAATAATAATATAAACACAACCTGTTATTCCCGTTCCTGTTCCAAGGAAAGACAAAGCTACTCCCGCACAAATAATAACAATATTATTATTATTAATAATAATATAAACAGAACCTATAATGCTCATTGTTCCAAGGAAAAAACAAAGCTATTCCTCCAAATAATAATAATAATATAAACATAACCTGTTATTCCCGTTCCTGTTCCAAGGAAAGGAAAAAGCTACTTCCACCCAAATAATAATATTAATAATAATATAAACACAACCTGTTATGCTTATTGTCCCAAGGAAAAACAAAGCTATTCCTCCAAATAATATAATAATAATAATAATAATAATAATAATATAAACATAACCTGTTATTCCTGTTCCAAGGAAAGACAAAGCTACTCCCACACAGATTATAATAATATTAATAATAATATTAACAGAGCCTGTTATGCTTATTGTCCAGGGAAAAACAAAGCTATTCCTCCACAAAATGATAATAATAATAATATAAACACAACCTGTTATTATTCCTGCTCCTGTTCCAAGGAAAGGCAAAGCTACTACTATACAATTTATTATTATTATTATCAATAATAATAATAATAATAATAATAATAATAATAATAATAATACAAGCTGTTATGCTTACTGATGCTTGTGGTGATATCAATCCTCTGGAAAAGTGTGCAAAAAAGTTACTTTTCTAGACTGCAACTCCCAAAATCTCTCAGCTAGTTTGCCCAGTATAAACTGGAGTAATACATATTGTCTTGAAATGGTTTTAAACAGCTGATTTTAAAGTAGATATAAGTGATTTTAATGTTTGTGCATATTTATAGTTTCATGTCCCGGGACTGAATGCTTGCCCTATATATGTTGTGCTCTATCAGCTGTTAGAAATTGTGGGAGTTGAAGTCCAAAACACCTGGAGGGAGGGCTGAAGTTGGCCCATGCCTGCCATGAAGGTTCCCAAGTTACTTGCCAAACTGCGGCACTTAGAATCATAGAATAATAATAGAGTTGGAAGAGACCACGTGGGAGAAAAGCCCAGTTGTGAGACTCACCCTCTGGCCGAGGCCGTGATCCTGTAGATGCCCTGGGTCAGGAGGCGCCAAAAGTCCCCGCTCTTGTAGGTGACGACATGGTGGTCGATGCCGGTGATGCTGATGGTGGCGTTGAGGATGCCCCGTCCATCTGAGGCATCCAACACAAAGCCTCTCACGCCGGTGTGAACCTGGGCAAAGGAAGACATGTTCATTTCAGAAGTCTGGCCTTCCAAATCCGTTTTGCCTTTGTGCCCCTTCTCTACCTTTATGATAGATAGATCTGCTGATCGGTGAGTCCACCAGTCATAAATATATCTATATATATAAAAAATGCTCTGTTCGTTTTGAGTGACATCGTAACTGAAAATCCACTGGACAAATTGCTGCCAAATTTGGCCACAAGACACCTACTATCCCAAGGAGTGACCATCACTAAAAAAATGATTTTGTCATTTGGGAGTTGTAGTTGCTGGGATTTATAGTTCACTTACAATCAAAGAGCATTCTGAACTCCACCAGTGATGGAATTGAACTAAATAAATTGGGGGGATTTAGAGGAGTTGTAGTTCACCTAGATCCAGAGTGCACTATGAACGCAAACAATAATGGATCTGGAACAAACTTGGCATGCATACCCAATATGCCCAAATTTGAATAAATGTAATAAATAATAATAATAATAATAATAGAGTAAAATAATGGAAATGTGGTGTATCAAATAATAATAATTTGATTATAACAGTATAACACTACATTATAACAGTAATGATAGAGTGAAATAATAAATGTAATAATAATAATAGATAGTCAAATGTAATAATGTAAAAATAATAATTGAGTAAAATCATGTAAATGTAATAACAATACTAAATTGTAATAATAATAAATAGAGTAAAATAATAAATGCAATGAAAATAATAATAAGAGTAAAATAATAAATAGAGTAAAATAATATACATGTAAAATAATAAGAGTAAAATAATGTAAATGTAATAATAATAATAATAAATAGAGCACTATAATAAATACAATGACAATAAATGGAGAAAAATAATAAATGTAATAATAATAGAGTAAAATAATATACATGTAAAATAATAATAGAGTAAAATAATGTAAATGTAATAACAATAATAATAATAATAATAATAATAATAATAAATAGAGCACTATAATAAATGCAATGACAATAAATGGAGAAAAATAATAATAATCAATAGAGTAAAATAATATAATGTAAAATAATAAGAGTAAATAATGTAAATATAACAATAATAATAGAGCAAAATAATAAATAGAGTAAAATAATAAATGTAATAATAATAATAGTAGAGTAAAATAATAAATGTAATAATAATATTTATTATTATTTATTTACAATAATAATAATAATAAATAGAGCACTATAATAAATGCAATGACAATAAATGGAGAAAAATAATAAATGTAATAATAATAATCAATAGAGTAAAATAATATACATGTAAAATAATGTAAATGTAATAATAATAATAATAAATAGAGCACTATAATAAATACAATGACAATAAATGGAGAAAAATAATAAATGCAATGACAATAAATAGAGTAAAATAATATACATGTAAAATAATAATAGAGTAAAATAATGTAAATGTAATAATAATAATAATAATAATAATAATAATAATAATAATAATATAATAATAATACTAGAGTAAAAAGATAAATAACTATGACTTGAGTATAAGCCAAGGGGGGCTTTTTCAGCCTAAAAAATCTCTGATTATACTCGAGTATTTCTGGTACATATCCCGCATGTTGCAAAGGTTTCCGGCTTCAGGTTGCCTCACCTGTTTGATGAACTGCAGCAGGGACCGGCGGTTCTGCTCCCAATAGAGCGGCAGGTCCTTGGCCCTCGGGTACTTGACGCAGCCCAGCTCAATGGTCACTTCAAAGCAATTGGTGTTGAGGTAGTTCCAGTCCTGCATGCCACCTGGGACAAGGAGACCAGGAGAGCCCTGGTTGAGTCATTTCCAAAAAATGGAGAAAGCATTGAAAAGGGTAGACCAGCAACCACAACAATTTAGCAGGTCAGAAGGTGCTTGAGAACAACAGCAGAGCGAATGAGCTCCAACAATTGACAAAAAAATACAGAAGACCTGTGGAAAGATAGGAAGCTGGCCATCTATTTATCTATCTCTCTGCAGACATCTTGTCTCTCTCCATGCTCACAGATGGAGGAGAGAGGAGCAGACAGAGAGGACGACGAGGGAAGGGCTTTTCCCTGACAACTCAACCTCATCTGCCTATCTAATTCCTTGATGAGGACTATAAACCTGTGCAGGATGTGGTTGAGTTCCAACAAAGCACAGAAAACAAAGCAAGCCAGAACGCTATCGCATTCGCAAAACAAGGAAAGCTTTAGGGTTTGGGTAAAAGGGATCGACAGGCCAGATTAGAGCAAAATGTGGGCCAGAGCCTGATCGTTCCACCTCTCTTTACCTGGCACATTATACCAATGGGCTCCGTTGGTGATGCCATGGGGAAAGTACTCCTCGGGAAGCATATCTTCACATGGGTGGCCCTGGGACATCTGTACGTTCTCCTGAGGAAACAAGAGGAAACGAGCCTGGATTTCCCAAGTCTGGACATATAAGGTCCAAAAATCAGAACGTATGACGAATTACTGAATGGAAAATACACCAGTTTGAAAAAATGAAAACACGAATGCCGAGAGATTGCGACTTGCCCAAAGACACCCAATGTGTTTGGAGTCCCAGTCCCAGGTTCAAACCTCTAAACCAGGAGTCCTCAAACTTTTTAAACAGAGGGTCAGGTCATAGTCCCTCAAACTGCTGGAGGGCCGAATTATAATTTGGAAAAAAATAATGAATGAATTCCTATGCACACTGCACATCTCTTATTTGTAGTGCAAACTACACTTAAAAAAATGAATAACAATTTTAACAAATATAAACCCATAGTATTTCAATGGGAAGTGTGGGCCTGCTTTTGATTGATGAAATAGGGTTGTTGTTGCTGTTGTGTACTTTTAAGTCATTTCAGACTTAGGTTGACCCTGAGCGAGGGCTGAGTAAATGTCCTTCGAGGGCCGTATCCGCCCCCTCCGGGCCTCAGTTTGAGGACCCCTGCTCTAAACCATGCTTTCTGGATTTTCAACTCCTTCCTTCTTTTTTTCCCCTACCTACCATATATACTTGAGTATAAGCTGACTAGAATATAAGCCGAGGCACCTAAATTTGGTACAAAAAACTGGGAAAACGTATTGGCCTGGGAAAGGCAGCAGCTACAGGCAAATTTCAAAATAAACATAGATATCCATAAAAGTACATTAATTGAGGCATCAGTAATAATAATAATAATAATAATAATAATAATAATCTTTATTTATACCCCGCCACCATCTCCCCCAACGGGGACTCGGGGCAGCTTACATGAGGCCAAGCCCAAACAACAAATTACAATAAGATACAAATTACAATAAAATAAACAACATAGCATTACAGTATAAAACATATAAGCATATAAACAATATACACAAAACATGTTTAAAAAAGCTGTAAACCAAACATAATGACAGTGAGCGGGCCGCATGCACATAAAATGATTTACTCTATTATTATAAGGTGAAGTGCTTTTGAATATTTACATAAAACTGTTTTAAGATAAGACTGTCCAACTCTTTCAATGTAAATGTGCTTGTGTATCCTTCCAATAAAAATAGAGAGTAAAATAATAAATGTAAACATATTAAGAGTATAATAATGTAATAACAATAGAGCTAAATAATAAATGTAATAATAATAAATCGACTAAAATAATTATGTAATAATAAATCGAGTAAAATAATGTAAATATAAAGAACTGTAAATAAATAAATAAATGCAATAATAACAATAATAAATAGTATAAAATAATAAATGCAATAATAAGCATAATAATGTAATAATAATAATACTTTGAGTAAAATAATAAATGTAATAATAGAGTAAATGAATAAATGTAATAATAGAGTAAAATAATAAATGTAATAAAATAGTAATAGAGTGAAATAATAGCAGTAATAATAATAGAATAAAATAATGTAAATGTAATAAGAATAATAATAGAGTAAAAGAATAAGTGTAATAATAATAATAAAAAGTAAAATAATAAATGTAATAATAATAGAGTATAATAATGTAATAATAATAAGAGTAAAATAGTAAATGTAATAAAAATAATTAGAGTAAAATAATAAATGTAATAATAACAATAAATAGAGTAAAATAATAAATGTAGTAGTAATAATAATAATAATAATAGAGTAAAATAATGTAAATGTAATATGAAATAGTATTAAATAATGTAAAATAACAAATGTAATAAAAATAAAAATAATAACAGAGCAAAATAATAAATAACTTTGACTTCAGTATAAGCCTAAAAAATGGGTTAAAAAACTCAGCTTATACTTGAGAATATACGGTAAATAGTTTTCTTCCTCCCTGGGCGTGAATGCCAGCAATGGTGGTAGCAGCATGTCTAAAGTTTAGGGCAGGGGAGCTGAGTAAATGGCCTTAAGTTTAAGGACCCTTCACCTGACACATCTCAGCAAACAACAGAATATTTTCTTCTGACTTTAGAAAAATTCACCACCATTTCTCTCCTGCCTCTCTCAACCTTATGTATTTCACTTAGCCAAGGTGAAGAAAAATAAATATATTGTTATTTCAAAGCTGACACCTATTACTGAAAAGGAAAAAAATGGAAAAACAAGTGATCTGGCTCTGAAAACACGAAGTCTGCAGGATCGGGAAATTGTACCTTGGCATAAGAAAGAGCTATTTGTTGAAAGACGGCATCATCCGGAGAGCGACTGTACGTGGCAACTCCTTGCCGGTCGTCGTCATAGGGATAGTTGACAACCAAGGAGCCTACAGCGGGATACAGAGAGGGGGATAATAAATAACCCACATTTCTCAAGGTCTTATCTTTGGTGGTCCGTTAATCCCAGCACAAAGAAGCATCTGTTTCAGTCACAACCTGGAGATCAAGACTAGGATTAACCAAGTCAACAAAGCAACAAGGAAAACTGAGCGACAGGCAAGTCACCACATGCAGTCTTCAAAATCGGCTCTGTAGGTTTGCTCTTAAGTTGAATTTGTTGTGAGTCGGAACAGGGACATTTTGAAAGAGTAACACCAACCAGATATAGATACAGATTAGCTTAGGGTAACATAGGAAAGGGTGAACATCCCCGTGGAGTTTGTTTTGCTGTCTGTGCCTCAGTTCAGAAGATTTCAACTCACTTCCTGTCCCTGTGAGAACAGGATTTTGGGAAATTTGGGAAGATTGCCGAAAAGCTTCAGTGGAGAGCCCTTTCCCCCAGGATAAGTGAATTTCCTTTCCGAGGAGAAGATTTCTCTCACTTCCTGTTGTTGTAGTCCCGTTCTAAGTTGCGAGTCATTTGTAAGTTGGATGTTTGTAACTCAGGGACTCTCTCCGTGTGTGTGTATAGGTAAAAGGTAAGGTAAAGGTTTTCCCTTGACATTAAGTCCAGTCATGTCCAACTCTGGGGGTTGGTGTTCATCTCCATTTTTAAGCCAAAGAGCTGGCGTTGTCCGTAGACACCTCCAAGGTCATGTGGGCAGCATGACTGTATCGAGCGCCATTACCTTCCTACCAGAGCGGTAGCTATTGATCTACAGCTACCACCTTACCTGCGTGACCGCATTACCATCTACGAACCCACGCGCTCGCTTCGGTCATCTGGGGAGGCCCTGCTCGTGATCCCACCTACATCGCAAGCGCGCTTGGTGGGGACACGGGACAGGGCCTTCTCTGTGGCGGCCCCCCGACTTTGGAACACCCTCCCAAAAGATCTCCGACAGGCCCCTTCTCTTGCTGCTTTCAGAAGGAATTTAAAAACTTGGTTGTTCCGCTGTGCCTTTTCAGACTAGGAATCCCCACCTGAGTTCTGATAGTACCTTAGCATAATTAATTGCCACTGCACACTGCACTTTTAATTCCACGTGCCCCACCACCTCAGCACTTTTAATTTCCTGTACCCATCGCGCCGGCCGAGCCAGTTTTAATAATGTTTGATGTATTGTTGGTGTCGTTATTGCTTATTGTTTGATTTGCTTTGCTATTGTTGTGTTATGTTTTTTACTGTATTGTGTTTTGAGGCTTCGGCCTGTGTGAGCCGCATCGAGTCCCTCGGGAGATGCTAGCGGGGTACAAATAAAGTTAATAATAATAATAATAATAATACAGTGTTCCCGCGCTACTTCGTGGATCACTTTTTGCGGACTCGTTGTTTTGTTTTCAGCGACCCAATCACGGTGGACCTTGCATAGGTATGAAGTGAGGTGTTCTTTTTGAGAGGGTGGAAATAAGTGAAAGGAGGAGAACTGAGGAAGAGGAGGGGATAGTGGCGCGTTAGCCAATCAAAGCCTCCCTTTCAGCGGCCCAATCACAGTGCACCTTCCATAAGTGGGGCTTTTGAGTGGGAGGCAGAAATAAGAAGGCAGAGCGAGCTGGTGCATGCTTGAATAATGCTGATGTTTTCTCCATGGGACCTAGAATAATAATAATATACTTTATTTGTATCCCGCTACCATTTCCCTAAAGGGGAGTTGGGGTGGCTAACATGAGGCCAAGCCTAAAATTACAGTACAGCAAAATAAAATACAAAGAAGCAAAAATACCATCAAAATAAATACATGAAATAACTAAATAAAATAAGCAGTTTCAAAATAACATTATAGCGAAATAGAATGCAGTGGGCGGGCCAAATGTACTAGGATAAAATTGATAAAACCCTGAATGAGATAGGTAGTGGGAGAATGTGTTTCTGAGGGAGGAGCTCAAAAGGAAGAAGTCTCCCAAGAAGACTGCAGGTTCGAACTTGAGGAGCGGGGTGAGCTCCCGCTGTTAGCCCCAAGCTTCTGCCAACCTAGCAGTTCGAAAACATGCAAATGTGAGTATAGTGTTCCCTCACTTATTGCGGATTTTATGTTCCAGGACCACCCGCGATAAGTGTTATCCAATCAGAGCCCGCCTTCTAGCAGCCCAATCAGCAAGCGCCTTGCACTAGGCAGCTGCATCAGGAGCCGAGGCGTCGCCTGTGAGGGAAGGAAAGGCAGGCAAAGCATTGGCGCCTCAGATCCGGATGGAGCAGCCCCACCATCGGCATGAAGGGACTGAGAGAGTGGGGGAGAGAGAAAGAGCAGTACTTATTGATCTACTCACATTTGCATGTTTTCGAACTGCTAGGTTGGCAAAAGCTGGGGCTAACAGTGGGAGCTCACTCCCTCCCCAGATCAGAACTTGCAGTGTGTGTGTATGTGCATATATGAATGTGTGTATTTATGTGTGTATATTATATATATGAAATGAAATGAACTAGTGTTGGCAGGTAATTTGCCCTTAAAACCCAGTATCCATAGGATGATTCATCCCTTTCTGCCTTTTCCAGCCAGTTGTCTGGAGTAACTCCCCAAGTCAAAAACATTCACAAGCAAACATGACTTTCCCAGGCAGGAAGTTCCGCTTAACTCAGCAACCACTCCCTTGAGGTTTTTGTGCAGAGGACGGGGAAACTGTCCCAAGGCAGCTCTCAATCCTGATCTAGGCGGTAGAAGGACTATGAGATCTGCTTTCTTCTCACCTCCATGCAAGTTTGCAGACAGCACAAAGGGATAGCTCTTCAGCCAGCTCATGACAGCAATGGTCTCGGGCTGCAGGGGGTCCGTGATGTTGACAAACTGATCGGGGAAGTTGCGGTTCAGATCATAGTTGTTGCTGTTGTTTCGGCCCACGACCCCTGAGGCGTCTCCTGAGGAAAGAGAACCACCAACCCGTTACGCTTACTGTTCTAGGGAAGGACAAAGCTACACATAAATAATAATAATAACAACAATATTATCTATAGGCATCCATCTATCTCTCTAGACACATAATAAAAGTGAAAATATGTATGTGTGTGTGTGGCTGGGGTGTCCACTTACACAGACAAGGTCCTGCCTCCACAAACAACTCTAGCTTCCATTGCTCAGGAGACACCAAAGGCCCTCCCTCCCATGACATTGCAGGTTATAGTGAGCACCAGGAACATGCTCAAGAGCCCTGTCAATGTCCTCCACACAAACTACACTGCCCACCACACAAGTCAAGGCTCTCATTCGGGGACAACTACATCCTAGATTGTATGTGTTTCCTTCATCACAGACATCCCAGTGTTTCAAGCTTGTTTTCTGCTGCCCTGGAGACTAGGACGCAATGGAACAATGGCTTCAAACTACAATAAATAAAATTCCATCTGAACATTAGGCAGAACTTCCTGACTGTGGGAGCTGTTCAGCAGTGGAACTCTGCCCCAGAGTGTGGTGGAGGCTCCTTCCTTGGAGGTTTTCAAACAGAGGTTGGATGGCCATCTGTCGGGGGTGCTTTGAATGTGATTTTCCTGCATCTTGGCAGTGGGTTGGACTGGATGGCCGATGAGGTCTCTTCCTACTCTGTGATTCTATGAGGGCCGGACTTTAGCACAGCTGGTTCATCACCAGCAGCAATACATCTTATTTATTTATTTACTTACAACATTTATATGCCACCCTTCTCACCCTGAAGGGGACTCAGAGCGGCTTATAAAATAAATATACATACAATACATTATATTATTAGCATAGTACAATATCAGTATTAAATATTACTATATTGTACTATACCATTATATTGTAATATTATTAGTAATATAACATATAATATAAAATATGTAATTATAATATCATATTATTATTATATTGTATTACATTATAATATTATAAATATTATATGTATATACAATATATAATATAATATAATATAATATAATATAATATAATATAATATAATATAATATAATATTATTCTTACCCATCAAAAGGTTGGCAGTTTGAAGCTCGGGTAGGGGTGAGTACCCGACCTTCAGCCCAGCTCACTGTCCATCTAAGTAGTTCGAAAGCTAAGGGTAGATAAGTTGCTTAAGTGGGGAGGTATTTTAGGGCATCATTAAAGAAATATCAGAAAATGCCGGCCATCAAAGGAAGGAGGAAGTCTGTGATCAAGGGCTCTTCATCGTAGAGGACGGAGTGACAGCACCACCTTGTGGCCAGAATAGATCACAACCTCCAGGGCACCGAATTTGGGAAAATGTCAAAATAATACCTCTCTCTGTTGCCTGTCCTGTGTGTTGAATGTTTGTCGTGTATGTGTTCTGTGATCTACCCTGAGCCCCCTTTGGGGTGAGAAGGGCGGAATATAAATACTGTAAATAAATAAATAAATAAATAAATAAAATAAACACAACACCAGGTGGTAATATAATGAGATTCCTAACACCCTTCTGGTCACTTGTAACACTGTCTCTACATTATCTGGACACAATATGACAAAAGAGGGGGAAAGACAGCAGAGAAGGCCCTTCCCTTGCAAAAGAAAGAAAGATGGAGGTATTAAGGGAGCTGAGACCACGCAACTACCTTCGTGGGCTTTCTCGTAGCCATCGGGGTTCATGGAGGGCATGATGTGGATGCGGGTCTTTTGGACCAAGTCGGTGACTTCGGGGTCCGTCCCGTAGTTCCTGCAGAGGAACTCGATGAGGTTGAGGAGCAGCTCTCGGCCCACCACTTCGTTGCCGTGCATGTTCCCCACGTACTTGAACTCGGGCTCCCCTGGATGGGAGAAAGAAAGCAAATGCGGCTTTCACAGGGCCCTTTCCTTCCAAGAAGCGGTTCAACAGGCTAGATTTATTTTATTGTATTTTATTTGATTATATAAGTAAAATATAACATTGTCACAGTCACCATTACCATATTTCCCCATATAACATTCTGATGATTCCTGTTTTTCTAGCCTTTACAATTCTATACTTATACCTATCCATTTTTTCCCCTTCCCTCTTCCCTCCCTCCTCTTTCCCAGGAACAGTTGTACCTCTGCTCTGTATTATTTTATTTGTTTGATCATGAAGACTGCCTGATTCAATTCCTTGTATTTTCCTTTTCCTCTAGCTATTAGCCCTTTCCATTTTAACTCCCAGTTCTCCTTGGGATGTCCATTTGTATATTTATCGTATATAATCGAGTATAAGTTGAGTTTTTCAGCCCTTTTGAAAAAGCCCTCCTTGGCTTATACTCGAATCAAGGTTATTTATTATTTTACTCTGTTATTGTTGTTGTTATTATTATTACATTTATTATTTTACTTTATGTATTATTATTATTAAATTTACATTATTTTTCTCCATAATTATTATATTTATTATTTTACTCTATGTATTATTATTATTACATTTACATTATTTTTCTCTATTATTATTGTTATTACATTTATTATTTTACTCTATTATCATTATTATTATTACATTTACATTACTATTCTCCATTATTATTACTACATTTATTATTTTACTCTATTTACTATTATTTTACATTTATTATTTTACTCTATTATATTATTATTATTTATATTTTCTCCATTATTATTGTTATTACGTTTATTATTTTACTCTATCTATTAATGTTATTACATTTACATTATTATTACGTTATTAAATTTATTTTACTCTTTGTATTATTATTACATTTATTTTACACTAATTACTATTGATATATTTATTATTTAGCTCTATTTCTTATTATATTTATTACATTTAATATTTTAAGCTATTTATTTTATTGTTAATAAATGTAGTAAAATAATAATTACAGAGTAAAATAATAAATCACTTTGACTCAAGTATAAGCCGAGGGGAGATTTTTCAGTCTTAAAAAAGGGCTGAAAAACTCGACTTATACTTGAGTAAATACGGTTATTTGATAAGTATTCATCCCATTTTTAAAGTTCTCATTTCTTGTGCTCTTTCCAACTTAATGCTACCATTGCTTGAGTAGCTACTATTGTGCATTTTACAATTTTGAACCTGTTCTTTATTCCCATCTTCACCTGCTATTTTCTAAATAAAGAGTTGCTTTTTGGTTCAACTCGCCACCCAACAGATCCAACGGAATGGACTACCTGGTTCGTGGACGCCCGGGTTGTCTGATATCTCCATGGCGTAGAGCTCCCTCTGCTCCACCGACTTGCCCACGGAGTAGAGGCGGGCAATATTTGGGTATTCAGTGGCGTATTTCCTCAGGAAGATGCCCATGTCTGGGAAATGGTGGTGCCGGAAATCTTCCGGCTGGATCAGCTGGTGGGGAGGGGTGGGGATCTCGAGCTCTGTGGCGTTTGTGGCATTGACGGCGGCCTCTGTGGCCGTGACGAGAGCAGCCTGGGTGGGCTCTGAGGGTGGCAGGACCACCATGGGCTGCAAGGAGAAGTCCACAGCGGTGGCGTTCCCTTCCATCACTTCCACATCCCTTTTGGTGAGTGGTGCGTAACTAGAGAAGGGAACAATTCTATCGTTGATGGGATTCAGAATGCTCTTTGATTGTAGGTGAACTATAAATCCCAGCAACTACAACTCCCAAATGTCAAGGTCTATTTCCCAAACTCCACCAGTGTTCACATTTGGGCATATTGAGTATTCGTGCCAAGTTTGGTCCAGATCCATCATTGTTTGAGTCCATAGTGCTCTCTGGATGTAGGTGAACTACAACTCCCAAACTCAAGGTCAATGCCCAGCAAACCCTTCCAGTATTTTCTGTTGGTCATGGGAGTTCTGTATGCCAAGTTTGATTCAATCGAGGTAAACAACATAATAAACTTAAACTATTGATGGAGTTTTTCGGGCTGAACCTGGCATGATGGGAGATGCAGTTCACCCACAACCGCATGCATTTGGTACAATTAAAAAACTGACTTTTTCAAATAACTCGGGCATTGCTGAGTATCCTAGCTAGTATATACATACGTGTGTGCATGCGTGTGTGTGTATGTCCCTGTGTGTATATATATATATACTCGCCGTCCCCTGCCACACATTGCTGCAGCCCAGTCTATGTATATGTGTTTTGTGTGCATATATATATGTGTGCATATATGTGTATATATGTGGTTTAGCACATGTGTTGTAATGTATTATTTTTTTTGGCTTTTAAGTCTCTTCCGCTGTGTTTTTCAGTGTTTTTATGAGTGATGGTCACTCGTTGGCCTAGTATATTGTGTCCTAATTTGCTGTCAATTCATCCAGTGGTTTTTCAGTTATGTTAATCCCACAAACAAATATTACATTTTTATTTATATAGATATATACACGCACACATATATTGGATAGCATAGGGAAGGTTTAACACTCCTGAGACATTTCTTTTACTGTCTGTGCCCCTCATAGAAGAATAGTTGGAAAAGGCCACATGGGCCATCTAGTCGTCATACACAGGCCGGGTGGCCATCTATTGGGAACGCTTTGACTGTGCTTTTCCTACCAAAAAGTACCTTTTTTGCCATTTGGCCACTGGCATTGCTACCTGCTTAGAGCTCTTACTTTAAAACACAAATATTTTAGAAGGCCAAAGTTTCCAGAGACAGAAAGGAAAACCTTGGGCTGCATCTTTCTATGCTGGAGAATGAATTCACTTTAATTGCCTTGGCTCAATGCTACGGAATTGAACCAGAAGTTGCTTCTCACACCAGAAGCGACTTGCAGCTTTTCAAGTCTCTCCTGACACGGGAAAAATGCTATGGAATTGTGGGAGTTTGAGTTTTATACGCCCTTGAGACTTCTCTGTCAAAGACCAAATGACTAAAATGATCAAGGGTCTGGAGAACAAGCCCTATGAGGAGTGGCTTAAAGAGCTGGGCATGTTTAGCCTGCAGAAGAGAAGGCTGAGAGGAGACATGATGAGGGCCATGTATAAGTATGTGAGGGGAAGTCATAGGGAGGAGGGAGCAAGCTTGTTTTCTGCTGCCCTGGAGACTAGGACATGGAATAATGGCTTCAAAGCACAGGAAATGAGATTCCACCTGAACATTAGGAAGAACTCTTGGCGGCTTACACGAGGCCAAGCCCGAACAACAAAATACAATAAAATAATATATAAATTGCAATAAAATAAACAACATAGCATTAAAATATAAAGCATATGAGCATATAAACAATATACATAAAACATAAAGAGAAGGAAAAAAACTGTAATCCAAACATAATGACAGTGAGCGAGCTGCATGTACATAAAATGATTTACTCTATTTTTATTAGGTGAAGTGTTTTTGAATATTTACATAAAACTGTATTTTAAGATTTTTATTTATTTATTTATTGTTATGCCAGGAGCGACTTGAGAAGCTGCAAGTCGCTTCTGGTGTGAGAGAATTGGGCGTCTGCAAGGAGAGACAGGGTGATAGACAGACCTTCGTACAAGGGGGGGGGGGTGTACTCCTAGGACAAAAATGTTGAGGGAGCAATAGCATAGGATTATGTGACTATTCAGATCTTGAGATTCTTTTTAAAGGACACAATGGAACAATGGCTTCAAACTACAAGGAAGGAGATTCCATCTGAACATTGGAAGAACTTCCTGACTGTGGAAGCTGTTCAGCAGTGGAACTCTCTGCCCAGGAATGTGGTGGAAGCTCCTTCTTTGGAGGCTTTGAAACAGAGGCTAGATGGGGGTGCTTTGAATGCAATTTTCCTACTTCTTGGCAAGGGGTTGGACTGGATAGCACATGAGGCCTCTTCCAACTCTATGATTCTATGACTGCTTACGCTTTACCAAACTACAAATCCCAGGATGCATAGCACTGAGCTATGAAATGAGAGAGAGGAGGTCCCGAAGCAGATTCCTCTTTTGCTTTGGCTCAACACAAAGATAGGATGCAAATCTATGGCGGACCATAACTCCGGCAAAGTCATTTAGCCCAAAAACATGAGTATTACATTCAAGTAAATAGGATAAATCGAGAACTCCCCGCGCCAGAGACTTTACCCCGGGACGACCGCTGTGATGTTGTAGATCCCAGGCACCAGCAGGCGGAAATAGTCCCCAAACTGCCCAGAGGTGACGTTGTGAGCGATCCCGGCAACCACGATGGTGGCGTTTTCCAAGCCGGCGCCAGTGACAGCATCCCGCACAAAGCCTTTGGTTCCCATGTGGACCTGAACAAAACAAAACAGAGAGCAAATGGGAAAATTATCTATGTATATAATTAAAAGTCATTGTTTGTATGCGGAGGAAGTGCGGCGGATGTAGGGCGGAGGTGTTTGTGGCAGTTTTCTGATTGGTTCTGATTGGTTGCCACTGTGGTACTATTTGCATATGGTCTCTGATTGGCCAGCTTGAAAATTCCAAGATTCTGAGGTGACAAGAGAGGAGAGGAAAAGGCCTGAGACTGTGTCAGAAAATTACCAATACAGACCAAACTTGGCACACAGAGCCCGCAAGACCCACTCTACATCCTACTGCAGTTTGGAGGATGATGGACCATGGATGATGGGACTTGCAGTACCATCATTCACTTACTGAGACTGCTGTGACCTCATCCAATGACTGATCAAACCCAAACTTGGCCCCCATGACTCGCTCTCCATCCTGGTGCAGTCCCTTCACTAACTTCCTGAGACCACTGTGAGCCATATAAATAACTGATAAAGACCAACCTTGATACACAATTCCTTTCTCAAATAACCAGGGCAGTGCCGGGTCCCCAAGCTAGTAATATATAAAACTGATATTGTACTATGCTAATAATATAATATATTGTATGTATATATATCTTGTAAGCTGCTCTGAGTCCCCTTTGGGGTGATAAGGGAGGCATATAAATGTTGTAAATAAATAAATAAATAAAATTAAGTGCCTCATTCTCACATCAGGTAGTGAGAAAATACAGCACTGTCATGCATAGCACAGTATCCATAGCTCGGAAAAAAGTATGTGTGTATGTGGCACAGGTGTCCATTTACACAGAGAGCCTCCTGCCTCAACAAACAGCTTCAACTCCCATCAATGGCCCTCTTTCCACTGACATTGCAGGTTACAGTGAGCACCACATCCCATGGTTCCTCTCTCTCCATTGGTGTGGAATTTGCATGACCCCGTCTATAGCAAACACAGCAGAAGTGATCAGCAACCAAACATACTGGATGGGTTGGGGGACGGACTCAACAGGATGGAAGCTGTAGTGCACACAGCACTGTGGGACCCACCAACAACAGACCTGGACTACATTTGGCACACAAAACCACCATCACCAGAGTTAGGGAAAATTGACCTTCATTGAGTTGTAGAGAGAGCACTGGGAACCCAACCAACGCTGGATCTGGACTAAATTTGCCACGGATGATGGGATTTGCAGTAGCATAACTCACTTTCAGAGACCACTGCGACCCCCCACAAATGATGGACTTGGAGCACACTTGGTACACAGACCCCCCATGACCCACTATATGTCCTGGTGCGGTTTGAAGGAGGCTGGATCATGGATGATGGGATATACAGTACCTTCATCCCAACCGACTCCAAATTTCATAGACCACTGCAATCCGCAACAAATGACGGATCTGGATCAAATTTGGCACATAGACTCTCTATGACCCAGTGATTCCAGCCATAGAAGCCTTCGACAATACAACTTGTTATGCTTATTGTTCCAGAGAAAGACAGTATTACTCCTACTACTACAACAACAGCACAACCAACAACAACAACACAACCTGTAGACAAAGCTACTGCTTTTTCAAATAACCCAGGGAATGCCAGGTACCCAAGCTTGTCTATATTTAGTGGCTTGTGGGAAGAAGGATTGATGAGAATGCTTCCCATGATAATAGTCTTCCAGGAGTGTCGATTTCTCTCACTTGCCTCACCTCCGTCCTACTTCACAACTAGGAGTCATATGAACCAGGAGTCATATTCTGTAACTTGAGGACTGCTGAACTATTTACATTTACTATCCCCATTACAAAAGCAGGACAATGGAGAAAGACACCTGCAACGTAAGTTTGGAATCATCTGAAACGTGAGAAGCTGCTGAGGATTAGTGAACAGAGGCTGCCATTCAACCCCGCCGCAAAGGGGACGCAGCCAAAGAATCCTGGAAACGAATCGCTCTGCACTTTTCCAACCGTGTTCAGAAAAAGATGATTGTAAGTGGAGGCACCTAGTCATCATTTCAGGGGCAATTACGAGGCTTTCCATGCCCTGCCTTTGTGGCCGGTTCTCTTTCAGAAGGGCCAATGAATGGAGTTTGGTGGGTATTATCTCAGCTCTCTCTCTTTAGATGGGATTCCCTTGCTTACAGAGAAGCCGTTTTGAACAACAGCACACCGACAACAAAACGGTCTTCTGAATTGATATCACAACAGTCAGCATCGCATTGCAACGGACCAAAAAGCAGTGAGGATTCCTTGTAAAGGGCTTTGCAACAAGCAGCCTTGTTATAACTGCCAACAATGGCTTGTTTTCTCTCTTTACAGGCGAGGGAAGAACTCATTTTTCTTTCTGGAAACAAGAACAAAAATGGCTGGTTGTGAGTTTTCCGGGCTGGCTGGCCATGTTCCAGAAGCATTCTCTCCTGATATTTCACCCACATCTATGGCAGGCATCCTCAGAGGTTGTGAGATTTATTATTATTATCATTAGCACCTGTTTGGAGGTTTTATGGCCTTTCGAAGGGGTCTCCTGATGTCTTGCCTACATCTATGGCAGGCATCCTCAGAGGTTGTGAGATTTACTATTATTATTATTGTTGTTATTATTATCATTAGCACCTGTTTGGAGGTTTTATGGCCTTTCAAAGCGGTCTCCTGATGTCTTGCCCACATCTATGGCAGGCATCCTCAGAGGTTGTGAGATTTACTATTATTATTATTATTATTATTATTATTATTATCATTAGCATCCGTTTGGAGGTTTTATGGCCTTTTGAAGGGGTCTCCTGATGTCTCGCCCACATCTATGGCAGGCATCTTCAGAGGTTGTGAGATTTATTATTATTATTATTATTATTAGCACCCGTTTGGAGGTTTTATGGCCTTTCGAAGGGGTCTCCTGATGTCTCGCCCACATCTATGGCAGGCATCCTCAGAGGTTGTGAGATTTACTATTATTATTATTATATTACTATTATTATTATCATTAGCACCCGTTTGGAGGTTTTATGGCCTTTCGAAGGGGTCTCCTGATGTCTCGCCCACATCTATGGCAGGCATCCTCAGAGGTTGTGAGATTTACTATTATTATTATTATTACTATTATTATTATCATTAGCACCCGTTTGGAGGTTTTATGGCCTTTCGAAGGGGTCTCCTGATGTCTTGCCCACATCTATGGCAGGCATCCTCAGAGGTTGTAACGCCTGTTGGAAACTAGGCAAGTGGGGTTTATATAATGTCCAGGATGGGAGAAAGAACTCTTGTCTGTTTGAGCGGCAGGCATGAATGTTGCAATTGGCCACTGAATGGCCTTGCAGCTTCAAAGCCTGACTGCTTCCTGCCCAGGGGAATCCATTGCTGGGAGGTGTTAGCAAGCCCTGATTGATTTTTTAAAAAATCTTTTTATTAGATCTTTTCCAGAATACAATAAAAAGAGGGGTAACATATGAAGAGTAAAAGAAAGTAGGGAAAAATTAGAAATTGTGGGGAGTGTGTAGGTAGGTAAAAAAACGGGGGTAGGGTGGGTTTGTTGGTATGGCTGGCCCTGACTGATTATTGTCTGGAATTCCCCTGTTTTCTGAGTATTGCTCTTTCTTCACTGTCCTAATTTTGGAGGTTGTGGACAATTTCAACAGAAAGGAGGAAACCATGAAAATGGAATAAAATTTGGCTCCCAGTATTAAAAAAAAACTTCAAAATTGGGACAGTAAATAAAGAAGAACACTTAGAAAACAGAGGAATTCCAGACATGAATCAATCAAGGCCAGCTAACACTTCCCAACAAAGGATTCCCCCAGGCAGGAAGCAGCCAGACCTTGAAGCTGAAATGCTAACCAAGGCGGCCAATTGCAACATGCATTGTCCAGCATACAAGAGTTCTTTCTCCCACTCTAGACATTATTCCACAAGTATATAAACCCCACTTGCCTAGTTTCCAACAGACCTCACAACCTCTGAGGATGCCTGCCATAGATGTGGGCAAAACGTCAGGAGAGAATGCTTCTGGAGCATGACCAGACAGTCAGGAAAGCTCACAGCAACCTAGTGATTCTGGCCATGAAAGCCTACAACAACACCAGAACAGAAGTAAACGTGAGGCATATCAGTGATATTTCTGTCCCTTGAAACGCCGTCTGAAGTTTACTCTGGCAGAGTCATCTATTTTGTTATTTCATTAGTCACCCTGAAGTCTATTCGTTTAAATCCCTAAAGAATAGTTGTGGGGCTTTCTGTTTACATCCATGTTGGAGTCGGAAAAGGACAGGGAGCGAGCTAACATTCTTGGGAGGCACGCTTAATATTTTAGGGGCAATTATGAGACTCTCAACATACACCACTCATTGCTATGAGCTAAAAGATTAGCGAGGTCCCCATCTTCTGAGACAGCCAAAGACCCAAATGACAAAGTGTTTATGACAAAGAATCAAAGGGAAGCCTTACTTTTTCAATAAAGGTGAGGAGGGATTCCTCATTGTTCTTCCATTCTTGCTCAAGCTGGGAAGCTGGTGGGTATTTGCAGCAGGAAAGCTCAAAGGTGACCTCAAAGCAGTTGGCCCAAAGGTAGTTATAGTCCTGCATGCCTCCTAAGGGAAGAAGAACAAGCCACTGCTCAGTAATAGCATTCAGAGAGCGGAATTGGTAGGTGTTGTTTCAAGCGGATGACCGAGGAAAGGCTGGCCTTGGCTATTACAGTTATGCCCTTCAGACAAAAGACCACAGAACAGTGTTTCTCAAGCTTCCTAATGCCGCAACCCCTTAATGCAGTTCCTCATGTTGTGCTGACCCACCAACCATAACATTATTTTCGTTGCTACTTCATAACTTCTGCCAACCTAGCAGTTCGAAAACATGCAAATGTGAGTAGATCAATAGGTACCGCTCCGGCGGGAAGGTAAGGGCGCTCCATGCAGTCATGCCGGCCACATGACCTTGGAGGTGTCTACAGACAACGCCGGCTCTTTGGCTTAGAAATGGAGATGAGCACCACACCCCAGAGTCAGACATGACTGGACTTAATGTCAGGGGACAACCTTTACCTTTACCTACTTCATAACTAGAATTTTGCTCCTGTTTTGAATCGTCCTATAAATATCTGATATGCAGGATGTATCTTCATTCACTGGACCAAATTTGGCACAAATACCTGATACACCCAATTTTGAATATTGGTGGGGTTGGGGGAGAGGATTGATTTTGTCATTTGGGAGTTGTAGTTGCTACGATTTATAGTTCACCTACAATCAAAGAGCATTCTGAACCCCACCAATGACTGAACTGAAACAAACTTGGCACACAGAACTCCCATGACCAACAGAAAATACTGGAAGGGTTTGCTGGGCATTGACCTTGAGTTTTGGAGTTGTAGTTCACTTACATCCAGAGAGTACTGTAGACCCAAACAATGATGGATCTGGACCAAACTTGGCACGGATACTCAATATGCCCAAATGTGATCATTGGTGGAGTTTGGAGAAAACAGACCTTGACATTTGGGAGTTGCAGTTGCTGGGATTTATAGTTCCCCTACATTCAAAGAGGATTCTGAACCCCACCAATGTATAAATGGGCCAAACTTGCCATACAAAACCCCCATGACCAACAGAAAATACTGTGTTTTCTTATGGTCTTTGGAAACCCCTCTGATACCCTCCTTGTGACCCCCCCCTTTTTCAGGGGTCCTGATCCCCAGGTTGAGAAATGCTGCCACAGAATCATGGAGTTGGAAGATACTGAATGAGCCATTTAGTCCAATCCTCTGCCATGCAGGAAAAGCACAATCCAACTGCCCCTGATAGATAGCCATCCAGCCTCTGTTTCAAAGTCTCCAAAGAAGGAGGCTCCGCTAGACTCTGAGGCACTGAGTTCCACTGTTCAACAGCCCTAATAAAGTATTTCTCATGTTCAGGTGGAATCTCCTTTCATGTCATTTGAAGCCATGGCTCAATCGAGGCCTAGTCTCCAGAAAGGAAGCCTGCTCCCTCTTCCTTATGACCTCTTTTCAGATATTTAAACATGACTCTCATGTCTCTTCTCCACCTTCTCTTCTGAGGCTAAACAGAACCAACTCTTTACACCACTCCTTAGAGGGATTATTCATGGTCTCCAGACCTTTGATCCTTTTAGTTGCCCTCCTCTGGACACCTTCCAGCTTAGAATCAATAGCCCTCTTAAATTGGACACAGGGTTATTCAAGGTAAGGTCTGACCAAAGAAGAGCAGAGGGGCACCATGACTTCCCTTGATCTAGGTCCGCAAACACATGGAGGGCATTCTGAACCCGTAATTCTGTTCCTGGCGCTTCATGGGCCATGACTGGATGAACTACAGTGACATTTTTCCTCGTGTACTTTCTCCCTTGCCCTCCTGCTGGCACGGCTACCCTTCTAAGCAAAGTTATCAACAGCTGAGGGATTTAAAAGCAAGTGCTGCTTATCAAAGAACAGTCCATATCAGTTTGACTTTATGAAGCACAGAACTTTTTATTTATCTCTTTTTTTCCTTAGGTCGTGGTTCACCGAACAAGAACAAAAATGCTCTCATATACCAGAGCTGTAACACCTCTGACCTTAAACACCAGACCAGCTTGATAAAATCAGCACGCAGTTTATTGTAGAATATATGTAGGCAAAGCAGTAAAAAAATAGCAAAAACAGTAAAGATCCAATATGGGAAATAGTCCATAAGCTTCAAAGGAAAACAAAATCCATGAATACATCCGAAATCCATGAAACTAGACACTTGAATCCATGAAACAAGACAGTAGGAAAATATCTTAGACAAATCTTAAGCTTGGCAAAAACTTGAAACTCAGAGCACTTGAAAGCAAGACCGTGATAAAATAACCCAACTTAGGCAACTCTTTACCATGAATCTTAAGATTGGTAAAAACTTGGTACATGAAACTCAGAGAACTTGAAAGCAAGACTGTGATAAAATAACATTAACCCGACTTAGGCAACTCTTTACCATGAATGTTAAGATTGGCAAAAACTTGGTACATGAAACTCAGAGAACTTGAAAGCAAGACTGTGATAAAATAACATTAACCCGATTTAGGCAACTCTTTACCATGAATCATTATAAAGCTTTTCCAGATTCCAAAATGGAAAGGAAAGCATTTTTTACCTTCCCGGCAGATAAAGGTTTGTTATCTCTCTTTTGCTGTAGCCGAACTGATTGTCTCAGTCTCTGAAGACTTTGCCTCTGTTTACTAAAACTGCGTATGTCCAAACTTTCATTATCTTCTCCCTCATTAACTCCTGCGGCTGACAAATCATGTTCAGACCGTTGTTCTGAGAAAAGTGGCAAAGGGCCTCTCCCAAGAATGTGGCCTTGTGAATCTTCCTGAGACAGCTCAGGCCTCTCTTCTGAACTTAACTCAGGCCCAAGGCCCATCATCAGAAATGTCATCCGCATTTTCATAATGAACATCAGACACAATCACAGACTGAACAGGCTGGCATACAACAAATTCAACCTTTGGGCACAACAGCAAAATTGTCCATTAACATAACTGTAACCAGAAGGATATGTCAAAGGAGAACCAGTGTGACAATATCTGTTCAGCCAACTCCAAAAAGGCCAGTGTGTCCTTGATAATAAAATGTTAAGCAGCTCAAGGTATTTCCCCATACAAGGACTTCCTCCAAAAAGATCCAACTAAGCTTCCCCAAGTAGACAAACGTGTATGTCATGCAAGAGCGGTGGGGCAAAACCCACTACCGCAAGACACATGCAACGGAGCGGCTTCAGGATATCCTGGTTCAAACTAAGCAAAAGCAGGTTTTGCAAATACCTCTCCTCCAGTCCGCTCATCCACCAATCTCTGTCAATAGAGGAAAACCGCTGTTCCCACCACAATTTGGGTGTGCCCATATCAGTGTCGAAGGAAAAGCCAAAATAACGGGAAATCTTTTGTTATGACAAACACAACTCTGGCTTTGGGCATGTTTTGGAGGATTCTGCCTGAAAAGTGCCAGACAAACTCAAAACTCTGTGGCGAAAGCAACCCTCTGACTAAAAAGACAGCTCAAAGGTCAGCACAAACGCAACATCGAAAAATGTCATATCTAATGGAAGAAAAACAGTTGTGCTCATCAGATTCAACAATAAGTACTGTAGTAACTTTGCTAATCTAGACCTCTAGACTTACATAATGTCAACAGGTAGTCAGCGGCAATGTCCCAAGGCCAGATATAGATGTTTGCTTACATTTAACAGATGCGTTTGACGACAATTGAGGTTGGTGATTTTTTTTACATGTAGTTTTACTGGACCATAATAAAATGCAAACGAGAGCATAATGAAATGCAAACAAGCCCGTCAACACCCATGTCATCACACCAAAGCTCGTGTGTTCCAACAGCAGTAAATCCTGTATTTATGTGATTATCGTGAACCATCAAATCAAATGTGCCCCTCCGTTTGCAAAACCCTGACACCAAAAGAAAGTAAATATTGCATTATACCATAGAGAAATTGTGACCTGCCTCTCTTTACCTTGAACATCATACCACTGAGCGCCATTGGTGATGCCATCCTTGAAAGTTTCCTCCTCCTCTCCAGGGCAGTCTGGGGTCCCGGTCTTCATGATTGGGTGGTTGGACGCATACGCTTTGGCCAAATATTTAAAAACCTCGTCGTCGGCCGATTTGCTATACACGCCGGACACCTTGTGCAGAGCGGAGTCATCAAAGGGGTAGCTGGCAACGACCGTGCCCCCGTGGAAGTTCCCAGAAAGCACAAACCTATTTGGAAAATCGAAGCACAGCGGACATTAGGAGAGCGAACAAAGACACATCCACTTTAGATGGCATGTTTCATCCCTTCTACTTCATTTATATAGTGGCTTGAGTGCTGGGCTCTGGGGACAAGGGTTCGAGTCCACTTTGAGCCACTAAACCCACTGGTGACAACTAGGTTGCTGAAGGAAACAATCTGAAGGCACACAAGAAGAAGAAAAAGAAGAAGAACAACAACAACAAATACTGAACGCAGAAGTTATCCAAAAGCTGCAGAACTACATGCCATGATAAAGGGCCTTCCTTGAATATGTATGATTATTCAAAAATAGTTCCTTGGAAACACCCAAGACGAATGCCAATCACTGAGAAGACTTAAGGAAAGCCTAGTAAATGTGACTGCAATGTATTGTTGGCAAAACATTGAATCCTAGAGTTAGAAGGGACCCCAAGGGCTATCCAGTCCAACCTCCTTCTGCTTTGCAAGAAAAGCACAATCAAAGCTCCCCAGATAGATGGCCATGCAGTCCCTGTTTCAAAGGGTCCAAAGAACGAGTTTCCACCAGACTCTGAGGCAGAGAGTTCCACTGTTGGACAGCTCCTCTTTCAGTCAAGAAGCCCTTCCTAATTTTCAGGTGGAATCTTCTTTTCTGTCGTTTGAAGCCATGGCCTAGTGTCCAGGGCTGCAGAAAAAAAGCCTGCTCCCACTTCCTTATGATATCCTGACTGATAGAACTGAATAACGTGACTAATGAAGCTGAGTGCAATGTAATCTGACATGATACAATACACAAATGTGACTGTATATAGTAGTTTGGTTTTTAAATTGCTTATTTTATAATATTCATATTTATTATTGATGTATTTGGTCTGTTGTTTGTATGATTTTAAAATGTAAGCCGCTTTGGGTCCCATGAGGAATAAAAATGGAGTATAAATAAAGATTTACTATTATTATATCATTATTATCTGAAACACAACAAGATGAGTCCACAGCAAACAAGATCATGCTGCTGGCTGTTGTATTGGATCTGTGTCTAGGACTATTATTATTATTATTATTATTATTATTATTATTATTACTATAATAATTATTATATCCTGCCAAATATTTAAACAAGCCTAAATATTTGGTGTTAAGGCCCATACCTGGTGTTAAGACCCATGAAAACTCATATAAGATTGCAGTTTACAAGTCACTTCTTGTACTCCAAAGCAGGATCACCTCTGACCTTAAACACCACACCAATTGGGTAAAATCAGCAAGCAGTTTATTGAAGAATATATGTAGCCAAAGCCGTAATAAGCAATCAACAGTAAAAGTTAAAAATCCAATTTAGTCCATCAGCTACAAAGGAAAACAGGAACAAAGAGTCAAAAGAAGCCAGGTATTTAAATCCATGAACAATACAGGAAGAAAATCCCATAGGCAAAACATGAGCTTGACAAACTTTAAAACACAGAGCATATGAAACATAATCTTGGCATTATCCCGACGTTGCCTCAACTGAAGCAATTGTCTCCCATGAAACATTATAAACCCTTCCCTGACTCCAAAACTGCAAGGAACGCATTCTTTTTCAGTTTCGGTTTGTTATTTTTCTTCTGTTGAATCCGAGCTGACTGCCTTAATTCCAGCTCGAAGTGCCTCTGTTTACTAATTTTTCTGTTCAAGGTCTTGCTCTCATAGATAACTCCTGCCCCTGGTAAATTAAAATCTCAGACAGCTGCTCGGGGAACAGTGGTCCAAGGCCTTTCCCGAGCATGTGACCTTGAGAATTCTCTTGCAGCCGCTCAGCCTTCTCGTCTGAGCACAGTTCACGCCCAAGCAACCCCTCATCCCCAAATCCAACAGACCCTGGCCCAGGAACTGGATCATCATCCCCATTCCCATCATGAACATCAACACGATGTCCCCATCATGAATAGCCACATGAACATCAGACACAATCATAGGCTGAATGGCCTGATATACAACATCACTGTTGAGTGGACCGACTGTAACAATTTCTTTCACTTCATGAGAAGCGAAGTAGACAATGAGCGTAAACATGGGGATCGCTTAGTTTGCAAGACTGAATAGGTCTTCTAGCCTAGACACAAGCAGTCAAGGATATATCTTAAGACTTTCTCAGCTTGCTGCATAGCCATTGTCATTTTCATGTGAGCCGATCCCAGAACTGGAATCTTAAAAAGCTGACCAATGACCAAAGCAGCGAAAGGGGGAAAAGCATTTCTCCATTTCCTGCATTCCGCTTAAAGTATTCACAAGCTGCTCCTAAAGGCCAAGGCCTCCCAAAGCAATGGATACTAATAACAGCAGGCAAATCACAAAAGAATCCAGTAGGAACTGAGAACAGAAAGTGCCGTTGGAACACACAGCCATCAGGTTCTTGTCAGGAAAAACAGCCATGAAAATATATTTATGTCTCCCTGAAACATCAAGGGAAAGGCATGCTTTCATTTGTTTATCCAGTTTTGTACCAGTCACACACTGTCACAATTCTAATAGCACTGAACACCGTTTGGGAGCCAAGAGGCCAACACAATGGCTCGCTTTGTCCAGCTTTATTTCGTGACTTCTGTAACAAATTATTTTAAGCCCCAACCATTTTCAAACACAATCAGGTTCAGAATTGAGGGCACAATGGTTTTGAGATAACCTCCCAGCGGGCATACCAAGCCGAGCTTTCAGAACACCAGGAGTGTTTGCATTCCCTCCCCGGATTCTATGTTTTCTAATGATCAAACAAATAAGTTTATAAGAGAGCATAAATATTCACGGGCGACAGTCCACTTTATCAGATGCATGTAATAAAATGGACCACGGCCCACCAAAACAACAGGTACAGTAAGTGTGTTCAACTTGGCTTTGTACCCAAAGAACCCTTCATGGAGACCCTAATCTGTGTCTCCCCTTTCGTGATCTCTCTCTCTCTCTCTCTATATATATATATATCCTCTATTTTGAGTGACATCATAACTCCAAAACTTTTGGACTAATTGCCAAATTTGGCCACAAGACATCTATTAACCCGAAGAATGACCGGCACATACACACAAAATTTATTTTGTCATTTGGGAGTTCTAGTTGCTGGGATTTATATTTCATCTACAATCAAAGAGCATTCTGAGCTCCACCAATGATGGAATTGAACCATTGGTACACAGGACTCCCATGACCAAAAGATAACACTAGAAGGGTTGTTGGGCATTGACCTTGAGTTTTGGAGTTGTAGTTCACCAGCATCCAGAGAGCACTGTGGACCCAAACAATGAAGGATCTAGACCAAACTTGGCACAAATACTCTATATCCCCAAATATAAACACAGATGGAGTTTGGGGGAAATAGACCTTGACATTTGGGAGTTGCTGCTGCTGGGATTTATAGTTCACCTACAATCAAAGAGCATCCTCAACCCTACCAATGATAGAATTGGGCCAAACTTCCCACACAGAACCCCCTCAGAACACATAATAATAATAATAATAATAATAATAATAATAATAATAATAATAAAGAAGAAGAAGAAGAAGAAGAAGAGCTGACACGATATGAGGATTTAAAGATCAAACTGCAAAGACTCTGGCACAAGCCAGTCAAGGTGGTCCCAGTGGTGATCGGCACACTGGGTGCAGTGCCTAAAGATCTTGCCTGCACTTAAACATAATTGGCGCTGACAAGATTACCATCTGCCAGCTGCAGAAGGCCACCCACCTGCATGCATTATTCGCTGATACATCACACAGTCCTAGACATTTGGGAAGTGTCTGACGTGTGATCCAATACAACAAACAGCCAGCAGAGTGATCTTGCCTGCTGTGGACTCATGTTGTTGTGTTTCAAATTATAATAAACTTTCTTTGTACCCTGCCTCCATCTCCTTAAAGGGGATTCAGGGCAGCTAACATGAGGCCAGGCCTAATATTACAGTACAAAAAAAGAGCAAATAATAACATTGAATTGAATAACATACATAAAATAACAAAATATAGAATAAACAGATGCAAAATATAGAATAAACAGCCTGTTCGAACTACAGGAACTGTAGTTTGAACAGGCATAATATGGAATATGTGCTCACTCGTCAAAGGCACATCGGAAGAGCCAAGCTTTTAGGTGTTCTGGTGGTCTTTGGTGACTCTTCTGACCCCCCCCCCCCATGACTCCCCAGAGGTCCTGACCCCCAGGTTATGGCCATCCAGTCTAACTTCCTTCACCAGGGCAAGAAAACATAATCAAAGCCCTCCTGACAAAGAGCCATCCAGCCATAGATATAGATAGATATAATTCACATACATATAAGCATATGACAGATATATTATCATAGATTTGAAAGGGATCCTTAAGAAGGACAAGGATAGGTTGCATGTTCCAGACAATCTCTACGTCAACACTGACAAAGAAACAGCAAGAAATACTGTTTACCCACAAGCATAAAATATATATATAAATGAGAAAGCAACACTTTCTCGTTACTTTATTTTCCAGATCACCAGGCCACAGCAATGTGTGGCAGGGGACGGCTAGTATATATATAAAGGTAAGGCCACGCAGCAGCACAGCTTTGCTTCCTGGGAGGCCCACCTTGCAATAACAAATAATGACTTTGTGTGAACTGCTGGCATTTTTGTTGGCTGGTCAGGCCCTTCCGATATTTCTTTTTCTGCTGCTTCTTTTCAATGGCCTTATTGTGTGTGTTCCCCCCGCCCTCTAAAAGTCACTCAGTACTCTGAAGAGGGAGAAGAGCAAACAGAACCAGGAAAACAGGGAGGCAGAGACTGAAGAGGAAGAAATGGATTGCCCAATCCCTCTTCAACCTGTTGCATTACTTGGGGCAAACAGGTTTTTTTTTAATCTCCTAATTCATTAGAGTAGAATTTAAGCAGCATGCTTTCAAAAGGCCTAGTTCCACCACAGCTTCCATTGTCAACAAGGGTCACATTCAGCACTCAACCGCCACATATTTATCCCAAAGCCCCCTGCTATTAGTCAAGCCCCTCCCACCCTGCATTAGCCCCTCCCACATATCCTCAGCCCCAAAGACATTGGCCAAGCCCTATCCTACCTAGCATTAACCCCTCTCACATGTGGGTCAAGCTGCTCCCACCCATCCCCAGCCCCAGCCCCAAAGGTGGATCAAGACCCCACCCACATTGTTGTTAAATCGCTCCCATCAGAGCTAATCCTTCCCACAAGGGGGGGGTCGAGATTCCTTCAATGTTTTTCTTTTTTCAGGTCAGGAGCAACTTCAGAAACTGCAAGTTGCTTCTGGTGTGAGAGAATTGGCTGTCTGCAAGGACGCTACCCAGGGGACATTGCCTAGATGTTTTGATGTTTGACCATCCTTGTGGGAGGCTTTTCTCATCTCCCCACATGGGAAGCTGGAGCCGATAGAGGGAGCTCATCTGCGATCTCCCCGGATTTGAACCTCCAACCTGTTGGTCTTCAGTCCTGCCAGCACAAGGGTTTAACCCACTGCAGCACTGGGGGCTCTTCCAATCTAATCACATATATGGAAATGAAGCCCCCACCCACCTAGCCTCAGCTCCTCCCCTTGTGAGTGAAGCCCTTCCCACCCAGAGTTGACTCCTTCAGGTGGGCCAAGCCCACTCCCATTCAGCCCCTGCCCCGCCCACATGGATAATCCCCTCCCACAATGCAATATAATACTAGTAATAATAATAATAATAATAATAATAATAATAATGATATTATATTATAGTTATATATTTATATTACATGTAATATTACTAATAATATTACAGTATAATTGATATAGTGCAATATAGCAATATTTAAAACTGATATTGTACTATGTTAATAATATATTGTATGTATATATACCTTGTAAGCTGCTCTGAGTCCCCTTCAGGGTGAGAAGGGCGGCATATAAATGTTGTAAATAAATAAATAATAAATAAATAAAGGCTCCTCCCCCAGAGGCCAGGCCAGATCTCGCCAGTCCTCACCAGTTTCCATCTGAGCATCAATGCTTCTCCCAACCAAAAGTGGAACTGCAGAAGCTGAAGTCCAAAACACATGGAAGATAGGCTGGAGTTTGCCCATGCCTGCGCAAGACACAATGTGACCCTCTTTCAGGATGTCCAAGCCCCTCTCAGGCAGCCTCAGCCCCGCCTGCATGTGGGCAAAGCCACACCCACATGGATAAGCCCCTCTCACCTGGATGTCAAGGCTCCTCCCAACCAGAAGTGTAATTGTGGGAGTTGAAGTCCAAAACACCTGGCGGGAGGGCTGCACTAGACACAAAGCACCCCTCCTTCAAGGGGTTCAAGCCCCTCCCACCAAGAAGCAACTCCTTCTCCAAGGGGGTCCAAGCCCCCTACTCAGCTTCAGCCCCACCCACATGGACAAACCCCTCCCACCTGGGTGCCAAAGCCCTGCCCAATCCAGAAGTGTGATTGTGGGAGTTCAAGTCCAAAACACCTGGCGGGAGGGCTGCACAAGACACAAAGTACCCCTCCTTGAGGGGGTCCAAGTCCCTACCAGCCAGCCTCAGCCACACCCACATGGATAAACCACTCCCACATGGGTGTCAATGCTCCTCCCAACCAGAAGTGTAATCTTGGGAATTGAAGTCCAAAATAACTGGAGGGAGGGCTGCACTAGACACAAAGTACCCCTCCTTCAGGGGGTCCAAGCCCCTACCTGCCAGCCTCAGCCCCACCCACATGGTTAAGCCACTCCCACATGGGTGTCAATGCTCCTCCCAACCAGAAGTGTATTCCTGGGAATCGAAGTCCAAAATACCTGGAGGGAGGGCTGCACTAGACACAATATACCCCTCCTTCGGGGGGTCCAAGCCCCTCCAACCTAGGTGCCAATGCTCCTTCAAAGCAGAAGTGTGATTGTGGGAGTTGAAGTCCAAAACACCTGGAGGGGGGGCTGCACTAGACACAATGTACCCCTCCTTCAGGGGCTCCATGCCCCGCCCATCCAGCCTTAGCCCCTCCCACATGGATAAGCCCCTCCCACTTGTTTATCCGTGCTCCCAACCAGAAGTGCACTTGTGGCAGTCCACAACACCTGGAGGGAGGGCTGCACTAGACACAATGCAACCCTCCTTCAAGGGCTCCATGCCCCGCCCATCCAGCCTTAGCCCCTCCCACATGGATAAGCCCCTCCCACCTGTTTATCCATGCTCCCAACAGGAAGTGCATTTGTGGCAGTCCAAAACACTTGGTGGGAGGGCTGCACTAGACCCAAAGCACCCCTCCTTCAGGGGTCCAAGCCCCTCCCCCAGAGGCCAGGCCCCACCTCCTTTGGGGGGGGTGTCTCTCTCACCGGTTCCTCTGCATCCACTGGAGGAGGGCGCGCACTTCGGGGACGTCCTGGAGTCCCCGCTGCTGCTGGAGGCGCTCCTCGTCGGTGGCGAACTGGTCGGGGAAGGCGCGGTTGAGGTCCTTCCCGCGGGCGTTGTCCCTCCCTCGCCCGGCCTGGTCCTCGCAGTGTCCTGGGGAGGCGCGGGCGAAGCCGTCGGGGTTGAGGCTGGGCAGGAGGAAGAGGTCCGTGCCGGCGAGGAGGCGGCGGGCGCGCGGGAGGCCCTCCTTCCACCCGCGGAGCAAGTGGCGGGCCAGGCGGGGCAGGAGGGCGCGGCCGAGGGCCTCGTCGCCGTGCATGTTGGCCACCAGCTTGACCTGCGGCCTGCCCGCCTTGGGGGGCCCGCCCTCGGGGTCGCCTTCGGGGAGGCCCTCGCTGAGGCGGAGCACCCACAGCTCGCGGCCCTCGGAGGAGCGCCCGATGGAGAAGAGCCGCGCCAGGCCCGGGGGAGACTCCTCCTCCGCCAGGCGCCGCAGGGAGGCCTCCAGCTCGGCTTCCGAGAGGTAGCGAGGCGCTTCGGCCTCCTCCGGGCCCTCTTCCGCCCTCAGGCCCCGGAAGGAAAGGAACGCCACGGCGAAGAGCAGCACGCTTCCTCCCGCCATGGCTCCTCGCCGCTTCTGAGGCAGCCCCGGCGCTCGCTGAGGTAACTCGACACCCCATTGGTCGCGCGGAGCCACCAATCACAGACTGACCAATGAGGGACGGTGAGGCTCAAGGGTGGGCCAATCGGAATGAGGAGGCGGGGATATAAAGGTAAATCAGCCACGGCGAGGCTCAAGACAAGCCAATAGGAATGAGGAGGCGGGGAATTAAAGGCCAATCAGGGACGATAACGGTCAAGGTTGGGCCAATAGGAATGAGGAGGCGGGGAAATAAAGGCCAATCAGCGACGGTGAGGATCAAGACAAGCCAATAGGAATAAGGAGGCGGGGAATTAAAGGCCAATCAAGGGCGTTAAGGCTCAAGGTTGGGCCAATAGGAATGAGGAGGCGGGGAAATAAAGCCTGATGAGGGACAGGGAGGCTCAATAGGAATGAAGGGGCGGAGAAATAAGGCAAGTCAGCGACGGTGAGGCTGAAGGTTAGACCAATAGGAATGAAGGGGCGGGGAAATAAAGGCTATTAGACCAATAGGAACGAGGAGGTGGGGAAATAAAGGCCAATCAGGAACGGGAAGGCTCAAGGTTGGGCCAATTAGAATGAGGAGGCGGGGAAATAAAGATAAGTCAGTGACGGCGGGGCTCAAGGCAAGCCAATAGGAATGAGGAGGCGACGGGGAAATAAAGGCCAATCAGCGACGGTGAGGCTCAAGACAAGCCAATAGGAATGAGGAGGCGGGGAAACAAAGGCCAATCAGCGACGGTGAGGCTCAAGTGTGGGCCAATAGGAGCGAGGAGGCGGAAAGGCGGAAAAAAAGGCGAAGGTTCGGCTAATGAGCGCGGCGACGGGCCAATAGGAATGAAGGGGCGGGAAAATGAAGGCCAATCAGCGACGGTGAGTCTCAATAGGCATGAGGAGGGAGAAAGGAGGGTGAAAAGGAGAAGGATTAGCCAATCAGTGACGGTGAGGATGAAGATGGGCCAATAGGAATGAAGGGGCGGGAAAATGAAGGCCAATCAGCGACGGTGAGTCTCAATAGGCATGAGGAGGCAGAAAGAGGAGGGAAAAGGAGAAGGATTAGCCAATCAGTGACGGCGAGGATGAAGACGGGCCAATGGGAATGAGGAGGCGGGGAATAAATAGCCAATCAGTGACGGTGAGGATGAAGACGGGCCAATGGGAATGAGGAGGCGGGGAATAAATAGCCAATCAGAGGCGGCGAGGCACAAGGGTAGGCTTATAGGGATCATTAATGAAGCCTATGTCTTCTTTTTCAAATCCTCAACTATTCCATCATCTTAGCCCTTCCTAGTTCATTTTCCGATTTATCTAGTCGTGGTGTGGTTCCAAATGCTTGCTCAAAGAGCCAGGTTTTCACTCTTTTTTGAAAGGTCAGGAGGGAGGAGGCTGATCTAATATCCCTAGGCAGGGAGTTCCACAGCTGAGGGGCTACCACAGGGAAGGCCCTGTCTCTCATCCTGCCAAACGTGCTTGTGAAGCAGGCGGAATCGAGAGCAGGCCCTTCTCAGATGATCTCAAGTTCCTGGAAGGTTCATAGGGAGAGATGCGTTTGGATAAATAAGCTGGGCCGGAACCGTTTAGGGCAGTGGTTCTCAACCTGGGGTCCCCAGATGTTTTTGGCCTTCAACTCCCAGAAATCCTAACAGCTAGTAAACTGGCTGGGATTTCTGGGAGTTGTAGGCCAAAAACATCTGGGGACCCCAGGTTGAGAACCACTGGTTTAGGGCTTTATAAGCTAACTGGCTGCAAACTGGCAGCCAGGGGAGCTGACACAACATCGGAGTTGTATGCTCCCTGAGTGCAGCTCCTGTTAGTAACCTGGCTGCCAACAGAAAGGAGGAAAACATGAACATGAACACAATTTAGATCCCAGTATTTGAAAAAAAAACCTCTAAAATTTTAATCTATATCTGTATATACAATAAAGAAGAGTGTTTGTTTGTATCGGACAGAGGAAGTGCGGCGGGAGGTGTATGTGGCAGCGTTCTGATTGGCTGCCGCTGTGGTGCTATTTGCATATGGTCTCTGATTGGCCAGCTTCAATAGGAGCCCCTGGTGGAGAAGAGGGTTCATGGCAGAAACGGGGCATGACAGAAGGAAATTTGCATATGGTCTCTGATTGGCCAGCCTCAAATCCAACATTCCGAGATGAGAAAGAGAGGAAAGGAAAGGCCGGGGGCTGGGTCAGAACACTCCCAATACAGACGAAACTTGGCACACAGAGCCCCCATCACCCACTCGACATCCTACTGCAGTTTGGAGGAGTATGAACCATGGATGATGGGACTTGCAGTACCACCACTCACATTCTGAGACCGCTGTTAACCTTATCCAATGACTGATCAGGACCAAACTTCGCACAGAGACCTCTCATGACCCACTTTACGTCCTGGTGTGGTTTGGCCGGGGATGGACCGTGGATTATGGGACTTGCAGTACCATTGCTCAGTTCTTCATACCACTGCAACCCTCATCCAATTACCAATAAATACCAAACTTGGCACACTGAGTCTCCATGACGCACTCTACATCCTGGTGCAGTTTGGAGGAGGACAGACCATGGATGATGGGACTTCAAGTACCTCCACTCCCTTCCAAAGATTGCTGCAACCCTCTTCTAATGACCAATCAAGACCACACTTGGCACACAGAGCCCCCATGATCCACTCTTCATCCTGCTGCAGTTTGAAAGGGGATGGACTTTGGATGATGGGACTTGAAGTACCTTCACTCACTTACTGACACCACTGCCACCCTCATCTAATGACTGATAAAGACCAAACTTGGCACACAGAGCCCCCATGACCCACTCTATATCCTGCTGCTGTTTGTAGGAGGATGGCCCATGGATGATGGGACTTCAAGTACCTTCACTCACTTCCTTAAAATAATGCAGCCATTATCCAAAGACCAATAAAGACCAAACTTGGCATACAGAACCGCCATTACCCACTTTCTCTAATAACCCGGGCAACGCCGGGTCCCCAAGCTAGTATATAATAAAGAAGAGTGTTTGTATGGGAAGGACAGAGGTGCGGAGGGCGGAAGGTGTATGTGCCAGCGTTCTGATTGGCTGCCGCTGTGGTGCTATTTGCATATGGTCTCTGATTGGCCAGCTTCAGTAGGAGCCCCTGAAACGGGGCATGACAGAAGGAAATTTGCATATGGTCTCTGATTGGCCAGCCTCAAATCCAAGATTCCGAGATGACAAAGAGAGGAAAGGAAAGGCCGGGGGCTGGGTCAGAACACTCCCAATACAGAACAGACTTGGCACACAGAGCCCCCATCACCCACTCTACATCCTACTGCAGTTTGGAGGAGTATGAACCATGGATGATGGGACTTGCAGTACCACCACTCACATTCTGAGACTGCTGTTAACCTTATCCAATGACTGATCAGGACCAAACTTCGCACAGAGACCTCTCATGACCCACTTTACGTCCTGGTGTGGTTTGGCCGGGGATGGACCGTGGATTATGGGACTTGCAGTACCATTGCTCAATTCTTCATACCACTGCAACCCTCATCCAATTACCAATAAATACCAAACTTGGCACACTGAGTCTCCATGACACACTCTACATCCAGGTGCAGTTTGAAGGAGGATGCACCATGGACGATGGGACTTGCAATACCTGCACTCCCTTCCTAAGACCATTACAACTGCCAACGATGATGGATCAGGACCACAATTTACACAGAGAGCCTGCATAACTCACTCTACATCCTGGTGCGGTTTGGAAGAATTTGACAATGGATGATGGGACTTGCAGTCACTTCACTCACTTCCTGAGACCACTGAGACCCTCGCCAATGACTCATCAAGACTAAACTTGGCACATGGAGCTTCAATGACCCATTCTGCATCCTGGAGCAGTTTGGAGGACGACAGACCATGGATGATGGGACTTCAAGTACCTCCACTACCCAAGATTGCTGCAAAACTCATCTAATGACCAATCAAGACCAACGTTGGCACACAGAGCCCCCATGACCCACTCTACATCCTGCTGCAGTTTTGGAGAAGGGTGGACCATGGATGATGGAACTTCCAGTACCTTCACTCACATTCTGAGACCTCTGCAAACCTCATCCAATGACGGATCAAGACCAAACTTGGCACATAGACCTCTCATGACCCACTTTACATCCTGGTGTTGTTTGGAAAAATTTGGAGATGGATGATGGGACTTGCAGTACCTTTGCTCACTTCCTGAGACCACTGAGACCCTCGCCAATGACTAATCAAGACTAAACTTGCCACATGGAGCTCCAATGACCCACTCTACATCCTGCTGCAGTTTGGAGGAGGACAGACCATGGATGATGGGACTTCAAGTACCTCCACTCCCTTCCAAAGATTGCTGCAACCCTCTTCTAATGACCAATCAAGACACACTTGGCACACAGAGCCCCCATGATCCACTCTACATCCTGCTGCAGTTTGAAAGGGGATGGATTTTGGATGATGGGACTTGCAGTACCTTCACTCACTTACTGACACCACTGCCACCCTCATCTAATGACTGATAAAGACCAAACTTGGCACACAGAGCCCCATGACCCACTCTATATCCTGCTGCTGTTTGTAGGAGGATGGGCCATGGATGATGGGACTTCAAGTACCTTCACTCACTCCCTGAAAATACCAAAGACCAATAAAGACCAAACTTGGCATACAGAACCGCCATTATCCACTTTCTCTAATAAGCCGGGCAACGCCGGGTCCCCAAGCTAGTAGTTAATAAAGAACAAAACTCAGAAAACAAGGGAATTCTAGACGGGAAACAATCAGGGCCACCTAATCACCTCCCAACAAAGGATTCCCCCAGGTAGGAAGCAGCCAGGCTTTGAAGCTGCAAGGCCATTTAATGCCAATCAAGGTGGCCAATGGCAACATTCACACTTGCATCAAGCAGACAAGAGTTCTTTCTCCCACCTCCGAACAAAGGATTCCCCCAGGCAGGTAGCAGCCAGGCTTTGATGCTGCAAGGCCATTTAATGCTAATCAAGTTGGCCAATGGCAACATTCCCACTTGCCTCAAGCAGACAAGAGTTCTTTCTCCCACCTGCCAACAAAGGGTTCTTCCAGGCAGGAAGTAGCCAGGCTTTGATGCTGCAAGGCCATTTAATGCTAATCGAGTTGGCCAATGGCAACATTCACATTTGCCTCAAGCAGACAAGAGTTATTTCTCTCACCTCCTAACAAAGGACTCCCCCAGGCAGGAAGCAACCAGGCTTTGATGTTGCAAGGACATTTAATGCTAATCAAGGTGGCCAATGGCAACATTCACACTTGCCCCAAGCAGACAAGAGTCCTTTCTCTCACCTCCTAACAAAGGATTCTCCTGGCAGGAAGCAGCCAGGCTTTGATGCTGAAAAGCCTTTTAATGCTAATCAAGTTGGCCAATGGCAACATTCCCACTTGCCTCAAGCAGACAAGAGTTCTTTCTCCCACCTGCCAACAAAGGATTCTCCTGGCAGGAAGCAGCCAGGCTTTGATGCTGCAAAGCCTTTTAATGCTAATCAAGGTGGCCAATGACAACATTCACACTTGCCTCAGGCAGACAAGAGTCCTTTCTTCCACCTCCCAACAAATGATTCTCCTGGCAGGAAGCAGCCAGGCTTTGAAGCTGCAAGGCCATTTAATGCTAATCAAGGTGGCCAATGGCAACATTCACACTTGCCTCAAGCAGACAAGAGTTTTTTCTCTCACCTCCTAACAAAGGATTCTCCTGGCAGGAAGCAGCCAGGCTTTGATGCTGAAAAGCCTTTTAATGCTAATCAAGGTGGCCAATGACAACATTCACACTTGCTTCAGGCAGACAAGAGTCCTTTCTTCCACCTCCCAACAAATGATTCTCCTGGCAGGAAGCAGCCAGGCTTTGAAGCTGCAAGGCCATTTAATGCTAATCAAGGTGGCCAATGGCAACATTCACACTTGCCTCAAGCAGACAAGAGTCCTTTCTCCCACCTTCCAACAAAAGATTCCCAGGCAGGAAGCAGCCAGGCTTTGAAGCTGCAAGGCCATTTAATGCTAATCAAGGTGGCCAATGGCAACATTCACACTTGCCTCAAGCAGACAAGAGTTCTTTCTCCCACCTGCCAACAAAGGGTTCTTCCAGGCAGGAAGCAGCCAGGCTTTGATGCTGCAAGGCCATTTAATGCTAATCGAGTTGGCCAATGGCAACATTCACATTTGCCTCAAGCAGACAAGAGTTATTTCTCTCACCTCCTAACAAAGGACTCCCCCAGGCAGGAAGCAACCAGGCTTTGATGTTGCAAGGACATTTAATGCTAATCAAGGTGGCCAATGGCAACATTCACACTTGCCCCAAGCAGACAAGAGTCCTTTCTCTCACCTCCTAACAAAGGATTCTCCTGGCAGGAAGCAGCCAGGCTTTGATGCTGCAAAGCCTTTTAATGCTAATCAAGGTGGCCAATGACAACATTCACACTTGCCTCAGGCAGACAAGAGTCCTTTCTTCCACCTCCCAACAAATGATTCTCCTGGCAGGAAGCAGCCAGGCTTTGAAGCTGCAAGGCCATTTAATGCTAATCAAGGTGGCCAATGGCAACATTCACACTTGCCTCAAGCAGACAAGAGTTTTTTCTCTCACCTCCTAACAAAGGATTCTCCTGGCAGGAGGCAGCCAGACTTTGAAGCTGCAAGGTCATTTGATGCTAATCAAGTCGGCCAATGGCAACATTCACACTTGCCTCAAGCAGACAAGAGTCCTTTCTCCCACCTTCCAACAAAAGATTCCCAGGCAGGAAGCAGCCAGGCTTTGAAGCTGCAAGGCCATTAATGCTAATCATGGTGGCCAATGGCAACATTCACACTTGCCTCAAGCAGACAAGAGTAATTTATTTATTTGGAAGTTTTTTTATACCGATCTTCTCACCTCGAGAGGGACTCAGATTCGGTTCACAACATGTGTCATACACAAAATTACAAAACACACAATGCATTATCAGAAAACATTAAAATCATATTTCAGTAAACAATATACAATATACATCATCATCGTCACACTTATATATAAGCCAGGTCGTCAAAACATTAGTCGTAGTTCACAGTTAGTTATACTCCTTCCATGTAGACCCACGTTGACTCAGTTATCAAAGGCCAAATTACAAAGCCATGTCTTTGTTAATTTTCTGAATGTCAGGAGGGAGGGTGCGGTTCTAATCTCCAGAGGGAGGGCGTTCCAAAGCCGAGGGGCCACCATCGAGAAGGCCCTGTCTCTCGCGATTGTGACAGCGGTGGGACCGGGAGCAGGCCCCCCCCCCCCCGGACGATCTTAAGGACCTTGATGGTTTGTAGGGGAGAATCCGTTCGGACAGGTAAGCTGGGCCAGAGTCGTTTAGGGCTTTGTAGGTCAAAACCAGCACTTTGAATTGTGCTCGGAAGCTAATTGGCAGCCAGTGGAGCTAGCGCAACAAAGGAGTTGCCTCAAGCAGACCTTTCTCCCACCTCCCAACAAAGGGTTCTTCTAGGCAGGAAGCAGCCAGGCTTTGAAGCTGCAAGGCTGTTCAAGGTGGCCAATGGCAACATTCACACTTGCCTCAAGCAGACAAGAGTTCTTTCTCTCACCCTGGACATCACTGCACAGATATGTGAACCTCACTTGCCTAGTTTCCAATATAACACAACCTGCCATAGATGTGGGTGAAACGTCAGAAGACAATGCTTTTGGAATAGGCCAGAGAGAGAGAGAGAGAGAGAGAGAGGGAGCCCCCTAGTGGCGCATGCGTGCCACGCCCTCCTGGCGAGCAGGAGCGGAAGAGGCGGAGCGGCGCGCGTGTCAATCAACGCTCTGCCTAGTAACCGAACCGGAAGCAGGCCTCTCTAGCCGCGCCCAGGCTTTTCTTTTTCGTCTCCTTGGTGACCGCGGCGCCTGCGCAGTGATGCTCCGCGCTCTGGGCTTCCCTCGCATCCCGCTTCGGTGTCCTCGAGTCTCGAAGAGAAGCTTCGCCGACCAGGCCGCAACGTAAGCCTTCCCAGAATGCAGTGAGACTGCCGACCTAGTTGCTGAGGCTTTGCAGCCGGCTAATTACCCGGATGTTGCCAAACCGGAAGCAGAGACCACAGAGATTGGGGGAAAGGTGCCTAGAGCGGACCGGAAGTGATGTAGTTAATTCTAACAGTTTTGCTGCATTCTCAGGATACATTTTCTTCATTTTCGCATCTTTAATAATAATAATAAATGTATAATAATAGCTCATAATTAACATTTAATATAATTATAATTGAGTACAATTAATATATTAAATATTCATAATGTTTGATATATTTTAATATTATATGGAATATAAAAATAGTTAATAAAAATAATTTAATACAAGTATAATAGTATATTAAATCTAAATAATTATTAATAATTGATATATTACTTAATTGATATATTACTTAATGTGATTATAATTTAATACAAGTATATTATATTAAATTATATTATTTATAATTTAATACAATATATAATTTAATACAAGTATATTATATTAAATCTAAATAATTATTAATAAGTGATATATTATGATTGTATTATATTATTATTAGTAATTAACAATTATTAATTTTGGTGTAATATTTATAATATACTGTAATATGTAATATAGTATAATAGTTAATTATTAATAACTGATAGAATTATAATGTAATATAATTATAGTATTATATCAAATATTAATAATTATTTAAATTTAATATAATACTGATAATATGGAACATAATAATAGTTCATAATAATATAATTATAATATAGTATATTATATCAAATGTTAATAATTATTAATAATAAATAATTATATTGTATATTATATCAAATGTTAATTATTAATAATTAATATCTAGTATAATATTTATAATATATGTAACATAATAGTTAATATAATTTACTCCAATTATAATAGCATATCAAATATTATTAATAATTAGTATTTACTATAATATGTAATATAATAATAGTTAATAATTTAATGGCAATTTAATGCAATTATAATATTACATTAAATATTAATAGTTATTAAAGAGAATATATGTAATAATCATTATGAATATTTGATATATTATAACTAGTAAATAATGTTTATATTAATTATTAACTATTGTATTTATATGTAATACAATAGTTAATAATTAATATAAACATTATTTACTAGTTATAATATATCAAATATTAATAATGATTATTTAATATATAAAATAATCTGTCACAATAGTTAATAACTAAAAATACTATAATTAAAATTTAATGCAATTATAATATATTAAATATTAATGATTATTAATTATTTATAATATATAATATATTCATTCTAATTTATAATTGTAGTCATTATAGTATAATTATATAATAGTATATAATAGAGTATACTAATAATATAGTCTACAATTTTAATATCACATTAAATGTTAATAGTTATTAATATTTGAGATAATATTAATATGTAATACAGTAATAGCTAATGAGTACTAATTAATATAATAATAATTTACTACAGTTATAATATATCAAATAATAATGATTATTTAATATATTTATAAAACAATGTGTAATAATAGCTAATAACTAAAAATACTATAAGTAAATTTAATGCAATTAAATTTAATTATAGTATTTTTAGTTATTAACTATTAAATTAAAATTATTAACTATTTAATTTTAAAAAGAATTATAATTATATAGTAATATATTATAGAGTATACTAATAATAATAGTCTGCCTTCCCACTATGTCAAATGCTTCCCAAACGTCCTGGTTTCCCTCTCTTCCTCCTTCCTTTGTCCTCAGCTTCCTTTCGTTGCTGCAAACCTGATTCAAAGTACAAGTCTCAGCTGCAGGTAAAAGGCTGGAATAGAGCAGGCATTTTCCCAAAGCGAAACGGGAAAAACTCCCTTCTTTCCTGGCAGGAGATTGGACATGCTTAGGGATGTGTCTTGACCTTCCTTCCTTCCTTTCCCTCTCTTCCCTGCAGGCCGGTGCCAGTCTCTTACTGTGTCTTTGACGGGGCCTCCACGCAGCCACCCCTCGTTTTCCTCCACGGGCTTTTCGGGAGCAAAGGCAACTTTGCCTCTTTGGCCAAAGAGATTGTGCGGCGGAGCGGGCGCAAAGTGAGTGCAGGAACTATAGGATTCTATGATGGATGGATGGATTAATTGATGGAGAATTGATAGGTAGGTAGATAGGTGGAAGGAGGGAATGATAGATAAATAGATAGATGCAGAGAGAGAAAACAATACATAGATGGATGGATGGAAAGGTTGGTAGGTGGTTGGATAGATGAAAGGAAAGATAGATGGATGGATGGATGGAAGGAAGAAAGGAAGAGAGAGAGAGATGGATAGAAGAAAGAAAGGAAAGATAGGTAGGTGGATAGATAGATAGACAGATAGAAGGAAAGATGGATGGATTGATTGATGGATGGAGGATGGAAGGAAAGATAGTCAGGTAGGTAGATAGATAGGTGGAAGGAGGGAATGATAGAAAGATAGACACAGAGCGAAGGATACATGGATGGATGGATGGGTAAGTAGGAGAGTGGATGGATGGATAGGTAGGTAGATTGATTGATTGATATGCATGAAAACATACAGGGAATTGGACTGGATGGCCGTTGGGGTCCCTTCCAACTCTAGGATTCTAAGACACCTGTATAAGCAGAGACTGGAGGCTCATCTGTTGGGAGGGGTTGGAGGGTGCCTTCTTGCCTGGCCAAGGGGAGCTGGGCTGCATGGCCCTCTGGGGTTCCTCCAGCTTTGGTCCAACCCCTCTCTTGGCCCTCCAGGTGCTGACAGTGGATGCCCGCAACCACGGCAACAGCCCCCACCACCCCCTGATGACCTATGAGGCCATGAGCGATGACGTACACCTCCTCCTGCGCCAGCTGCACCTGGAGCGCTGCGTCTTGGTCGGGCACAGCATGGGCGGCCGGACAGCCATGGCTGTGGCCCTGCGGTGGGTAAGTTTCCCCTGGGGAGCCCCGGGTCCCTCTGGGGAAGAGGTTGATATTAGAACCATGGTTCAATATTGTCAGAAGAGGGTGGGGTTGGATGGACCTTGGGGTCCCTTCCAACCAGGATTCTAGGATGGATGGATAGATGGATGGATAGACAGATTATATATCCTAGATAGATAGGTAGATAAAGAGACGGGGAATATGTTAAGAGACCAAACCTGAGGCTGAAGGGAAGAGTTCCTTGATGAGAGACTCAGGCAAGACGGTGTCTCTTCTCCCTTCTGCAGCCAGAGCTGGTGGAGCGCCTGCTCTGTGTGGACATCAGTCCGAGGGGGCCCTCTGCTGTCTCCAAGTTCCATCCGCTGGTGGAGGCCCTGAAGGCTGTGGAGCTCCATGAGGGTGTCCCTCTCTCCACAGCGCGCCGCCTGGCCCAGGAGCAGCTGCGGAATACCATCCCGGTAAAGCTGAGAGAACATGACCTGTTCCACGGTCACTCAGTGGGTCTGTTGTAGCCTGGTTCGATTCTGAGTGCTCAGAAGATAATGAAGGGGATGCTGGGATTGATTCAGAGGGCCTAGAGTAGGATAGATGTAGGATAGAGTTGTTTTGGAATCTCCTGGCAGTTCCCACGAGACTTGAGAAAGCGATTATCAGTTCTCACGAGAACCTGCCAAAAGTGTGGGCTGAGAGAAATGTGGGAAACAAATGTCTAATGCTTGGAACTGCGGAGACAGGGCATGCAACAAAGATAGATTCACTTTTCCCAGAGAATTAGAGATAAGGAGAGGAAAAGCAGGTGTGTGCGAAATGATGTTATGGGAGGGATTCGGGTCTTTTAAAGTGGTGCCTGCTGGTGCAATCCTTTATGAGAGCAACATTATATTCAGATGAAAAGCTCTGTTGCACTCCAGGCCTGGGAACCCCTATGACCACCGCACCACACAAGAGTCCAAAATGTTAGCAAATTGTTTATTGTAGAAATATATTAAAATATGGTTTCCTGTGGGCAAACAGATGGTGACAATTGTGTGGCATATGTTCTGTATCAGAAACTAGAACTGATGTTGTCTATCCAATGCAATTTTCGGAATCAGCACCCTAAATAACTAAACCGAATCTAAAGTTCACCAAAAACTGATTCATAACAGTGGTTCCCAACCTTTTTTTGACCACTTTGACCAGAGTGGTCCCTGGTCAAGTGGTCCCTGGTCAAAAAAAGGTTGGGAACCACTGTTCCAACCTTTGTCTCTTCACCACTCTCTCAGCCTCAGAGAAAGGCCACAGAGATCAAAGTGAGATGCAAGCCGTCCCCGAGTTAGAAATGTCCGACTTACAAAGTAAAGAATGGGGCTGAGACAGCTGGAAGTGAAAGGGATCTCCTCAGAAGGAAGGGAAGTCTTATTATGCTGGGGAAAAGGGGTCTCCAATGAAGCTTTATCCCCAATCCTTATTTCTACACAAAGCCTAAAGGATCCTTGCCACATCTCTTTCTTTGTACATAGGATCCACCCATCCTCCAGTTCTTGCTCACCAACCTGGTCTCGTCTGAGGGCCGCATTGTGTGGCGGGTCAACCTGGATGCCGTCTCCCGTCACCTGGATGGCCTCATGCACCTCCCTGACTTCCAGGCATCCTACTTGGGGCCCGTCCTTTTCCTCGGTGGTGCTAAGTCCCCCTACATCAGGTGAGCGGTCATAATAATCCAATGCAACTTAAGTTGACCTGTGCTCTCTTAGACAAGGAATCCTCGGAGGCAGACTTGCCTGTTTCTTCCTTTGAAGTATCATCTACAGAACCGAGCTTTGTGATTGATCTCCTATCCAAACCGTAGCCAATATTGATCCTGCTTAGTTTTTAAGATCAAACCAGTTCAGGTGCCTGTAGGAGATTTAGTTCCTGGCTATGTACGAGCCGCCCTTGCCTTCCTGTGTTGAGCTTAAGTTCATCTTATTTGCTTCCCATCCTTTGTGCGTTAATGTTTCGGTCAGCTGGTGCTAACCCCATGAATATCATAGTTTTTGTCAAGGAAGGTGGTTTTGCCATTTCAAAATAGATTTGTTGAACATCCTTGTTTATTTTCACTATTTAAAGATATCAGCCAATTCTCCATTGAGTTAAGATTTTTTTTTTTGCATGTTGTTATCAATCGTTTTCATCAGGTCATGAAATTGCAATGTAGAGCCATATTTTCTATTACAGACAATATGAAGTTCCCATTCCAAGTTATCAAATGCCTTTAAGCACTCAAAATTTATTATTTTTCCTTGTTTTTCATAGAAAACTTTAATCCTATTTATTCAATGATTGACTATAAAACTAAGCTGCGTCTCAGTTTTTGGTGTGGCACTTGTGTATCCCACAGGATGGTTTGGCCAAATAAACCTGTTGAATGATCTCCTTGCTTCCAGGGTCTGATTGGATAGAGACAGACTGGGGTTTTTTTTTTTTTGGACCATAGAAGAAAAAAGGGACACGGCAAGCGTGTCCCAGCAATACAAGATGGTGTGCGGCTGTTCAATGGCAATTTTGGTGGACAAGGCTCTTATGGGTTCCTCCCTTTGCAGCTCCGAGGATTTCCCCGAGATTGAAAGGCTCTTCCCGGAGGCGGAGATCGAGTACATACCTGATGCTGGGCATTGGGTTCATGCCGACCAGCCGCAGCACTTTGTGGCCGCCGTCTGCCGCTTCATGGAGCAATCTCCACCCTAGACAGCCATCCCAGGCGAGCCCCCAAAACCTCCGCTCCAGCAGTCGGACAACATGCTAGGACTGGCGTTAAGCGAGAAGTGGAATAGCCTCTGGACTCATTGCTTGTACAGTATTTAATAATAAACAATGCATTGGTTTCGTATGGCGGCCTTGGTTTGAAACGGACTGCCCTCATCATTCCTGTTGCCCCTTTGAGAAGGGCTGCTGAGACTAATTGACATATTGAGGAGGAATTTACAGAGCTCTGGGGCTCTTGCGGGAGTTGGGATGGAAGGTACGTTCCTATTATTATTATTATTATTATTATTATTAGACTCCTATAGTTGGAAGAGGAGCCCCCGGTGGCGCAGTTGGTTAAAGCACTGAGCTGCTGAGCTTGTTGATCGAAAGGTTGCAGGTTCGATTCTGGGGAGTGGTGTGAGCTTCCGCTGTCAGCCCTAGCTTCTGCCAACCTAGCAGTTTGAAAACATGCAAATGTGAGTAGATCAATATGTAAGGTAAGGGCGCTCCATGCAGTCATGCCAGCCACATGACCTTGGAGGTGTCTACGGACAACACCGGCTCTTCGGCTTAGAAATGGAGATGAGAACCACACCCCAGAGTCAGACATGACTGGACGTAATGTCAGGGGACTACCTTTACCTTTTTTATAGTTGGAAGGGGCCCCAAGGACCACCCAGTCTGACTCCATTCTGTCATAAAGGAAGGTAGAATTAATATAATATGAGGTTGCTATATTATTATTATTATTATTATTATTATTATTATTATTATTATTATTATTAGACACATAGAATTGGAAGGGACCCTCAAAGGCCATCCAGTCCAGCTACTTTTTGGAAGATAGAATTACATTACTATACTACTTCTTTCTCAAAACAACTCTCACTGAAAATCGCAAAACATGTCAATTAAAACCCCAAGTAGAATGAAACACAGGACTTACAAAAATGCATAGTTATACTAAATATAGTTATACTATACTATACTATACTATACTATACTATACTAAATAAATCCATGTTTTTCCACACCTGGACTGTCCATCATTACAATTAACCTAATTTCCCATTGAGGAGGAGGCAAACTTGTTTTCAGCTGCTCTAAAGACTGGGACACAACGGAGCTGTGGATTCGAACAGCAGCAAAAGAGTCTCCACCTCAACGCCAGGAAGCGCTTCTTAAAGAAGGTAAGTGCTGTACATGTGTGATACAGAGTCTCTTTCTCTGGAGGCTTTGAAGGAGAGGTTGGATGGATAGAGTGTTGGACTGGATGGCCTTTGGGGGGCCCTTCCAACTCTGGAATTCTGACAGATTAGATCCATAGATAGATAGATGGATGGATGGATAGATAGATAGATAGATAGACAGACAGACAGACAGACAGACAGACAGGTAGATAGAGGGTTGGATGGATGGATAGAGGGTTGGACTGGATGACCTTTGGGGGCCCCTTCCAACTCTGGAATTCTATGATCGATAGTTTCATGATCTCTAGAGATATCTTGACAGGCAGAAAGAAAGAAAGATAGATAGATAGAGATTGATAAATGGATTGATAGATGATTGATTGATGGATGGACGGACAGACGGATAGATGGATTGATTGAGGGATGCAGTTGAGGGCCCCTTCCAACTCTGGAATTCTATGTATGGTTAACAGGTAGATAGATAATCTATAGAGAGAGACAGACAGACAGACAGAGGGCGAGACTGGATGGCCTTTGGGGACCCCTTCCACTCTGGAATTCTATAATCGATGGTGTCATGATCTCTAGAGATATCTTGACAGACAGAAAGACAGATAGAAAGATAGGTAGATAGATAGAGATTGATAAATGGATTGATAGATGATTGATTGATTGATTGATTGATTGATTGATTGATAGATGGATGGACAGACGGATGGATTGATTGAGGGATGAAGTTTATTTATTTATTTATTTATTTGCTTTATTTCTATACTGCATTTTTCAGCCCAAACAGGCGACTCAACGCGCCCCTTCCAACTCTGGAATTCTATGTATGATTGACAGATACAGTAAATAGATAGATAGATGATAGATAGATAGATAGATAGATAGATAGAGATGGATGGACAGATGGACGGATAGAGGGTTGGACTGGATGGCCTTTGGGGACCCCTTCCAACTCTGGAATTTTATGATTGACTGACTGATTGAGGGATCTACTTCATGGACTTTGGGGGCCCCTTCCAACTCTGGAATTCTATGTATGATTGACAGGTAGATAGATTATCGATAGATAGATAGATAGATAGATAGATAGTTGGACTGGATGGCCTTTGGGGACCCCTTCCAACTCTGGAATTTTATGATTGACTGACTGATTGAGGGATCCACTTGATGGACTTTGGGGGCCTTTTCCAACTCTGGAATTCTATGTATGATTGACAGGTAGATAGATTATCGATAGATAGATGGATGGATGGATAGAGGGTTGGACTGGATGGCCTTTGGGGCCCCTTCCAAGTCTTATCCCCTTCTTGGTAGCTGCGGAAATCCCCTCTGGGCCTCTCCTCCTCCCCTTGTTTGCCAAGCGAGCGTTTCCGTCAATGGCTGGGTTTTGCTTTCACAATTGCCTTTCCTGGCCCAGCCTGGCCAAGTTCCACTTCCTCGAGCCTTTGCTTTCTCTTCCTTTCCTTCTTCTTCCCTCGAGCCTTGAAGGGCCATGGCGGGTAGGCTCCTTCTGCCTCTTTGCACCCTCTTGCTTCTCTCCTTTCCATTGCCAAGAATAATCATAATATTGATATTTCTAGGACTAGGGGAACGCAGGCACCGAACACACTTGCTTTTTGCGCTTTGGCTTGTTGTCTCGTTGGCCCTGTTTCAGCACTGCAACGTCATTAATTTTAATGTAATTGCAATTGAACTTTGGAGGGTTTTCTAATACATTGAGGTTCAGGTTTTTATGCTAAACAGAATTTGAATTAAATTTTAGGTAGCGAGGAAGGACGGTAATACATGGATTATTGGATCATTATTATTTTAACGATACTATAATATTATTTTATATTATTACTGTCTTGTCAAAGGCTTTCATGGCTGGAATCCCTAGGTTCTTGTGGGTTTTTTCGGGCTATATGGCCATGTTCTAGAGGCATTTCTCCTGACGTTTCGCCTGCATCTATGGCAAGCATCCTCAGAGGTAGTGAGGTCTGTTGGAAGTAGGAAAAATGGGTTTATATATCTGTGGAATGGCTGGGGTGGGGCAAAGAGCTCTTCTCTGCTGGAGCTAGGTGTGAATGTTTCAACTGACCACCTTCATTAGCATTTGAAGGCCTGGCTGCGCCTGGGGGAATCTTTTGTTGAGAGGTGTTAAGATGTGCCTGGTTGTTTCCTCTCTGCTGTTTTGCTGTTGTACTTTTACCCCAGGCTCAGCCAGGCCTTCAAATGCTGATGAAGGTGGTCAGTGCCATGGAAATGGGAGCAATGCAGGGCGAGGCGTGAGAGAAATAAACTGTCAGTTGGAATTTTGTTGCGTTCCCTAATGTATGCTTTTGAATTAAAGCCTTCCAACTTTGTTTGTGAGGCAATTACTTTGCCAGAAAGCTACATATCTGGACAACTGGTGGGTTATGAGGGGAAATGGCCTGGACATTTTGGAGTTGTAGGTACTGGGATGTATAGTTCACCTGCAATCTAAGAGCACTCTGAACTCCACCAAAGATGGAATTGGACCAAACTTGGCACACAGAGCCCCCATGACCAGCAAAAAACACTGGAGGTCCTTGGGGGAAATCCACCTTGATTTGGGGAGTTGTAGTTCACCTACATCCAGAGAGCACTGTGAACCCAAACACCGATGGATCTGGACCAAACTTGGCACACATACCTGATATGCCAATTTGGTTATTAGAGGGGTTTGGAGGAAACTGACCTTCCTTTCTGGGAGTTGTAGTTCACCCACAACCAGAGAAACAGTGACCTCCACCAATGATGGACCTGGACCAAACTTGGCACACAGGATCCCCATGACTAACTCAATCTACTGGAGGGGTTTGAGGGGAGAAACTACCATGGTGGGAGTTGCAGTGTACCCTACAGCTTCTCTGTGTCCAGTTTTACCTTTACCTATCTTTCATGGTACAGATAAAAAGCTGTCGGAGGTGAGGGTGCAGTTTGTGGCCGGGGTCAACAAAGCGGTGGTGGCCCAGATGGTGGACGACCTGCTGTGCGAGGGGGTCCTGAATGATGAGGAGGCCGACGAGGTGAAGGAGAACCCCAAGAAGCAGGACCAGGCCCGGGTGCTGCTGGACCACGCCCGCAGGAAGGGTCACCGAGCCAGCCAGGCCTTCATCCAAAGCCTGTGCACACGAGACGTCTTCCTGGCTGAGCGCCTGGACCTCACTAACACCCAACCCTCAGGTATCCCATTGGGAGGGAGAGGGGCATCCAGAGGCCATCCAGTCCAGCCTCCTTCAGCTGGGTCTCCTGGTGGATGGATGGAAAGATAGATAGATAGATAGATAGATAGATCTATCCATCCATCCACCGGGAGATTCAGCTGAAGGGGGCTGGAGTGGATAGACAGGATGGATGGATGGGTGGAAAGATAGATGGATGAGTGGATGGATGGGTAAACGGATGGATGGATGGATAGATGATAGATAGACGAATTGATGGATAGATAGCTTGGATGGATGGGTGGGTGGATAGATAGGATAGATTGATGTGTGGATGGGTGGATGGATGGAAGATAGATGGGTAAACGTATAGACAGACAGACAGACAGACAGATAGATAGATAGACAGACAGACAGATAGACGGATGGATTGGATTGATAGACAGATAGATAGGACAGATAGATAGATGAGTGGATGGATGGATAAATGGATGGATGGGCTGGGCGGATGGATAGATAGATAGATAGATAGATAGATAGATAGATAGATAGATAGATAGATAGTGGGTGCGCATGTCTGGGTGGATAGACAGAAAGGTGAATAGATATATAGATAGGATGGATGGATGGATGGATAGAAAGGACAGATAGATGAGTGGATAGATACGATGGATGGATGGGTGGATGGATAGATGGATAAACGGATGGAGAGAGAGAGAGAGACAGACAGACAGAAAGATAGACGAATGGATGTATAGATTGATAGATAGAATGGATGGATAGATAGATAGGATAGATAGATGAGTGATTGGATGGATAGATGGATGGACAGATAGATACATGGGTAAATGGATAGATAAAGTTGGAAAAGGACCCCAAAGGCCATCCAGTCCAATCCCCTTCTGTCATAAGGAAGGCAGGATTGCTATAATATTATTACTTATTATTATCATCTATGATTATATTATTACCTATTATTATCTATCATCCGGGGAGAGTGTGGATGAGCTCCCTCTATCAGCTCCAGCTCTCCATTCGGGGACATGAGAGAAGCCTCCCACAAGGATGGTAAAAACATCAAAACATCTGGGCGTCCCCTGGGCAACGTCCTTGCAGACGGCCAATTCTCTCACACCAGAAGCGACTTGCAGTTTCTCAAGTTGCTCCTGACACGAAAAAATTAAAAATCTATCATTATGAATTTTTAAATTATTATTATTATTATTATTATTATTATTATTATTATCATCATAGAACTGGAAGAAAAACTAAAGGCCACCCAGTCCGCCCCCTTCTGCCATAAGGAAGGCAGAATTGCTATAATATTATTGCCTATTATTATTACCTATTATTATTATTATTATTATTATTATTATTATTAGACACATACGAGTTGGAAGAGACCCCAAAAGCCATCTGGTCTGAAAGTAAGGCAGAGTTCAATCCCTTTAAGTGGTTTGAAGCCAAACCACTTAATTTAAGCCTGTCCATGAGATCATGCCGAAGACACCTGGACTTCAAGGTCTTATCGTGGTCTCTCTGTGAATATCTAGTTTGTCTATTTTTCACTCCTTGCGTTCTCAGGCCTAATCTATTTTCCTGGGAAAACTCCCCATCTGCCCAAGGTCTTTTCTCAAGGGAATTTTCGCTTTCCACTGTTGCCTGAAAACGAATCCAAAACATCGGCCTCACCTGCCTGCAATTCTCTCCGTTCACTCACAGACTCCTCACTTTGAAACTCACTTTGAAACCTATCATCCCCTCCTCTGAACTACGCTTGCTGAGCTCCAACAGTGTCTTTATCTCTCATTCTATTATCTATTAGAAAGGGATCTTGGGACTGAGTGGCTCACACACTGAGCCCAGAGTGTGATACGGCGGCAGAAAAAGCCAATTTGATGTCATTCCCTAAGTCAAAACCTCATGCTTTGTGCTTTCAGGACAACCGGAGCCCCAAAGAAGCACAGAGGCCAAAGCCATGTGTGTACCGGAGTCCAGGAATGGGATGACCCTTTGCCCACCGGACCTGTGTCGGGAGATCCAGGCCAAGGAAGCTGGAGAGGTGAGGATACCTTTGCCAAAACAGAACTTCCATTTATTATAATCGATGCAGCATGGAATCGCATTGGCCTTTTCCACTGCAGCGTCACAGTCTTGGCTCATACCCAGCTAAGACGTGACTGAACCTGGGTTTTGACTCCCGCAATGCAGATCTATCCTCTTGGGGACCGAGGGACCCGGACCCGCCTGGCGCTGATCATCTGCAACATCACGTTTGCCCACCTCGACAAGCGAGTAGGAGCCGAGGTGGACCGGAAGGAGATGACCCTCCTCCTCGAAGACCTGGGATACCGAGTCGAGACCAAGACCGACTTGACCGCAAAGGTAGAAGGGAGTCAGAAACGGGCAGAACACCATTCCAGGTGCAGCCTGACCAAAACAGATTCGAGGGGGACAATTATGATTATCGCACTCTATATTGAAAAATATCCTGTTCCTGGTTTGAAAGTGTCACTTCCTGTTTCATTGTGCGGTCCTGCCTTTGATACAGATACATGCATAATGTTGGATGACCTTTGGAGTGTCTTTCAACTCTAGGAATCTGATTTACTACTTACGTACATACTTAGGCGATCCCTCATTGTCCGAGGATGATGGTCCTCCAAGGTCAGTGTTCTGGCGGTGGATCCATAGGTGACTGTGGAGCCCTATTCTTGACCTGCATGTTCTCCCGCAGTGAGGGCATCGGTTTCCATGTGGAAGGCGGTCCCGGTCGGAGTTGACTTGACGAACCTTCCTCTTGGCACGTTTCTCTTTCGCCCTCCATTCTGGCCTCTTCAAATTCTACAACACCGCTGGTCACAGCTGACCTCCAGCTGGAGCGCTCAAGGGCCAGGGCTTCCCAGTTTTCAGTGTCTATGCCAGCGTTCTTAAGGTTGGCTTTGAGCCCATCTTTAAATCTCTTTTCCTGCCCACCAACATTCCGTTTTCCATTCTTGAGTTCGGAGTAGAGAAACTGCTTTGGGAGACGGTGGTCGGGCATCCGGACAATGTGGACCATGGCTTCAATGCTGGTGGTCTTTGCTTCTTCCAGCACGCTGACATTTGTCCTCCTGTCTTCCCAGGAGATTTGGAGGTTTTTCCGGAGGCAACGCTGATGGATTCATTCCAGAAGTTGCACGTGACGTCTGTAAACAGTCCACGTCTCGCAGGCGTATAGCAGGGTTGGGAGGACAATAGCTTTATAAACAAGCATCTTGGTATCCCTACGGATGTCCCGGTCCTCAAACACTCTCTGCTTCATTCGGAAAAATGCTGCACTCGCAGAGCTCAGGCGGTGTTGTATTTCGGTGTCAATGTTGACTTTTGTGGAGAGGTGGCTGCCAAGGTAGTGGAAATGGTCAACATTTTCTAATGTTACACCATTAAGCTGTATTCTGGCATTGCAGAGGGATGGGCTGGTGACTTCTGGAAGAAAACTTTGGTTTTTTCAATGTTCAATGACAGGCCAAGCTTCTTGTATGCTTCTGCGAAGATGTTTAGAGTGGCTTGTAGGTCTTCTTCTGAATGCGCACAGATGACGTTGTCATCAGCATACTGGAGTTCTATAACAGATCTATATCTATCTATCTATCTATCTATCTATCTATCTACCTTCTTATCTAGAATACAGAATCTATGCTTCTGTCCATCTATCCAAACCCATGTATGTATCTGTATCTATATCTATTATCCATCTATCCATCCAACTATCTATCTATCTATCTATCTATCTATCTATCTATCTATCTATCATTAGATTCCTAGATGGAATGTTGGTGGGCAGGAAAAGAGATTGAAAGATGGGCTCAAAGCCAACCTTAAAAACTCTGGCATAGACACTGAGAACTGGGAAGCCCTGGCCCTTGAGCGCTCCAGCTGGAGGTCAGCTGTGACCAGCAGTGCTGCAGAATTTGAAGAGGCACGAATGGAGGGTGAAAGAGAGAAGTGTGCCAAGAGGAAGGCGCGTCAAGCCAACCTCGACCGGGACCGCCTTCCACCTGGAAACCGATGCCCTCACTGTGGGAGAAGATGCAGATCAAGAATAGGGCTCCACAGTCACCTACAGATCCACCGCACACTGGAGGATCATCCTACTCGGGCAACGAGGGATTGCCTAAGTAAGGAAATAAGTAAGTAAGTAAGATAGAGTATTCTAAATAGACAGCTAAACATATATATATATGTATGTATGTATGTATGTATGTATGTATGTATGTGCGGGCATATACAAGTCAAGATACAAGACATATCATTACAAGACTATGACTTGTTTCAACATCTAGACAATAGACTCCTCTTGATGCAGCCTAGAAGTTTGGTGTCATCTGCAAATATGATCAATATGCTTGCTATGCCATGGTATCAAGTGATTGCTGAGGATGTTTGCCAGCCCTGTTGCCCTTCCATAGCTTGACACACATTGCCACTTTCAGGACATGGCTGCCTGCTTGAGGGACTTTGCGGCCCGGGAGGAGCACAAGGCCTCAGACAGCACCTTCCTGGTTCTGATGTCCCATGGCGTCCGGGATGGGCTTTGCGGCATCCAGAGCTGTGACAAGGACTCCGATATCCTCCCCATCAATGAGGTCTTCTCCATCTTTAACAACAATAACTGTCCCGCTCTGTACAAGAAGCCCAAGGTGGTCATCATCCAGGCCTGCCGTGGAAGTAGGTTGGATGTCTTTCTGGGGGCGAAGTCATTCCCGCCGTCTTCCCTAGAGGCCATCTAGTCCCAACTTACTGCAGTTGCTCTAGATCATTGATACTCATTGCTGTGTCTCTTTTCAAAAAAGGTCTCTATCCGATTAAGACATTACGAGGCGAGGAAGTCAGATATACAATAGGTTTATTTGGACAGATCTCTCTGTGGGGTGGGCAAGGAAAAGTGCCGTACTTGAGAAATGTAATTTATAAGGGGGGGGGGGGGGGGGGAGGAGGGAGAGAGAGAGAAAGAGAAGGGACTAGTTAAAATATCCCCAAAACTATTTCATGCACACTGCTCTTTCCATCTTTGTTGTCAATGGTGCCTCCTTATCAGCAACTGGCAACAACAACTTTCTTCCTGGCTTGTAGTCCTTTGAACGTTTCTCCTCTTTTCATCCAACTTTTGTTCCTCCAGCTAACAAAGGCATCACTTACGTGAGTGATTCAATGGTGCCAGTGGCTCCGACCAATAATTTGACCTTGCCTGGAAATTACGAAGAGGATGCCATTCAGAAGGCCCACATAGAGAGTGACTTCATCTGCTTGTATTCCACCACTCCTGGTAAGGCTCTTTCGGAGTAGGGCCCCCACAACATTGCAATGGAGGACTTGTCAATGTGCTGAGAAATGTTCTTTCCAGGTCCCTTCAGCACAGCTCTGTAGTCAGGTGTGAATAGACTCATTCTGGAGGACCTATATATGCCTTGGGACATTCTGGTGGACCTATACATGGGTAGCTGGTACATAGACATTCTAGAAGAGGCATCTTTGGACTGGATAGCCCATGAGGTCTACTCAAACTGATTCTTTTGGTCCTCTAATGCAACTCTATGGTCCAATAGAATCGTCCTGGAGGACCTATGGATGCCAAGAGAGGTTCTGGAGGATCTATACATGCCTAAAGAGCTTCTAGTGGCCCTAAAAATGACTAAGACAGGTTATGGAGTACCTACAAATATGCAGAGATCTCCGGGTAGCCCTAGAAATGTCTACAAAGGACTTAGGAGATTCTTAGAGAGGCATCTTTAGGTCCTCCACTGCGATTATACGGTCCCATAGAATCATTCTGGAGGACCCATAAAAGACTAAGAAAGCTTCTGGTGGCCCTATCAATGCCTAGAAGTGGTTCTATAAATGGAGACATTCTGCAGGAACTTTAAATGGCTAGTGAAGGTTCTGATGCCCTTATAAATGCTTAGAGGTGTTATGGAGGACCGATAAAAACCTAGATAAAGTTCTGATGGGCTCTATAAATGCTTAGAGAGATTCTGTGGGACCTACAAATTCCCAGAGAGGGTTCTGATGGCCCTATAAATGCTTAGAGGTTCTGGAGGAACTATAAATGGCTAGAGAAGGTTCAGATGGCCCTATAAAGGCTTAGGGAGGTTCTGGAGAACCTATAAATGCCTAGAGAAGGTTCCGATAGCCCCATCAGTGCCTAGAGAAGGTTCTTAGAAAAGGTTCTAGATGATCTATAAATGCCTAGATAAGGTCCCAATGTCCCTATAAATGCTTGGAGAGGTTCTGGAAGACCTATACACACTTTCCTTTTGATGTTTAGGTTCAAAATCTTAATTTTTGTGATGTCATTTGGTAATGTTTTATTGTTATGGCACTGAATGTTTGTTGGAAACCACCCTGAGTCCCCACGGGAAGATAGGAAGATATACATAAAGTTTTATTATTGTTACTATTATATAGAGAGGTTCTGGAGCACCTGTAAATACCTTGAGAAGGTTCTGAAGGACCTTGAAGGCCTAGAAAAGGTTCTGGAGGATCTATAAATGCTTAGAGAAGTTCTGAAGCACCAGAGAAGGTTCTGATGGTCCTATAAATATCTAGGGAAGATTTTGATGGCTGTATAAATGCTTTGAGAAGGTCCTGGAGGACCTATAAAGGCTTAGAGGTTCTGATGGAGCTATAAATGCCTACAGAAGGTTCTGATGGCCCTATCAATGTCCAGAGAAGGTTCCGATGTCCCTATAAATGCCTAGAGAGGGTTTTGATGGCACCATAAATGTTTAGAGAGGTTCTGGAGGACCGATAAATGCCTAGAGAAAGTTCTGATGGCCCTATAAATGCTTAAAGATGTTCTGGAAGACCGATAAATGCCTAGAGAAGGTTCTGATAGAGCTGTAAATGCCTTCCATCATTTCCCTGTCCTCATTTCCTCCCCAGACAATGTCTCCTGGAGGAGTCCAGAGCGGGGCTCTGTCTTCATTGTGGAGCTGATAAAGCAAATCAAGGCACACGCCTGGAACTGCAACTTGGAGGACATCTTCCGGAAGGTGAGTGCCGCCAGCCCCTTTCCGTTGGGATTGTCTAATTCGAGAAACTCCTTGGAAAGCCCCCATTTCCGTCTCCACTCTCCTCCTTTGTAGGTCCTGCAGGCCTTTGCCAACAATCCTCCCCTCCAGATGCCTTCGAAGGACAGGACCACCTTGACCAGGAAGTTCTACCTCTTTCCGGGCAACTGAAGCCCTCCCTTCCAACTGGGGCCAGTCTCACTTGGGACGCATCTACACTGTAAAACTGGTTCAGTTTGATTCCACTTGAATCCGACTAAAGATCAGGAGACCTACATCAAGGCATTCCACAAATCCAAATGAATTGCTGGGGGAACAAATGCATTTTTTGATTGTACTGACATGTCTCTTATTATAAAAGTTAAATGTATGTACGTTTATTTACATGGGTGCTTGATCCGCAATAGCTTCTCCTCTGCGGCTTGATGAGATTTGGACCAAACTTGGAATTTTCAAGATCTGACTTAAACTCCTAGCTCGGTTTTGGGTGGAGGCCTGATATGAGGATGATGGGAGTTGGAGTCCCGCCACATCCAGAAAGCTGTGTCTTTCACTGCCAGTTCCAGCCTAACCTGATCTGGGGACGATGGGATTTGCTGCTGGCCAAATCTAAGGCTTATGGGACTTGGATTCGCCCTCAGTAATAAGAATTAATATGTAAGTAAGAATAATAACAGGCAGTAATAATAATGCAATTAGAGCAATTGTGCAATAACAATAGTAATCTAAAAGTAATAGGCAACAATAATCATGTAATTAGAGTACCGTATATTCCGGCATATAAGACGACTGGGCGTATAAGACGACCCCCAACTTTTCCAATTAAAATATATTGTTAAGACAATTCCCATGCATAAGACTACATCCGCGTATAAGACGACCCCTGACTTTTGAGAAGATTTTCTTGGGTTAAAAAGTAGTCTTATACGCCAGAATATACTGTAATTGTGCAATAACTAAAAGCAATAATAATCTAAGAATAATAGAAAACAATGCAATTAGAGTGATGGTGCCATAACTATAGCAATGGTAATCTAAGAATAATAGGCAACAATAATAATGCAATTAGAGTGATGGTGCCATAACTATAGCAATTATAATCTAAGAATAATAGGCAATAATGATTATACAATAAGAGTGATGTACAATAGCAAAAAGCAATGATAATCTAAGAATAATAGGCAATAATAGGCAACTCCAAGTGGCCAGCTACTGGTCAAATGGCATTTAGTATAATGCCAAGTTTTTAAAAACTTTGTGCAATAATAATAGAAAATAATAATACAATAATAATAAGATAATATGAAAGAATAGTATTATTTATTTATTTACATTATTTCTACCCCGCTCATATCAACCCGAAGGCGACTCAGAGCGGCGTACATAGTCGGCACAATTCGATGCGATAAAAAATACATACATTGATAAACAAAAGAACATTATAGTGCAATTAAACATAAAGACAGTGCATAATAACAATTTTAAAACTAAAAAACTATATCCTCTCATATGAAAGTAGTGAAAATAATAAGAAATAAGAATGCAATAACAATAACAATGTGTAAAATAATCATAAATAATGTGCAATAATAATAATGCAAGAATAATGTGCTAAAATAATCACAAATAATAATAATATGGAATAATAATAATGCAAGAACAATAACAATGTGCAAAAATAAGCATAGATAATAATAACAATGGGAAATAATAATGAAATCAATAATGTGCAAAAATAATCATAATGATAATATGAAATAATTCAATAATAATGTGCAATAATAATAGAAAATAATAATACAGCAATAAGAAAATGTGAAAGAATAGTAATTACAATATGAAATAATAATAATGCAATACTATGAATAAGAAACAATATGAAAGTAGTGTCAATAATAGGAAATAATAAGAACGCAATAACAATGTGCAAAAATAATCATAAATAAGTTCAATAATAATAATGCAAGAATAATAATGTGCAAAAATAATCACAAATAATAATATGAAATAATAATAATGCAAGAACAATCATGTGCAAAAATAATCATAATGATAATATGAAACAATGCAATAATAATGTGCAATAATAATAGAAAATAATACAATAAAATAAAATATGAAAGAATAGTAATTACAATATGAAATAATAATAATGCAATACTATGAAGAAGAAACAATATGAAAGTAGTTTCAATAATAGGAAATAATAAGAATGAAATAACAATGTGCAAAAATAATCATAAATAATAAGTGCGATAATAATAATGAAAGAGTAATAATGTGCAAAAATAATCACAAATAACATGAAATAATAATAATGCAAGAACAATAATAATGTGCAAAAATAAGCATAGATAGTAATGATAATAGGAAATAATAATGCAAGAACAATAATGTGCAATGATATAATATGAAATACTAATGCAATAATAATAATAATGCAAGAACAATAATGTGCAAAAATAATCACAAATAATAATATGAATAATAATGCAAGGACAATAATGTGCAATGATATAATATGAAATAATAATGCAATAATAATAATAATGCAAGAACAATAATGTGCAAAAATAATCACAAATAATAATATGAATAATAATGCAAGGACAATAATGTGCAATGATATAATATGAAATACTAATGCAATAATAATAATAATGCAAGAACAATAATGTGCAAAAATAATCACAAATAATAATATGAATAATAATGCAAGGACAATAATGTGCAATGATATAATATGAAATAATAATGCAATAATAATAATAATGCAAGAACAATAATGTGCAAAAATAATCACAAATAATAATATGAATAATAATGCAAGGACAATAATGTGCAATGATATAATATGAAATACTAATGCAATAATAATAATAATGCAAGAACAATAATGTGCAAAAATAATCACAAATAATAATATGAATAATAATGCAAGGACAATAATGTGCAATGATATAATATGAAATACTAATGCAATAATAATAATAATGCAAGAACAATAATGTGCAAAAATAATCACAAATAATAATATGAATAATAATGCAAGGACAATAATGTGCAATGATATAATATGAAATAATAATGCAAGAATAATAATAGGAAATGAGAGGAATGCAGGAAGAAGAGTCACAACCTGCAAAGCCAATCACCAGGAAGACTCAGGAACTGTCTGTCCCAGCCTCGCCTTCTGATTGGTCCAAGTCCAGGCGTCGCGCGGGCGGGGCCACAGGCTCGGCCGAGGAAGGCGGTGCGCATGCTCAGAGCCGCCCTCCTCGCCTTGCCCAGGCGCGCCTCCCCGCTCGGCCAATCAGAGCCGGCCCCTCCTCGCCCCGCCTCCTCCGCCCCTCCTTTGGACGGCGCCGAGCGCAAAAACGGTCGTGATTGGCCGGCGCGAAGGACGCGCTGTGAATTCCCATTGGCCCATTCTCGAGGCAGAGGAGTGGCAGCGCAGCCGACGAATCGCAGCGAGGGAGGGCGAAAGAGCGGCGCGGCGATTGGGCGAGAGGGGCAGAGGGCGGCGATTGGGCGCTGGGCGGGCGAGGGGGCGGGGCCTGCGCGTGTGGTGTTTGAGGTGGGAGCAGCGCCGTCCGGAGGAGGAGGAGGAGAAGCCGTAGCGCAGGTGAGGAAGCCCCTTGGCGGCGGAATTTCCCCCTTCTCCCTCCCCGCCAGGCCGCACAGGCCCCGCCGGAGCAGAAGGCCCCACCGGGTAGGCCTCAAGCCTGCGCTCGAGTGGGCCCTGTCACTCACAAGACGGAGGGGGGAGGAGCCTCCGTAGGCCGCGCCCCTCCCCGGACCCTGCTCCCGAGTCTCTTCCCGCAAGCCACGCCCCTTCGGCGTTCTGCGCATGCTCGGGGCATATGCAGCCTCTAGAGATGGACAAGGCCCTGCCCTTCTCCCCTTCTGTCCTCCCACTCAGAGGCAAAAGAATATGGAATACTCACAGCAATAGGAAATGATAGCCATGTAAACATTTATTTCGTATCAAAAGCATTGCAATATTAATATAATAAACACTTTATACTATATATACATATATACATATATATATATACATATATATATATACAATTATATATTATATATATATACAATTATATACAAAAACAGTACAATATAAATATAATAAACACTATTATACTATATATATACACACACACAATCAATTATAAATTAATATACATTAATATATAAGTATTCCTTTATATTAATATTTCTATTATTTCATATTCCTATGAGTGTTCCATATTATGCTGATTAGTGCACATTATGAATACTATTTGTAATATATTACAATATTGTTAATATTATATATAATATATATGAGTATAATATAATGTCATTATAAATTGTATATATATTACTATATATTAGTAATATCTAATATTAATATTTTATTGTGCTAATTTATTTATTTGTCCTGTCAGGACAACCAGTCAAATTATATTACATTTCTAACAGAACAAAGCAAACAAACAGACAAAATACAAAGTGAGTCTGGTAGTTGATTAAATGTCCTTTGACCAGTATCTGGCCACTTGGAGTGCCTCTGGTGTTGCCGCAAGAAGGTCCTCCATCGTGCATGTGGCGGGGCTCAGGTTGCATTGCAGCAGGTGGTCAGTGGTTTGCTCTTCTCCACACTCGCATGTCGTGGATTCCACTTTGTGGCCCCATTTCTTGAGGTTGGCTCTGCATCTCGTGGTGCCAGAGCGCAGTCTGTTCAGCGCCTTCCAAGTCGCCCAGTCTTCTGTGTGCCCAGGGGGGAGTCTCTCATCTGGTATCACCCATGGATTGAGGTGCTGGGTTTGGGCCTGCCACTTTTGGACTCTTGCTTGCTGAGGTGTTCCAGCGAGTGTCTCTGTAGATCTAAGAAAACTATGTCTTGATTTAAGTCGTTGACGTGCTGGCTGATACCCAAGCAAGGGATGAGCTGGAGATGTCTCTGCCTTGGTCCTTTCACTATTGGCTGCTACTTCCCGGCGGATGTCAGGTGGTGCAATACCGGCTAAGCAGTGTAATTTCTCCAGTGGTGTAGGGCGCAGACACCCCGTGATAATGCGGCATGTCTCATTAAGAGCCACATCCACTGTTTTAGCGTGGTGAGATGTGTTCCACACTGGGCATGCGTACTCAGCAGCAGAGTAGCATAGCGCAAGGGCAGATGTCTTCACTGTATCTGGTTGTGATCCCGGGTTGTGCCAGTCAGCTTTCGTATGATATTGTTTCTAGCACCCACTTTTTGCTTGATGTTCAGGCAGTGCTTCTTGTAGGTAAGAGCACGGTCCAGAGTGACTCCCAGGTATTTGGGTGCGCTGCAATGCTCCAGTGGGATTCCTTCCCAGGTGATCCTCAGAGCTCGGGATGCTT